GCAAAGTCTGTGATGAATAAGGAAAAGCGTTTGTTTGCCAGCACTTTTCCCCATCTGCACTAGGGCTGGGCTGAACTGGGCTGAGACTTGACACTAGCGGCATCGCGGGATCTCGATCTAGTACATATTCGTATGCAACTTGTCGTTGGTCAAGATTTGGGGGGGAGGCAAAAAGACAAGTTCTGATGTGAGACCACCAAATTTGCTTTCTTGTTGTAACGAGAATTTTCACTGCCATCTATGCTGTCTTTGTATGTACAAGCTCCTTTTTGGGGGTGGTTCCCCCCCTTTTTCTTTCTTTTCTTTATGCCTTCGGATGACATCTTCTTCGTGATGATGCTCAGGGGGGGTGTGTTGGGTTACGAGGACGGGAGGAAGATTCACGAGATAACGTGCTTCTTAGGCGAGCGAGAAAGTTGTCTTGGGAGTTTTGGGAGACGGGGCTTGTTGCGCAATCATCATTTGCCTGGCCTCTTTTCAGCTCCATCAGGGCGTCTCGCCTCCTCAGCTTTGTCTTGCCTTGTCTTGGACCAACAAAGAAACGAACGAATGGAACGCCTTCTTCTGCCGCAAGTTACCTATGGATACCCTTGGGTACCAAGTATTAAGCACAAAAGCCCTCTCTGCTTCTTGAATCCCCGCCATCTTATCACACAATACAAATCGATCCCTTCTTTCCATGATCGCCCTTGATCCTCTATTCTCCGCCGTAAGAAACTAGCAAACTCCCATCATCCCGTCATTGAGTCGTCTAGCTTTTCTGCGCCCCTTGCCCGGTGCCCTGTTCTCGGGTCCGGCCCAAGGAGAATAAAGCCATCAGATGCCGGTTCTAGCAACCAACAGCCCTACCAGTACCATGGCAGCCCGATGATATTAGTACTCCGCGATGGTAGTAGTAGTACATAGACAGTAGTTCCCCCGTTGGTTGGGCTTTGTCGAATACCCAGCAGGGAGGAAACTATTCGGTGCTAGGAAAGTTGTCCTCCACCAACAACAACATCCGCCATGGCATTTAGCCAGCAAATCACATCCAGCAAAGGTCGCCCTTCCGGCGCCGCCTCTGCCGCCTCTTGGGGTCCGGCTGTCGCTAGACGAGAAGCGGCACAGCTTGGAGGATGGGCTTGTAGACACGGCTGATGGAGGTGGCAAACCCCCATTGGGCTGGGGGACTTCCCAATCCAAACGTAACGAGCTTGACAAGCTACCATACGCACAATAGCAGCAGAAGCAGCAGTAGAAGTAACAGAGACAATGTAAGGAGGAACTAGGAAACGAGGTAAAGACATCGTCGTCGTCGTCGTCACCCTCCTCTCCGGCTCTCACTTCCATCACTCTCCGTCTCTGCAACATACAATTGTTGATACGGCATTCGACGTACAGACATGTAATCTTTCTTCCCCCCTGTCAGATCTTCCCTTTTTCTTTTCTCCTTCTTCTTCTGCTTCTCCTCCAGGGGAGACCAGCCCTCCTTCGGCACTCGCACAACCAACGAACAAAAACAAACTTTTCCTCGCGATACCCGGATCCCTTTCTCTCCTCCATCCTCAGCAAATCCGTCGATCCCTCTTGGAAAATCTTACGATTGGTGGCGTGAGCCGGGCGCGACCGGCTCTTCCGTAGTGGCTGGTCTCCGATTCGCTCCCTCAGCCCTGGGTCCCCCCTTTTCCCCGTTTCAAGGTACTACTATCCTGGCATCTCTCTTTGAACTTCCTCACGGCAAAGCATTGCTTGTTATTCCCAAACTTTCCCCCCTTGTCTGTGACAAACGGCTGTTGTGACATTCCTCACGCTTTTTGTCATGCTATGATCTTGAGATTGGCGACGCTTATTTTTGCCTCAAAAGGGGGGGAGGGGTGCATGAAAAGTTTCAACTGCTTATTCTGCATAATGCGCTTTTGAAACGAGTGAGAAGCTTGTAAGCACGTTACTTGAAACGCGGCGCTTTTTGCTGCCGTGCTCCGTAACGGATGGGACTCCGACTTATTACTGCATCGAAACAGAGTTAAAAGAGTCTCTGTATCATCACTTTTCTTCTACACGACCAATGAAACTGACAATAACCACATATCCCGAATACTACTAGTTTACGCAAGGGGTATCATACTAAGCCCATGGAGTGTCGATAGTCATGCAAGATCCACCACCAACATGCCTCCTCCAGATTCCCATTTCCACAGAGTACACGGGCATCAAGCCGCCTCAAAGCAACCGCCATCAGCGCCTCAAGCTCAACAATCCCAGATTTCCCTCCCAAATTACAAATCTCCCTACTCTGAAAATCTCCCCTTTGGTGCTTAGTCCTCCCCTCCTTTTTTCCCTATCCCGCCACCTTACAACACCACTCCAAGCCACCACACCACCACCACCATAGGAACAAACTTTGGCCATCCATCTAGTCCCTCCCCTCCCCATCGTCTAATCAACAACAGGTATAACAAAACGCCATGGCTTTCAACCCATTCCATGCCCGCGCGACGGTATTTCCCCGAGCTCTGGGTCAACTACACCCTCCCACAAGCAACTATAACGTGCCGATAGGGGGCGAAATCCCCAAGCTCAAGCTAAAGAGAACTGAACAGCCCTCCCTCCCCATAGCTCCCGTCCCCAAAGGGATCACAGGACAGGATCCCAGGACTTGGGGCTTTTCTCAACAAGCCACAACCGCGAGCTTGGGCCAGCTTCGGCGAAAGTCCATTTCTCACTCGGTAAGTGAACTACACCATAAGTCTGGAGATGCCAAGTTTGCCACCTGCTGGACGGGCTATTTCTCCGCGGGAAACTTTGAAGAAAGCCAGAGATAGTTAGTAGAGAGGGAGGCTGTACCTCAGCTCAGTTTCTCCATCAAACTCAAAGCCACTCTCCATACCCCATACCAAACAGAGATCAACGGCTGGGGATGGATTCAAGCCCACCGGATATCGGGCTCAGCCAAGATGAATCAAGGTTAAAAGCGGTATCAGTCAAAGCTGTAGACTAAGCTCGCCTCCCAGAACCCACAACGGCAGAAGAGGCAAAACTCCCCTAATCTTCTCAAAGCTCCCTCCTGGAGATGATGATAGAGGGACACCTCTTCAGACGAAAGGAAGGAACCTCACAAACAAGTACCTCGTCGTCCTTGAAGCAGCTTGCACCCGGAAGAACTCATCACGCCGGAAAGCTTTCCGACATTGGACCAGCTGTGGACCTCCTTCGGGACCATAAACCAACCAGTCAACAACAGACACACAATCATCATCATCAAATTGTTAGCAAATCGAAAACAACCACTCAAGCACAGCTCAAAGCCCCCGTGAAGCCCACTAATAACTGCAGAGAAGATGTTGAAATCCAAAAACGGCCACACGCATGAAATGTATGTATGTATGTATGTGTGTCCAAGGCTCACCAATAGGAAGCCATATCACAACCTTGTCTACTACCTTACTCTACCCTCTTTAACCTTTAGTTACACACCCAGGCTCGGAAATGAGAAAAAAAACAAGTAAAAACAGGCGGCGAATGAGAAAAGCCCGCGAGATTGCTTGCCGTTTTTTGACAGCGAATGTCTGCAGCAAGGCAGGCAGGGCTCAACTCAGCTGTGGCCACGTCGAAGGAAAGCCTCGGCCCGTTGAACAAACAGATGTTCAACAACCCGCAGCCTGCATCGTCATCGAGTACATGCAACGTGTTCTACATACACACTTTTTGTAGTTTCTTTAGTTCCTTTGTGCCATTTTGTGTAATGTAATATACGATACCGCAGGGAGGGCAGACCTCTCTATAACGTTCCTCGTACGGTGCTCCTGTTTTGCATCAAGCCCATTGTCGCAGCCTCGTCAACTTCCACCGAAACTCACACAATCCTCTCCTCAACAGGGGTGAAATGGGGACAATGGCAAAGAAAGGAATCAAAGAGAAAAAAGAGGGCTACGCGGCTCTGCAGCTGCATGTGTACCTAGTGCATATATCCCTCCATCATCATCGTATAGAGCCTATCACTACCTACTACTAACTCTATCAGATACACTAACTACTAAGGTACGTAAACAACAAAACGCATTGCGTGTAAGTTGCATCTCTGTACTATATAAGTATATGCACGCCGCAAAGCCCGACGTCTCCTCGATATCACTGGCCCTCTTCAACCCACAAGGTAAATACTCAAACTCACACAACTCCCCCTCGGCTCAACAGAAAACCGTCAAGGGCGGGGGAAAAAAAAGGCATGCAGAGAACCTCGTCCATTGCATCCGACCCAAGCGAAAAAAACTGCATGCCTTACTTACAATGCCCCCCTGTGAGATTGGGCCTTCTTTCTCCGTGCAAGAGGGGGGCCAAATCCGACGTATGATATAGAATCATCCGCCTCTTCCGTCTTGTCCTCCCGTTGGCTGAAAGACGAAGCTCCCACCCCTGTGGACCGTCAAATATGCAGCAGCTTTTTCTTACATTATCCGCATTTTCGTATCCTGCATCCTCTAAGCCGCTGCTGTCACTTTCAACTTCCTGCAGAGCTGCCCACTAGGAGTTGCCGATGCCAATGCCGACTCGACACCGGCAAACGCCCAATATGAAACGACAGCGACGAAAAAATCAAACCAGGGGGAGGAGGAAGCAATATCACTCGTATAAGCAATCAATGAATGGCCCCTTCACCAGAGCCTATCGGCTTCGTTTCGCAACCCCCTAGGGGGTGACACTTGGGCGTCGAGGAATGGATGCCGCAAAAGGGAAGGGAAAAAGAGACAATAGTATCTTCATCAGGACCACCATCACCATGCGTCTACATGACATGACATGTGTATCCATCCCACGCAAATAAATCATACAGAAACTCCAGCCGGTTCCCCGCCCGGCTCACGTACATGTACCCTGCCCATTGCCAGCGAACGCTTGCATGAAGCGGCAACTTCTCATATAATCTTCAACACCAACTTCCTCGTCCAATGTCCTTTATTTCAATCAACGGACTGGGTTATATTGCCGCCCCCCTTCACCCCCTTTCTCCCGGCCAGTGGCATCTAGCCGCCAAAATTCATCTTCAGCGTAATGGTTGGCTGCGAAGTCTCGTTGGACAGCGACTTGTCTGCAGCGCCGGCTGCCGGCCGACCCGATCGGATCACTTCCTCGAGGAACGCTCGCTGACCACTGCTCAGGCCCCCTACAATGGCTCTGAACACCCCCTGATCCACCGCGGCCAGCTCCAGGAGGCGTGTGCTTGTCTCTGCGTAAACCTCTTCACCCTCTGCCGTCGCTCTGGCCATGAGGGCCGGAATGATCAACGACATGGCGGCCGTCACTCGTTCAGGCTTGACCGACCTTACGTACAAACACAGAGTCTGACAGACGAGTGATCGAGCCCGTTCAGGATCCTCGGGCTCCACATTCGTCACAAAGGCCAAGAGCCGTGGGAAGAGATAGCGGGCGATGCTGACATCTGCTGCAGAAGGCGCCCCTTGCAGCAGCAGCGATCGGATGCAATTGGCTGCTATCTTGGCCGTCTTTGAAACAACACAGAAGAAAAGGGGGGCGTTAGTTTGTGGGCAGTCAAGATGCAGTGGGAGAGGGGGTTGGGATTGAAACATACCATTCGATCCGTGAGGCAGTCTACGACCTCATCTAGATAGCGTGCGACAAGGGGTTCGGTGGCAGGCAGCTGATTAGTGCCACTTGTAAGAAGGATTGTGGTCGCAAGCAGGCTGTTCTTGACAGACGTCAGGGACGTCGGCGTCTCCCGCTTCTGCGCGTTGAGGTAGATGGACAGGAAGCGCCGAAGGCACCCTTGCAGCTGAATGTCGGTGGCCGATGGGCCCTCAGCCGAGTCCCTCCTCGACTTGGACATGCTGGCGACGAATCGCTTCAGTATGGCGAGCGACTGTGGCACAATGAGTTCCTGGCAGCCGGGCGTGGCGAGGATCGTAGCGAAGATGTGGATGATGCACGCATGTAGGTCCGTCTTGATGATGGAGGGGAACACCTCGGCGGCGTCGACAATGGCGTTGAGGGCGGTGCTGATCAGCATGATGGCCTCCCCGTTCATCTGGTGTCGTGCTGGCGCATTGCCCTCGGACAGGCCCGGCAAGATGCCAGACAGGACCAGGACAATGATTCGCGTCAGCTCGAACAATTGGTCAATGTCCTCGGAAAGATCGCCGTCGTCATCCGACTGCCTTCGAGCAGAAGGATGCGTGACGCAAAGGTCCCTGGCGACCTCGACAATCACGCTCTGGACATCCAGACCTTCCGTCAGCACAAGGCGATCCAGGAGGTCCATTGTCTCGGAGAATACGTCTGGCCGGTAGATTGCGTGACCGGTCACACTAGGGTGCAGAATCTTCTTGAGGGCTTGCAAGATGGCCAGCATCTGCTCCTGCGTGGCCAGCGAGTTGTCTTGCCCAGGTCGGGTGGCCAGAGCCTCAAACGCTAGGCCGAAGAGCACGAAGAAGAAGGCCACCGGCTCGTCTCGGTAGTTGATGCCCGGCACCTTTGTCTGGCCATTGGTAGATGTCTCGCTTAGCTCCTTGCCGTCCAGGGCATCAAAGACAAACTCGCTGTCTTGCTCAATCAGGCTCGCGATCGCGTCAACCAGCTTGAGCCATGCGTCTTGGTAGAAGCGAAGCAGCGTCTCGCGATTGAGGGCTGCGTAAATCGTGTCCAGGCTGCCCGACATCGACGGCGGTCCCAGGGTCATTGAGATGTCCGGCTCGAACCGAAGTCGCGCAAATTCTCGGAGCGCCTCCAACCAGAGAGGAGTCAGCTTGCCGATATGCGGCTTCAGAACGTCCAGGAGATACTTCTGCTCGGAACTGGCGACTTGCAGCTCCGCCCATGCCGAAAAGACGGAGATCTTGACCATGACCTGGGCATTGGAGCTGAGACCCTTGAGATCACCAATGCCCGCGTTTTCGTTGTCGCTTGAAAAGTTCTCCAGGGCATTGACGAGCGTCTTTAGGATACGTCCCATCCGATCGACATCGGTAACGATGCCAATTGAGATGAAGCTTGCGCAGACATTGACGGCCTCCGAGGCCAATTCAGGGGATGAATCGGCCGCAAACGCCGGCGTCAGCGCAGAGCTAATCTGGGCCTGGTACTGCTCCAGCAGCATTGCTTCCTCAAAGTCCGGATCGGGTGTCTTGCCAAACATCTTGAGCACCGCGCCAATGATTTTGAGGCCCCAGATACGCAGCTCCAAAACGCCCGATGTCGATGCCGAAAAGGCCATGCGAACAACATCCGCAATCTTATTCTGCAAGGCAAGCTGGGCCTTGGACTCGCCGTTTGCTGCCACGTCCTTGGCGATGATGGCAAACATGTCGTAGATGCAGCTCATGGCAAAAGTCGTGACCTGCCAACGCAGAGGCTCTGCTTCTGACGCGGCATCGGCCTTGTCTTCCTTTGCTCCCGCCGAGGCGGCAGCGAACCCTGCAGCTTCTTCGTCTCGTAAGTCAGGCAGCCCGCCTGTCGTAGACTTGTTTGCATCCTTCACTTCTTCTGGCTTAGCTCTCGTCATCTTCAAAACAGCCTGGAAGCGTTGAAGCCACGAGGAGGTCTCGGTTAATGCTGTTTGATGCAGCCAGTTTCGAATGATGTTGCGAATCCCGTCGTGGGACGGATCAGCATCGAGCACCAGCCACAACCGGTCCTCGAAGCCCTTGTCTGCTTCTCGTAGAACGTCCCGAGGATCTCGTTTCATAATGTTATACAATCCGTCAACGGCTGCGTCTCGTAGGGTTGCGTGTTCAGATGAAAGATACTTTTGCAGCAGGCGGACGTAGTCTCCAAAGTGCAACTGTCCAGGCGCGTACAGAGAGAGGTGCTCCAAGCACCCTAGCGCGGCCCTTTCGACAAAAATATCCTGCTCCTCCTGAAACTGCCCAACCAGTGTGAAGATGAGCTCTCGCGACTTGTTGGCATCTTGAAGGTCAGGGCCGAGCACGTTGATCAGTGAGTCGACGCATCGTGCGATGGCGGCTGTGGTCGAGAGCTCCATCTCAAAGTTCATCGTGATGGCCGAAGATATCTCGGCGTGATGCGTCTCGGAAACGTAGAGCTGAGCGAGCATTCCCAGAGTGCTCGGCACGTAGGTGGCAAAGCTCAGCCCGGCAGCATCTGAAGCCAGTGACAACGCTTCAAGGGCCCAATAATGAACCACCGGATGAGGGTCGTTGCAGAGAGACATCAATATGCCCAGTATAGTCTTTAGATGATAGCCAGCCGCCATTCCGCCCACTTTGGTCTGGATTGCGCCCAAAGCCATTGCGCAGCCCGCTCTGGCGCTGGGCTCCCGATTTCCAACAATGGTGTCGACAAGGTACTTGATTTCCTGGTTTGTAAAAGCGTTGCCGTACACATTGCATAGTCTTGCCACGGCCGCATAGCCGAGGCTGCGGACATACTGGTCGGGGTCGAGAACAAAGTCTCGGACAATGTCCTGCAACAACCGCTCAACGGCGATGTTGGAGACGTCTCCGGAAGGTGAACTGGTTTCTTTCACGGCAACTCTCATTGTGCACAAGACGGCTGTTGCAAGGTTGGCGTTGATGGCTGCCTTGCGACCCGGATCTCGCTGGAGAGAACCTGCAGAGGCAAAAGTCCTGATCTGCTCCAGAATACTTTCCTGTACCTTGGCCGGGGTCAACGGAAATGCAAAGGCAAAGAGCTGTATGGCGTTGTTGATAACCTCGGTAGCTGGAGGGTCAGGATCTGTCGTGCCGTCATCTATACCGCCAATGTACAGCATCGAGGCATCGTGCTCAAGACTGCCGCAGACAGGCGATTGCAGTAGACTGTGAATGAAAGCCTCTGAATCGCTCTTTCGAACCTCATCTTCTTGTATGGCGTTTTCGTTCTGACCGGGCAGCGGCTTGACATTGAACCCAGATACGAGACCCGTTATTCCAAAGCCCGTGTTATCGCCAACATCCCAGATCGACTCAAAGGTGCCGGCAGCATTGGCTATTGACGCGCTCAATGAGTTGGGCGTGTAGTTATCGGGGTCTGCAAAGAGCGAGATCGCAAGAGTCAGAAGATTCGACTGCAATAGAGCTTCGCTGCCCCCTGCAGGGCTCAGATTGACTAATTTGATATAGCACTGCAAGACTCTGCGCTGTACCATTCTGTCAAGGTCCTGCAGCTGGAGAGCGGGAGTCAGTCTCTGCGAGATGTCCTCTGTTATCTTCTTGGACGGCAGCGTTTTCAAAAAGGCCGTCGTGCTCTGGAGCATGGCCGCAATACGCTTGGAGACATCAACCGTGAGGAGCCGGTTGTTGAATTGGAGAAAAGACAGAATTGAGCCCAGAGCGCATTCTCTCACGTGGGTGAGAAAGGATGCTTCAAGAAGACTTCTGGCCGAAGTGTTATCCTTGGCCAAGGGCTTTGGCAGAGCGTTTTTCCAGAGTAAAAGCAGTTGCGACAGGTGAATCTTGACAAAGTTCGGACCCAGGGACATGAGGCCACCGATAAGAATCCAAGCCACCTGGATCTGCGTGCTCGAGACCCTGAGTTCGGACTGGCTGCTCGATTTGAGCAAGTTGGTTGCCATCGTCAGGACTCGGCTGTTGACGTCGAGAGAGCCGTGCAAAGGACGGGAAGGGCTGGCACTCAGAGTGGCCGCCAACCCATGCGCGAAGCCGATACAGCGTCTGGGAGAGTTACGGCCCGATCCCAGCAGCGACAATTCTCGGCTGAGGCTGTTCATGCAGACCGAGAGGCAGGGAAGCAGCTGTTGCGGGCATGCAAGGACAAATGTCTTCATGCAATGCGACGCAAACACCTGGACCGAATAGCTCGGGTGCTGGAGGACCTGCAAAAGCCCATCTCGACACGACTCGGCGAAGCTGTTTGCGGCCGATCCCAGCGACTTGATCAGCGACGCGACAGCATTGAGAGCAACGATCAGAGTATGCTTCTGAGGCTCCGGTCGTTCGGGTAAGGCCTGGGGATAGTTCTTCAGCACGCCGCTAATCAAGGATTCCGCCGCCGACGTCTGGCCAGATTCTCCCAGAATCTTGCGTCCGATCACGTCCTGAACGATGGCATCTATGATTTTCCGGGATATCAACAGGCGATAGCGGTTGTTGTTAATGGTTGGATGGCCGAGGACATCGACAGACAGACTTTCCACGATGCTGAGATAGTTGGTCTGCACAGTCCTCTCCCCGAGCCGGCGGAAAAGTTTACCGTAACACACTCCAATCGCCGTACGAGATCTGTTCGTCGTTGCAGCCTTGACATAATGGCCAGCCAAGATCTTCAGTATATCGTGAAGTGACAAAGCCAGGTCTTGACTCCGCTTTGCACCAGGAGCCGGGCTCGACGAGCGGGACGGGATCTCGTCTTCATCTCCTGCAATACCCGGATGTGTAGAAACCCGCTTCAGCTTCGTCTTGGACTTTTTGTTCTTTGCAGCAGCCTCCGCAGCGCTGGACTCTGAATATCCCTGCACCAGAGCCTCGGCGAAGCAGCTGGCCACGGCGTTGCGCACCTTTGCGGATGACGAATCGGCCGCCTTGAGCATGGCCGTCTCCAGCTTGTCGAAATCGGTAGAGTTGTTAAAGTATGTGGTGTGCTGCACCAAAGCTTTGAGACACCGGCACGCAGACACGACGACGAGGCTTCCCTTGTCAGCAGAGGCATGGCTCCTGGCCTGCTTCCACACGTCCCTCGAGATATACTCATCCATGGACCCCTCGACCATGATGACAATCTTCTCCAGGGCAGTAAAAACCGCCGCTCTAATTCCCGCATTGTTGGACGCCGACTTGAGCAGCTTCAGCAGCGTTGTGCAAGCCAGCTGATGCAGCCCAATGGCGCTGTCGCCCGCAGAGGCGAAGACGTCGCCCAGGCAGCTCACAGCCGCATGCTTTGCGCGCGTCTCGCCATCCGACTTGGACTTTCCGCCAGCCGCGATCGCGACGAGGTCGTTGATTGTCTCAAACAGCAGCTTCCTGTCGCCCTTGCCGAAGATGTGTGCCAGGCAAGCTCCCAGATTGTTTCGGATGACCCGTGACGGCTGCGGGGCGGAGAGGTTGATGATCTGGAATATCTCGCGCTTGAGGTAGAACTGCTGGGCGGTGCAGTCGTCTGCCGAGAGCCCCAGAACGTGCTTCCGCAGGCTCGACACGAATGTGAGCAGGAAGAGCTCCTGCTGCTCGGCGGGCAGGGCCTGAAGCTTGGCGAGATCCAGCTCTGGGTTGGCCGTGGCCGAGTCGACGGCGGTGCTGGTCGGACCGCTCGCAGCGGCTGCAGCCTCGGGCTCTTGAGGCGACATGGCGGGGGAGATCCGGCGTCGTCAGAGGGGCCCCGTCTGGTCGAGTGTGTCCTTCGGTATCGTCACGCTTCGCTTCGTCTCGTCTCGTCTCGCCGTTGCTGTGGTGTCTTTGATAGGGGGATGGCCAGCTAACAGTTACATGCGCCCCAGCTGGTGATGATGGGCATCGACACTAGCGGTGGTGCAATGGCCAATCAGCAGGCGGCGGTGGCCCTAGAAATGGCAGCGCTTTTGCCAGAGCTCCAGGGAAGATTGTTTCCCCGGCGCAAATCCAGGAACATGCGATACCTACCTACGGAGTGACCTGAGGCGTCTGGAGAAGGATGAAATGAGTCTTGGAGTCACTGCAAGACATACTTATAATCAGCCATCTCTCTGTGTGGTCATTTGACCTGAAATCTACCAAAATGGCCACCGCAAGGTCATTCTCGCTCATGACAAGATCTTGTCTCTCGGCCGCTCCTCGCAACACTCTTGTATGCCCATCATGCTCACGGTCATTCGGAGCAACAGCGTCTCAGTCCGCCGGGCATAATAAATGGTCCAAGACGAAGCATATCAAAGCCGTCACCGACAAGAAGAAAATGTCTGAACGAGTCTCATTCACGAAGCTCATCACCATGTACTCCAAGAGTGAGTCCGTCATACACGAAATTGTCCTCTCAAGCCTCTCTTAAGACGAAATGGCTCTCTAACGATTGACGAATCAAAGTGTATGGGGAAGACATCAGATTCAATCCACAGCTCGCAAACGCAGTTGCGGCAGCGACAAAAGGTATAAAACGATCACTGTAAAACGTGATTTGAGAATCGCCGACCTAACTCACAAACAGCAAGCGTGCCAAAGGCGTTGATCGAGGGCGCCATTGCACGAGGCCAGGGTCGCTCTACAACCGGCGCACAGCTCGAGCCCATGACGTTGGAGATCCTTATGCCCCCAAACATTGCTCTGGTTGCCGACATTGAAACGGACAACAAGACGCGCAGCTTACACGACCTCAAGTTCGTAGTCAAAAAGGCCGGCGGACTGGTGGGATCGACGGCATTCTACTTCTCAAGACGCGGGCGAGCCGTGTTCAAACCCAGGGACGACGGCCCTTCCTTATCAGATGTGCTGGAAGAGGCAGTCGAGCACGAAGGCACCGAAGACGTCGAAGAGGACGCTGATGGCAACTACGTGATCTGGACGGAGCCATCCAAGCTCATGGCCATCACCGAGGCCATTTCCAAGCGCTTTGAGCTCGAGGTGGTCGAGTCCGAGATCATGTGGGCCGCGAATGAAGACACCAAGGCCGATGTCGACTCGCCTGAGCTGGTGGAAAGCTTAAACGTCTTGCTCTCCGGTCTGCGAGAGTACACTGAAGTCAGGGCACTCTTCGCCAACATTCGTCAGGGAGCCATCACGGACGAGGAATGGGACAAGCTGGAGAGGCACATAGATATATAGACATTGTAACCAAATCGTGAATTATACGAGGAACATCCCAAATATTGGAGTAGAATTTTTCCTTTCCCGGTTCTCCTTAACTTCAACCCAAAAACGCCAACCATGCAATTTGTCCCGTTCTCGCCATAGCGCCCATCCCCAAACTTCATATCATACAGACCAGCTCTTTTACCTCTCCTTTCGCCCCATCATTACGTCGCATAGTATCCAGCAGTACGGCTAGGAGCTCTCGTTCTTCTGCGCCTGCTGGGCCTGCTGTCTCTGCTTCTCCTCCAACAGAGCCTGTCTCAATTTCTGTCGCGCCACGATTCTCTCGTACTCGGCCTTGATCTCCTCCCGATCCTGCGGCAGCTTGTTGCACTCCTCGGGCTTCGGCCAAAAGTCGTTGACGGTAAAGCGGTTGTCCAGGTTCGTTCCGAAGTAGTACATGATTCCGATTGGAAACAGCAGATAGGTGCCGAACTGTTTTCGGGAGGTCAGGAAAGCTGCGATCATTGCTAAGAGGTCAATAGACAGGCAGCCCTTACCTTGAAGACTTCGAGGTTTATGCCGCCCATCTTGGAAGATTGCGATTTGGTATCTGGTTGAAAGACTGACTGGGACAATACTACGAAGACGTCGAGTTCGAACTGCTTTGGATTGACGAGAAGTTCGCCTTGGACGCCTTTACATCATAACCTCGATAAAGCGGTAGCTTCTACAACCCCGCCAAACTGAACCCACACCTCACACCACCCACTTTCTCCGGGGATCGAACTATCCGTAAGGTACCTTAGATCTCTGTGCCTTGGAGCATTGAAACAGCAAATGAGTCGTCTTATACAGCCTTTACCCATATCTGTATTTACCATGACTTATCCCAACTATGACTATGCGTATACATTCCGTTTTCAACCGGCCACGAACAAAAACACATGCCGACAACGGCAAGAAGAAGTTGTGTGTGTATGGATAACATCGCCGATTCCTCCAACCGTGCTCATATAGACCTTGTCATCAACCCGTGTGCATACATGCATATGAAATACAAAAGTAACCAATAAGATGCCATATGGATCCCTCACAGCACGTCAACGCCATCCAACTTTCCATTCCCTGATAGTCCGTAACCCTTACCCACACTGGGGATTAGTGAGCTGAGATAGGAAAACCAACCTTCCGCCCCGAGACATGATAGACGCCAAACAAGTTCCGCATACCAAGAGCACATCACTGAGCAGATCCATTCCCTTCCTTCTCCGCCTGTGCTTGAGCCTGAGCTTCCTCCATCATGAATCGCTCAGTAAAGCTCCGAGGCGTTCCAGTGAAGCCGGATCGGACAAAACTAGCGCGGAAGCTGCTGAGGTCTGCTTCGTCCATACCACTTCGACCATCCAAGCCTCCCACAAAAGTGTTGAAGTTGCCTAAAGAGGCCGCCCTGGCGTGTACCTCCGGGTTGCGCACTACAGGCATGACGACGGGCCGGCCCTTGTATGATCCAAGGGACCCAGGTTGAAACCTGGACACGGTGGACATGGAGTTTTCGAGTCGTGCCGGTCTCATAATGGGGACAGCCGGTGAAGTTGAATAGAGTGGTTGATGGCTAGGTCTGTTCATGTCTGAGACGCCATCCTCAGAATCATCTGAAAGTTCCTCCTCCTCGTCGTCATCGTCGTCAGGCGGGGGAGGCGGTCTTTCGCGGGGCTTTGGCGGAGCACTAAGACCGCCAGGTTCAAACTCAAACATGTCATCGTCATCATCCCCATCATCGGCAAGGGGTTCGTCTTGGAAAGGAGGCGGGTTTCTTCTGTCCACATGATTGCTGGAGTTGCTAGAGTTGATGCTCGACCTGCTCGGCAAAGACGCTGCAGCTGAGTGTCCATTGGCCGCTCTCTTTGGCGGCAATTGAGCGAGTGAAGCAGACGCAGGCTTCCCAACGGCGGGAGAGTTGCGTTTAGGCATGGCTAGATAATCATCGTCATCGTTTGAAGAGTCGCCGTCATCATCGTCGTGATCTGAACGGTGATTGTTGACGTCATCGGAGGAATATGACGATGTCGTGTTGCTGGCTTGAGCGGCTCTCAGTGGAATGGATGTTGTATGATGATTTGCTGTAGATGTATTCGGCTCCGCAGAGGTAGTAGGCTTCTCTTGAGCTGTTCCGGTAGTGTTCTTCGAATGTGATGGATCCTCGTCCGTATCGGGGTTCACGACAGTCCAGACGGTACCTTCCTCCGCTGGCGCCCTTGATAAGGCTCGCAAGGCCTCTGTGGAGGAGCTCTTCCGAACCGGAGGCTCCCACTCGTCCATGTCGCCGCCCAGTATCATGCCGGAAGCAATTGAGTCGTCCTCCAGGGCCGGCGATGATGCGACGGGGGTCAGGAATTCGACCTGCTGCGGAGATGACGTCGGCAACACCTCTGCACCCATAACCTCGAAGCGGACTCGCCTCGGGCTCTGGGGCGGTTTAGATGTACTGGACGAGCGTCGCAGGGCACTTCTTCTGGCCTTGGCATCACTCCTGTCCGAGTTGATAGATGAGGTTGACTCCTCGGTGGCGGTCCTGACGAGGTGGTGCGCCTCGGTGAGAGCCTGAGGGTCTGCGGGCGGCGTGTCGTTGCCAGCGGTCGCAAGGCCCCCCTCGGTGATACCGTGGTCGGTGGCTGTGCCGCTGCCGCTGCCGCTGCCGGCAGTTCGTGGTGCCATTACAGGCGGCAATGGGACGGAAGCCGTGGTCTGCGTTGCCGTGGTCGAAGCTGTGGCCGCGGCCGTCGAGGCACCAGGCGAGGTAGCTGCCGGTCGGGGATCGTACTGAACCGGAGGCGAGCTGTCGAGCAGGGGCAGGTAGCTCGGCGTGAACAGGCCACGCAGCTCCGTCTCTCGGTCCCGCGAGCTGGTGGTAGGCGTGCCGGGAGGCTCGATACGGGCGGCGGGCTGCTGGAACGCAGCCGGGCGAGGCGGTTGTGAGTCAGCGACAGCGGCCTCCAGCTCGGGGCGGAGGGTCGGATAGTTGGCAAAGGACTGGACAATGGCTCGCTGGACGCTGGATGCGACGCTGGGAGGGACGTCGGCGAGCAGGTCGTGGTAGTAGCGCTGGAAGTCGGAGAGCAGGTCGCAGCGGTAGGCTCGCATCTTGCCCTCCAAGTCATCCAGCTTGGTGTGGAGGCTGCTGAGCAACGTCGCCTCCATTGCGGCTAACAAGAGGCTGCAAGCGGACTGGAGCGTGTCAATGGCCTTGATCTGCCCATGACGCTAGGCAAGGGCGGGGATCCGAGGGCGGCCGCTGATTTGGAGCCGACAAGCTTTGGCTGCAACTGTATGCACCGTGGCCAGAAAAAGAATCGGATCGCGGGCAGTTATTGTCGTTGGAGAGAGGAATTGACCTGGCCGGAGCAGGTTGTAGAGCTCTGGGCGGCCGGGTGGATTTCACTTAGGCACAATGCTGGACTTACATAGCGCCGCTTCTCCCCCACTCTCTGGCCCTGCCCGTGACCTTGTCTGGGCAAGAGGGAGCGTCTGTTCACTATTATTATCAACGATGTTTATTCATTCACCTCGTCGATCGTGCACTCCAAGTCTCGTTCCTCACGCCTGCCCTGGCCAGGATACATGTACAATTGCTACTGCTCGCGGAATACGAGAAATGGAACAGACACTGTCTGCGACGCCTGGCTTCCGGAGGTGCAAGGGCAGCCTTGGGCGTTTTGATCCGTTGCCTCTGAGGGGGCTTACGCTAGGCATAGATTACCTGCTAGCTGGCAGTTGGATCACCAACCACGCTCGCCCGGCTCAGTCGCCGTTGGACAAAGGCCCAGCCGTGTGTGTGCTGCTGCTGCTGCTCGGAGCTGGTGGTCGGCAGATGGTGCTGCCGTCCACGATGTGAGAAAACCGCCTTGGTCGCGGTGACTGGGCCATGGAGCTGTCCGGCATCTCCAACGTCGCATCACCCTCGTCGCTGGATGTGGCATCAGGCAGACCACCCTTTCGGACCCCGGATATTCCAGGATGCTTCCAGACCAACAGAGAGGCCTGGGCCAAGCCCTCCGTCCGCCCAACAGGGCCTGGAGCAGCGTGGGCAAAGCGTGGGCAAACGTGGGATACAGAGGGGGTTAGGGTGCTGCCCATGCATCATGCTGCAGATCTGCCCCTGCTGGTCCACCATCCGCTCACCCATTCGGCAGCACGCGAGACAGCCATTCAAGCTGTACAGTCGTGCAGTCTCTGTTGGTGTGGCTGTGGTGTTGCAACACTCCCATGCCTTGCTTTTACGTGTATCAAGCATGGAGTACGGAGCGCTGCATGCCTCTCTGTACTCGAAGTTTCGATGGATTGCATTGGCTCACATAGATAGGTCATCACCCAATGTATCCCAATAGCAGCACATCTTCTGGACTCTCACGGCCATAGGATATAAGTGATTGCCAGTCATGTGGTAGCTCTTTCTAGTACTCCGTACCACATACATACTACCTACTGCCTACTACTAGCTAGGTAGATAGTCCTCGTGCTTGACTCGCACCCGATACCACGACAGAAAGTTGGTGTTGGCATTGTCCCGCCGCCACTGGAAGCCATCGAGGCTCCTATATCGGTAGACGACGTAGAGCCACCTACGCCATTCAGCTTGTGTTATCATGGACGAGAATCGAGATGCAGCACACGGCTCATCAACTCCCTGATACAATGAGAAACCAATCATCGTCCAGAGTCAAGAAGTGCTGAGTGATAAGCATGTGAGATCATGGGCTTGGGATACGAGCTGAGGCTTGTGCCTCATGGCCGGCGACGATCCGCTCATCGATCGAACAGAGCTCCAGAGCTCCTCCCGGCTGTGGCTGGAGCATGTGGCTGGGGGAACACACCAGGTGCCTGCCCGACAGCTCACACCGCCTTTCTACATCGGGACATTCGTGACAAGGTTTCGATATTCTGCCCCATAGCCTTGCCAGCTGTGGAGCCCGGCCCAGCTGCGCGTGCTTGCTCTCCTTTGGCAATCAACGCCATTCACCAAATCCCATCGAGCAGGGAACCTGGGGGAACGCAGCATCACCGCACCTTCTGCTTACTCCTCTACTGCGGCGTCACTCTCAGCAATGTCAACCATCCCGGCCTCGGCCCTGCAATCGGGGTCTCCGCCCATCATCCCGCTGCCGTTCAACGCCAAACAGCCCGAGAAGGTGACGCTGTATCCGCTATCCAACTACACATTTGGCGTCAAGGAGACCCAGCCCGAGGAGGACCCTTCCGTCATCGCCCGCCTGAAGCGCCTGGAGGAGCATTTCAACGAGCATGGCATGCGCCGCACCTGCGAGGGCATCCTCGTGTGCCACGAGCACAACCACCCCCATATCCTGATGCTGCAGATCGCAAACGCGTTCTTCAAGCTGCCCGGCGACTACCTGCGGCCCGAGGACGACGAGGTCGAGGGGTTCAAGGCTCGGCTGGACGAGAGGCTTGCGCCGGTAGGCCGATTGGGCGAAGGTGAGGAGGCGGGCGACTGGGAGGTCGGTGAATGCCTTGCGCAGTTCTGGCGGCCAAACTTCGAGACCTTCATGTATCCCTTCATCCCTGCGCACGTCACGCGGCCCAAGGAGTGCAAGAAGTTCTACTTTATCCAGTTACCAAAGAGCAGTATGTTCTATCTATTCCATCTCCAACCAGTGGTCGCACACACTAACGTCTTCCCCCCTTTCCGAACAGAGGTTCTCAGTGTGCCGAAGAATATGAAGCTTCTCGCCGTCCCCCTGTTCGAACTGTACGACAACACCGCCAGATACGGACCGCAACTGTCTGCTATCCCACACCTCCTCAGCCGCTACAACTTTGAGTTTGTCGATGAGAACGGCGATGTTGTCGCCGCGACCCCTGGTTCAGGTGCCCCCGACGGATACGTGCCTAAATCCAAGGTTCTGGCTGGGGACGATACGGACATGGTTGAGGAAAACGGGACGCATTGATAAGGGATGGCTGGCACGTTGGAAAAAACATGGCGATGGTGTTTGGCGCATAGGTTATATGAATGTACACACTCTTCGAAATTTGCGGGCTGTCTAATTTCCATACAGACTTGTCAATGCTATAGAATCTTCTCACGCCTTTTCCCCCTGGATTGTTGCTATGATGTTACGCCGGTGTTTGCTTGCCCTGAACTCCAGGTACCAGATGCCCTGCCATGTTCCGGTAGCCTAAATATTGGGTTAGCATGGACGCACGTTGTATGGAATCGGGGCAGAGCTGTGTCGACTGACCAACTTGCCGTCCTTGATTGGGACTGTGACGCTGGCGCCAATGAGGGCTGACTTGATATGAGCCTATTCAAGGTTAGGGGTCTGCTTCATTTCTATCTGCTCCTGGCGTCCTCAGAAATGGTTTGCTACTCACAGGCATGTCGTCGGGGCCTTCAGCGCTGTTGAACAAGGTATTAGTGTGAAACTTGATACATCAAAGGTTCGATGTCACTTACTCATGGCGATAGAGTGCCTCTCCCTTGGCACCATAGTCTGGTGCAATCCGGTCAAGTGCATCGCTCATATCCGCTCTGACGTCCTCATCCCCTATCGAAAACCGAAACATGTCAGACTTTGCACACAGACAACCTGTGCAGAACTTAAAACAGCACGAAAGGAAGAAGTGTCAAAACCCACAGTTCTCATTCAAGCTAAGAGCACAGCTCGTATGCTGGACAAATAGATTCAACAACCCGACTTTATACTCCTGAATCTCAGGCAGCGCAGAAAGAATCTGGTCCGTGATGAGATACGAGCCGCGGGACTTGGCCGGCAGTGTGATTTGCTTCTGGAACCAGGTCATGGTGGCGATGGTGGTGTCTGCAGGTGAAGAAGAAGACGACTTCGAGAAGATGTAGCTGAGGGGCAGCGTCCAGAGGAAGTGGAATAAGTCGGGGAAGAACGACAGTATGAAGAGGAAGATAAGAAATATGGTGGTGATGTCGTTGAGTTGTTGCTGAGGCATTCTGTAGTCACGGTGATGTTATGGGAGCAGAGGTGGGGACTTGGCAGGCTGGAGAGTCGCTGGCTTTTTAGTGGGGTCAGTGGTTGCATGTACAGAAGGGGATGTGCTTGCCCGGTGATAGCCTCATGATGCAGTGTGTGACATCAGCGTCGTACACATCAAACCGGGGGGGAATTGCTAGAAGGAGGCTACGATATGGCAATACTGGATTTGATAGTACTCTATGATAGGTAGCGACTTTGCACGAGAAACAATGGCGTGTGTAAAGGAAATTGTTCTCTCCAGCTGGCACAGATCACGACTTTATACCAAATGACAGACTCGAAAGTTCCACAGCACCCTCAAATGCAGATATATGTACAATATGGTTCTTATTTTTCATTGAAAGCTCTTCATAACCAATACAAGATATTCCGCGAATCGACCCAAGGTCTGTCTATGCCCCATCAGCTCAATAACCCCATATTCCCGCTTCAGTATATCTATTTCAAAGGGTAGGAAGTCTCGGGCAGAGATTCCAGGTGTTTTCGGTGGTGCTCGTTGGCCTAGAACGGTATTAGCATTTCTCTCAATGCTTCAGAAAAGGATGCTTTGGCAGTCTGGCATACAAAGGGGTTTCCGCAATAGTTGCAAGTGGCAATTTCGGGTTTGTCGGTGTTGATAAAGATCCTGGGGTGGCCAGCAGGGCCGCCGCCGCCATCGCACGATACAATCTTGTCGTGAGTCCATTTAACAGGCACCTGGTGCACCAATTCGATGGCAGCGTACGGTTGGGGCTGCGAATCACATCAATACCCTATCCTCGCATATCAGACACCAGTCGAGGCTTTTTACCTGGAGGCTGAAGTCGGTCTGTTCGAAACGGGGACCGGTCATGGCCAAAGCTCGAGGCTTCTGGCTTCGGGACCAGATAGCGGCTCGGTTGGGGGCCTGGGTGATGGCTTTGGTCTCGGTCTCGAGGACAGCGGCCGTTTCGCTTGTGCCGGTAACGGGCGCGGGAGCTTCGAGTCGGCGGGCGGAGGTGGTGAATGTTCGGCTCGATGCGCGCACGCCGCGCGTCAGCGCTTGAACCGCTCGCAATTGGGACGAGGCCATGGCTGCGACGATTGCGATGGGGTTGCAATGATCTGGACTCGAAGCCGAGCAGCACTTCTCTAGAGTTGAGAGTTGAGGTTGGATCTGGAGGTGGGTTGAATGAGCCGGAACAATTATTGTCCGAGACGGGATGGTGCTTTCCTGCCGGCGCATTACCTTACTACTATCGACAAAGCTCGAGGTAACTTTTTTCTCTACATAAACCAAACCTTGCGCTTCGCAGAAGAAGCAGATCCAGACACTCTTAAAAATCCAAAGAAGGGAAAAAAACCCCGCGAGGCGGAGGATACCAGAAAGATGGGCTCAGAAACGCCCAAGGGGCCTTCTTCAAGGCTCCTGACGATGAAGTTCATGCAGCGAGCTGTCGCATCCGCAGCTTCGTCGCCACAACCCGACGAAAACGCCCAGACATCCAAAAAACGAAAGCTGAAGCACTCAGCGACCGCAGCTGCAGAGGAACGAATCAGCGCGCTGATTGACCAGGCCTCGATCAAAGCAGCTCTTGAAGAACAGGAGGCGAAGCGACAAGCAGCCCTGGCCCTACACTCTGCGACCGGCGCGCACTGGGTTTTGAACACAAAGCTGGACAAGTTGAATGCTAGCAAGCCGTCAGAACCGTCGCTGAACGTTGTCTATGTGGGCTATGGAGATATAGATTCATCCAACGAGTCTGGAGGCGAAGATACTCCCCAGACTGGGCGGACATCAACGCGCAAGCCCAAGGCAGTCGAGAAACAGGCATGTCCACACGCCTCCAGCACATTACCGAGTATACCTTGTCCCTTGGCTGACCTTCCGCAGCAACCTAGCCCGAGTAACGACGACAAGTCAGGTGAGGAATCATCATCTAGTGATGACGACGATGACGACGACGAGAATCCGAAGCGCAAAAGTAGACGTCTGGACTCTGGAGACAGCTCGAGCCGCTCACAGTCGCGGTCGATACCCAGACTCAGCGAGGAGGCCAAAAAAGCCAAAGATTTCCGTGAGAAGCGGAAGAAGAAGGAAGTTCGACTAAACACCATTTCTTCTATATCATCTGCAGGTGCTGGGGGTGCCGGTGGCCCGATTCCCAACATGACTTGCTATGTTTGCAAGCAACCCGGGCACAAGGCGGCCATGTGTCCCAAAAACTCTTCCAGGAGATGATTGCTTCTGCTTCTTTTCGGTGCTTCACTTTGGTGACAACCTTTGTTCCCACTGAATTCACTTCGACACATTCTATCCCCGGGAGGGATGTAATTTCTCATGAATGCAGAGGCCCGCCTGCCCAATATATACCCGATTTGCTTATAGGACAAGGCAGTACTTGCTTCAGCTGTGTGCATCATCGTCCTTTATATCTACATAGAAGCTCTTGGTCAATCACCAAGGCACACTGCCATCTTCCGGATGCGCAAGTGAACTATCAACCAACTTCCTTGGGTGTTTTCTCGGGCATGGAATAGATGAAATACAACTTAGAACTGAATCATTGAACGTTTCTACTTTAACCTGTGAAATTAATCCAAAGTTTAACTGCATGGTAGATATGCCACCTATATCCATGGAAGGCTGTAGAATGGCATGTACTCGTGGCTGTTTTAGTACATGTATAGGACGAGAATAATAGGTACCACATCCATCTCCCGGAGGCCTGAATCTCACGCGGGCTTGGTGGGTTATCAGATCCAATCGGGGGGCCGAGACGCCTTTACATTGTCACATGCATATACTATGACAATACGAGGACGAAGGATGACAATTGCGATGTCTTAATGCTTGGGTCTTATTCTGACATCTACGTGGCGCGTTCTTTCTCATCACTGCAAGAGTCGTCAGGACATGCCCATCTCATCCGAGCAGACGTGGCGTTCTTGCAAGCCACAATGAATCGCTGTTCATCCGATGGACGAAATGGTACAATGTAGCTTCGGCTGTGGCTTAGAGGCAAGGCAAGTCTTGCAATAATCTGAGAACTACAAGCTATCTCTGCCATCCTCATACGTTTGCGCATAAGTCTGCTGCGGGGCTTAGGGATCCTTTGTCGAAGGATGAATCCACCATGGAGGACACTATCGACAACTTTGTCCGTCCAAAGCCGTAGTCCGCAGCCGGCAACCTCGAGCGGCATGACATGGCCGCAAAGCCGCCCGCACGGGACGTACATACATGTATTACATGCATATGAGTCCTACCGAGTGCATTCGCAAGCTTTGAGCATTTTCCCCGAGTCTCACTATGCCGGCTACCATTTAACAATTGCCTCCCACATCCCCGCTATGTCGCATACTTTCGTCCAAAGTCGATGGAAGAGATGCGGACTTCTGCACTACGGCAGCGCCTAGCCAGGCCGCTCGCTTGCCTATGAGGTTAATAGTGCTTGCTAACAAGGAATGGAGCGTCTATTGATTCCTTCGCACTAGATCACCGGGAACGAACAGTCACGCTGGGTGTCCCAACGTTCCACGGAACCGAGAAGCGATCGAGCACACGATCAAGCGTCACGAACGAAGTCTTGGAGAGCTCAACTCAGATGCCATGGTGGCGTTACGAGGTGCGAGTGCGAGTATGTCCTTCGAGTCGGCTTCTTCCCCAAGCATTGCCCGCTGGATATGGAGCTGCGGGCACAACAGACCGGACAAAAAGCTGCGTGTTGACCGGCGACAGCCGTTGCTCGGCTCGACAACCTTGATGGACCAGTGACACCCTCACAATTCAAGGGAGTGGTTGACGTGTCAAGCACCCCAACCGCCTCTTGCACTTATCATGCAAGGCCCTTGGCCTATACTCACCGACCCAAGCACTTGTAAGCAGATCAGATCGCAACCCTGACCTTTGTTTGTTTAGCGCGCCCCTCTCGACGGAGTCCAGGCAGAAGACGCTTTCGAGGCCATCGTCGGCATCTCGTCAAAGCTCCGCGGTTGGACAAGACCGCCGCTATGATAAGTCTTGGGCTGTTTGGGGCAATGTTTGCTCATTATCAAGGGTCGATACGCAATCATGCCGAGGCCAACGACAACCTCTGCTCTTACTGTTCCGGCCATCATCTCCAAGTCTTTTCAGTAGTCGCTTCATTCGTACGACTCTGGGCGAGGAGGATAAGTCATGACTGATTGGCTGGCGGAAGTTTTGGTAGAGCATCGTATCCACTGCGAATCCACGCTTGAGCAACCCAGGAGAGTGGAAACGAGACGGGGAAGCATCATCACTTGTTGCCTCCCCACACCCCTTGCAGCATCTCAGAGCTTTCGTCCTCGTTCTCGGATTGGTGAGAGGCTTGTCATGTCTTCTCCTTGGATGTGCAGGACTTGCCCTGCAGAGCTGCAGAGCCAATAAACGCTGTGTCACCACATCCCGAGGCACGGTCCCAACAAACGTTTGCGGCATTCGTTTCTGCTTGTCTTGTTTGATTAATAGTAGTGATTAACACAACACCCTGATTCTCTGGCTCCTTGGGGCCGGCCTTTTATACCTGGATGCGAGCAAATTTGCCATCACAATATACACAGCAGCAGCTCCTCTATGGCTAATGCTCGATTCCCCGAGGGGCGGCAAATGCAAACAAACTTGGTCTCAGCAGCTTGCTAAGAAGATCTGCGGTCTAATATATACCAGCTGAGCGTCAAGCAATAAATATCATGGCCAATGGCAGCTCAACGGACCATCTTTGTATTGTAGTACAGCCCGCTTGGCGGCGCAATCCAGAGGCCCTTGGTTATAAGTAGTAAAGCCATTCCGCCATTTGCCGCCTCAAGGGAGCGGCTGGAGGGGAACCTTGAGGGGTATGCTTTGGAAAAAAGAAATCTTGCTATTCATTGCCCCCAGATCGTGTAAGTATTCTATGTATAGCTAGGTAGCATGTAAGCATCATACATGTAGCTCCTCGCAAGCAGACTCTGGATGCTTTCATGCAGGGAGTTCCAGCCATCTGACAAGGACAAACAAGTACACAATCAGCACGCAGCTCTTTCATCTCAACGCACATTTGCGCTGATTCATGTTCATACATGCAGAACTCGTTGGCACCATTCATCCAAGCAGAGAAGCGCCGCTTTGCGATTCCGTACCTCCTGCTTATCATCAACTGGCGTCAGAGCAGACAAAGAGCTTCTGTCGCCCCTTTTCCCTGCCCCTCCTCCTCTCCTTGCGACTCGCTGCTCAACACTCCGACTGCACCACAAAACATCCGTTTCCCTCTGATTGGCCTCCATCAACAGCCATTGATCCTCAAAAAACACTCAAGACCCTGATCACCAACCCCATCAAACCATACAGAAGCTCATCAAACTGCGGCAAGCTCCGAGTCGGTGATTTTTCCCGTCTTCCGACCTAAATAGAGAAGGTGGCGCTTCTTCCCCACTAACGAATAGCAACACACACCGCAACGGATCAGTCAGCCCGCCGCCACTTACCTACCTTACCTTACCTACAAAAAACACCACCATCCCATACCTTGCCTATCCTGTACGATCCTTCCAAGGCCCTTCAGCTGAGCTGCCCCTCTGCCGAAGCGTCTCCTGCCTTCAACCGTCTGTTGATGCTTTGAAGTCGGACTCTGGACGCTTTGAAATCCCCCGCAATGGAGCGAGTGCCGGCGCCGGTCAAGGCTGAGGCCCAGGGCCCTATTCGCCCATCGTCGGTTGTGCTTCTGACCGACAAGTTGGAGAAGCCGTCGATAGACGACCGCGACTACAGGGTCATCCGCTTGGAGAACGAGCTCGAGGCTCTGCTGGTGCACGATCCGGAGGCGGACAAGGCCAGCGCAGCGCTTGACGTCAACGTCGGTAACTACAGTGACGAGGCTGATATGCCTGGCATGGCACACGCAGTTGAGCATGTAAGTCGTGATCCCTTTTTGCTCTCCCCCCCTTTGTTGGATCAGTGATTGTTATCCTCTCTATTCCTCCCTGAACCTCTCCCCGCCTTGCGATTGTCGCCCTCCCCATACCAATTGTGCGTCCTGTAACTCAGCAGCCGGACTGACTCTCGAACCAATGGGTAGCTCTTGTTCATGGGCACGAAAAAGTTCCCCATCGAGAACGAGTACAGCCAATACCTGTCCGCAAACTCCGGCAACTCCAATGCGTATACAGCCTCTACGTCGACCAATTACTACTTCGAGGTGGCGGCCAAGCCAGCCAATGACCAAGATCCGTCAGATACCAACCCCTCGCCTCTCCGTGGGGCCCTCGACCGCTTTGCGCAGTTCTTCATTGAGCCGCTCTTCTTGTCCAGCACCCTGGACAGGGAGCTTCAGGCCGTCGACTCGGAGAACAAGAAGAACCTGCAGAATGACACCTGGCGCATACACCAGCTGGCCAAGTCTCTGTCGAACCCGAAGCACCCTTACTGCCACTTTTCTACCGGTAACCTGGAGGTGCTCAAGACACTCCCGGAGGCCAAGGGGATCAATGTCAGAGACAAGTTCATTGAGTTTCATGCCAAGCACTACTCGGCCAACCGCATGAAGCTCGTCATCTTGGGCCGTGAACCGCTTGATGTGCTCCAGAAATGGACCGTCGAGTTCTTCTCCGACATTGTCAACAAGAATTTGCCTCCCAACAGATGGACGGAGGAGTCCCCGTTCCGCGAAAGCGACATTGGTGTACAATTCTTCGCAAAGCCGGTCATGGACACAAGAGAGCTGCACCTGTTCTTCCCATTCATTGATGAAGAGTATCTGTACGAATCTCAGCCTGGTCGATACTGCTCTCACCTCATTGGCCACGAGGGACCCGGCAGCATCATGTCATATATCAAAAACAAGGGTTGGGCAAATAGCCTCTCTGCCGGTGCTTCTCCGATTTGCCCTGGCACGCCAGGCGTCTTCGAAGTTCAGATCCGACTGACGGAAGAGGTAAGCTTATGCATTCTTTTGTTTGCGTTTCTGAACACGGCCTCCCTAACAACTTGACACCACAGGGCCTCAAAGTCTATCCTCAGATTGTCAACGTCTTTTTCCAGTACATTGCTCTCCTGCGCGAGACGCCTCCCCAGGAATGGATCTTCCAGGAGCAAAAGGTCATGGCCGACATAGAATTCAAATACAGAGAAAAGGCTCCCGCGAGCCGGTTCACGAGCAGAGTCAGCTCCGTGATGCAAAAGCCGTTGCCGCGAGAGTGGTTGTTGAGTGGCTACAGCCTCATGCGCACCTTTGACGCAAATCTCATCCAACAGGCTCTAGCCAAGTTCCGCCCAGACAATCTTCGTCTCTGCGTCGTTTCACAAACCTTTCCAGGTACCTGGGATAAGAGGGAGAAGTGGTACGGTACGGAGTATACATACGAGAGAATCCCCAAGGATCAGATGGATGATTGGAAGCGTGCCGTGGACACTCCAAGCCAGAGCCGGCTGTCGGAGCTGCATCTGCCTCACAAGAATGCCTTCATTCCCAACAGGCTCGAGGTGGAGAAGAAGGAGGTGTCGGAGCCTGCATTGGCACCTCGGATCCTGCGAAACGACGAAGCGGCTCGAACGTGGTGGAAAAAGGACGACACTTTCTGGGTCCCCAAGGCAAACGTTATCGTGGTCCTGAACAATCCCCTCGTAAACGCTTCGGCTCAGGGTTACGTCAAGGCCAAGCTATTTACGGAGCTGGTTCGCGACGCATTGGAGGAGTACTCATACGACGCAACCCTTGCCGGACTCGAATATACGGTGTCCCTGGACATTCGAGGCCTCTGCATCGAAGTCTCGGGATACAACGATAAGCTTCCCGTTCTTCTTGAGCAAGTCACCGCCACCCTGCGAGATCTCCCGATCAAGGAGGATCGCTTCGCCGTCGTGAAGGAGCGCGTTACTCGTAGCTATGACAATTGGCAGCTTCACTCCGCGTATCAACAGTCCGGAGACTACACGTCGTGGCTCAATGCTGAACATGACTGTCTGGTCGAGGAGCTTGCCGTGGAACTGCGAGAAGTCACGGTAGACGATGTGCGGGAATTCCAGAGGCAGCTGCTGGCCCAGATGCACATTGAGGTTTACGCACATGGCAACATGAATAAGGGCGATGCGCTGAGAGCGACGGATACGGTTGTGTCCGCCCTGAAGCCCCGCGTCTTGCCCAAGTCTCAGTGGCCCATCATCCGTTCGCTTATCTTGCCTTCTGGGTCAAACTACGTGTACAGAAAGACGCTGAAGGACCCCGCGAATGTCAACCACTGTGTCGAGACATGCCTGTACATTGGCGAGAAGGGCGATCGAGCGACCCGCGCAAAGACTCTCTTGATGGACCAGATGATCCACGAGCCCGCGTTTGACCAGCTCAGGACGAAGGAGCAGCTCGGATACATTGTTTTCACCAACACGCGGCCCTTTGCCACCACCTATGGCTTCCGCATCATGATTCAGAGCGACAGAACTCCCGACTATCTGGACAAGCGTATTGAGGCCTTCCTGGTCTTGTTTGGAGTAATGCTCAAGAATATGACGGAAGACGAATTTGAGGGCCACAAGCGAAGTCTGATCAACAAGAGGCTCGAAAAGCTGCGCAACCTCGACCAGGAGACCAACAGACATTGGGCACAAATCTCTAGCGAGTATTATGACTTTGAGCAAGGTGAGTTGACGAGTTGAATATGGTCTCTTTTTCGCGTTTCACCCGTATGATATACTAATGCGTCTGGTATCCAGCCCAGCAAGATGCAGCCCACGTGAGGGCAATCACAAAGGCCGACATGGTCAGCTTCTTCGAGACGTACTTTAGCCCCTTCTCGAGCAGCCGAGCCCGCCTTTCGGTTCACTTGTGCGCTAGAGGTTCGGACGAACGGGACTCGAAAGTTGCGGATCTCTTGAAGGAGGCGGACCTGGAAGACGTTTCCAAGGAGGACCGAGCGAGCCTTGACCTTTTGGAGGGACATTTGAAGACGAGGCAATCAGTCTCTGAAGAGAAACGCGCATCCCTCCTTTCCAAAGCCAAGGAACTGGGGCTCCCCCAGGCTTCCCCCGAACTCTTGGAAACGCCAAGCAACATTGCATCAGCTGTAGACTCGGCAGTCGAAATTACCGATGGGCGACTGTACAAGGCCGGTCTGCGGGCAAGCTCTGGAGCTCGCCCCGTCAAGGACATTGCCGAGTTCGAAGAGACGGATCCCAAGCTTTGAGTGCGACGGCTTGTTGATGAATTATGATGAATTTCCTTAGTTTGAACACAGAAGGAGGGAAAGGGGAAAGGAAAACCTGATAGATGTCTGATGCTGCACAAGCAAAGGAAAGTACTTTGGGGTGAGAGTTGGACAGAGGGGCGTCAACCACGGGCGCACACATTAGAGCTCTTTCTTTTTCCTTTTCTAACATCTGGGCATATTGGATGAGGGAAAAGGAACGTGACGTGCTTTTGGACAAGACGTCGCTTACTTGGACAAGTATTTGTCTCTGCCTTGCTTAGGACACGGCGATGACTACTTTGGCTATAAGAGCTAACCTATCTTCGTACACGGAACGGTCATACAGAAGTCGTACAGTTGGAGATATACGTTAACCCCCTGAGTACTATTATGCTGTATTACCTTATACAGAAGTCGCCTGTAAAGCTGGTGTTCGTGAAGGCCGGGTTTGCAGGGATGCGTATACAACGAGATGCTGTGACAAGCCCGAAGTTGAGGACATACAGCGGCCAGGTATGCGAGGCCCTCTACCTAGTACCCGACCATATATTGTTCTGTGACACTGGTTACTGTGAATACTGTCGTGTAATGGGTAGATGCTTAACCCAATATCAACGACTCGGGTCAACTCAGACCGGTCTATTTCCAGCTCGGTCTGCCCGTGTGGTTGTGATCCGGCAGACGCCAATAGCCGCCACGGCGGTTAGGCTTCGCTGAGATGGGAATCAAGTCGAGTAGGCACTTGTAGTGAGCAAGCACAGTATCGCCACAACTGGAAGCCCGGAGAAGCAAAAGCCGCTGGTGATTTGCATTTGCCAGAGCACCGGCACGTTGGCTCCTTTTTGGCTTCTGCGCTGGCTGCTGCAGGTATTAATCCAGTTGATTTGAGTCGAGTGAGGTGAGCTGGAGTCTTTGGCCAGGGCTTTGTACAGCAGTGGGACTGCCCCGCCATGTACATTACTGTAGCTTTTTGGGTAGCGGAAGGGAGGCCAGTGGAGTTTTGGCTGCTGCTTCTTCTTTTCTGCACTCCATGGTTTGTTTTCTTTGCAAATCTGCGTTCTATTTGCATGACTTGACGAACCTCTGCGACAGCACACGGCCCGCGATACATTCGAGTTCCGCGCTGCTTAACCAGGCATACTGCAAGGTGCTGACCAACTGTACCTGTTCTACAGGCTGTCTTGTACCAGGTACTTGGACGTGCCTGCAGCTTCACAGCGGCATCGTCGCCCTCCCTCACCCAACTCGCCCACGCGGTTACGTACAAAACGGGGCCCTAACCAGATCCAGATCCCGCTGTTCCTCTTTTCGCTTCGGCTCATTTTTCGTTTTTTTTTCACCCCTCCAAACCCGTTGGACTTTTTCTGTGCCCTTCTTTCGATTCACTTCTATTCTCCTTCTCTATTTTCTTTGCCCTCTCGAACCATTCTTTTGTTTACTTTTTTTTTTTTTGTTCCTGCTTCCTCTTTTTAGGAGGGGCTTTGCATCGGTCTAGCCTCCACAGCCAAAGGAACCCGCAGGCACGAGCAGGCATACACTCACGTACGCACGTACATACGAGTGACTCGTACCCTCTTTTTGGCGTCTTCTTTCTTCGCACTTCGCCAGGTACGAATTACAGCAGGATTACGGGGACACACACTGGCCGGTAGCAGGTAGGTCACAGTCAGGCACCACGGCACAGAGACGGTGGCGCTATGCCCAGTCCAGGCCGGGCCAGAGCACCAGCCCAGCGCTTCAGCCCACCTCCATCCGCCTCCCACCAGTCATGCTGTGCTGCAAGCAGCGAGTGCATGGAGAGTGGTAGATCCATGGACATGGACATTCACGTGTGCTTGTTGCGTTGCTCAGCTTTTGCTTCAGCGTCTGCTCCGTTTCACTCTTGTTCTTGCTCTACCTTGCTCCATCTCCTCGATTCAGCCCTGCCCTTGCATCACAGCCAGCGCCAGCTAGAGCCGGAGGCACTCACCCCGTCGCCTCTGGCGCTGCAGCAACGGCCGCCGCTGTGACGTCTTTTGCCCCTTCAAGCCGCATGCAAATAGAAAAAGCCCGAAAGAAAAAAACGAGACCTAGAAAAAAAAAGCCGTCCAGGTCCAGAAATAGCTGACACCTCGCCCCACACAGCCCGTCAATCACCGCCTTGCCCAGAGGACCGCACGAAACAAACGCCGCCTCCACTGCCCCGATGTCCGGTGGCCTTGCCTCTGCTCTGTCAACCCCTCGGCGACGGTCTGCTGCGTGCTGCGTCTCCGTCTGCGTCTGTGTCTGTGTCTAGAGCAGGTACAAGTACCCGGCCATCCCCATCGCCTCTCCCGCCAACCCGCTCCCGCCGTCTTCCCCCCAGAGCTGCCCGGGCAGCTCACTGTCAAGACGTCTTCCTCAAAGAAGAGAAAGCTCGCCCGTCCCTTGACCATCGATTTCGACGCCCCGACCTCGCCATCGCCAGACACCGCCATCCCCTCGTGCGAGCCCGACGACGACGCCGCCCTCTCCTTTTCCGCCACGCCCATAGCCTCCGGGCTTGAAGCGCCGCTCTACGTCCGTGCCGGTTCCGTAACCGCCTCCAGCGTGCCCCCGCGGCTGCAGACCCAGGCCCAGGCCCAGATCGCCTCGTCCCTCGTTTCTGCCGACTACGCTTCCTCTGTTGCCTCGTCCCCCGGCACCTCCTTCTACCCCGAGCCCTCCATCGACAGCGAAAGAGGAGGAGACGACGCGAGCTCTGTGCGCACCTACGCTAGGAGCCAGTCCCCTTTCCTCATCTCCAGGAGGGCCCTTGTGAACGGAGATGCTGATCTGCCCCAACGTTCATCCTCTCCGTTGAAGCGACGAGCATCCAGCATGGATCCCGAAACCGCCCCCAATAAGAACGGCGATGCCGCCACCAGCGCCGGAGACGTCGAGATGACATCGTCGTCCAACCCCTCGGCCGAGCTGCCCCGCGCTATGAGCGTTGATATCGAAGCCTCGGACTCCAAACCCTCGGCCAACAACGGCGCTGACGCCGCCGCCCAATGTAAGTTTCGACAATGCAAAGTACAAATGCTCTTGATATGAAGTATATGTCGTAGGGAGGAGCATTTGAGAGTGTACAGTTACTGATACATCAACTTTGTCTCGCTGCAGCTGCCCCTCCTCCCCCACTCATCGAGCAGGTCAAGATCATCGAAATGCTCCTCAAGGCTTCAGCAGAAAAGCTGCCGCAGGAGGGCGACCAGGCCTATATCGTATCGCGTACATGGGTGGATAAGGCGCTGTCCTTGCGCTCGGGCAAGGCCGACGTGACCGAAGTATCACTGGGCCCTGTCGACAACTCCGACATCATCGAGGAAGTCATCCAAGAGCCTGGCCGTGAAGACTTCGTCCGCCTCAAACCAGGGCTCGACCAGCAGTCGTTTGAACTCTTTCCCGAGGATGCATGGAAGCTGGTCATGGATTGGTACGGCATGGTAGAGGGGCAGAAGCCCATCGTCCGGACGGCCATCAATACTGCCGCCGACGCCCAGTCTCCCACTGAAGTCGTCTATGAGCTGCACCCCCCCATCTTCCGTGTACACCGCCTCTGGTCGGTAGTGAGCCCGCTCCCAATCGAGCAGACGCTGAAGGCCGAGAACCCTCCTCCTCTTGCCTTGGTCAGAAGCCGCAAGACTCACGCCCAGGCGTTTATCAAGGATATAAAACGCCTTGCGGGTATTCCTATGGACCGCAAAGTTCGTCTCTGGCTGGTAGACACTGAATCGCTTAAAGCAAATCAGGCTCCGGCCAAGGCTTCGACTACCGCCAAGGCTCCAGCCCTCCTCACGACACCCCCGGATTCACCTGGCCGCGAAGACTCCGACGGAGCGGCAGAGTCTGGCTGGTCGCATCTGCTCGTCGATGTTGCCACCTTCGGCAGCGTCCCCCGGGACTCCCGACGAGTAGCTACGCTCGAGGACCACACCGTGAACCCCAACTACAACGGCTCTGCCTCCATCCAGCTCTTTGATCTAGTGACTGACCAGACCCTCATCGTGGACGAGATGGTCAACAAGGGGCTCTGGGTGAGCACATGCACGAGCCGGTCACTGGTAGAGAAGGCGATACCCACGCGTACTAATGATACCGCATTGGCCAAACCCTTGAATAATCGGACCAGTCCCAGCTCCTCGGAGGGGCCCACCACTCGTGGCAGGATGCAGAAGAAGAGAAATGGCCGCAGTGTTGGTGCCGTGGGCTTGCACAATCTGGGAAACACGTGCTACATGAACTCGGCGCTGCAATGCGTCCGCAGTGTGGAGGAGTTGACGAAATACTTCTTGACGGATGCGTACGCCGCCGAGCTCAACAAGTCCAATCCCCTGGGTTACAACGGCAAGGTCGCCATGGCCTACGGCGCGCTACTGAGGGAGATTTACGATGAAGGCAGAGGGTCGGTCAGCCCGCGGGAGTTCAAGAACACCGTTGGCCGCTGCCGAAGCACCTTTGCCGGCTGGGGCCAGCAAGACTCCCAGGAGTTCCTCGGCTTCCTGCTCGATGCCCTCCAGGAAGATCTGAGCCGCATCAAGAAGAAGCCCTACATCGAAAAGCCGGACTCGACGGACGACATGATCAACAACCCAGAGGCGATCAAGGAGATGGCCGACAAAGTGTGGGACATTACGCGAAAGCGAGATGATTCCGTCATTGCTGATCTCTTCACCGGAATGTACAAGTCGACCCTCAAGTGCCCTGAATGTGGTAAAATCAGCATCACATTCGACCCCTTCAACAACCTGACACTGCCCTTACCCGTGGAGAACATGTGGTCCAAGACTGTCAAGTTCTTCCCTCTCAATGATGTCCCCGTCATGTTCGAGGTTGAGCTGCCCAAGCATAGCTCCATCGAGTCCCTCAAGTCGTTCTTGTCAATTCGCACAGGAGTGCCGCCGAATCGCCTCATGGGTGCTGAAGAGTTCAAGGATCGCTTCTTCAAGATCTATGACAACAGCGGAGATGTGTCGGAAGAGATTGGTGCCAATGACGTTGCGACGTTCCACGAGCTGGAAGCTGTGCCTACCAACTGGCCCGCCAAAGGCTATCAGAAGAAGCCTCGCTCCATGCTGGACCTCGACGACACCCCGGCAGATGCTACCGAGGAGTGGAATGATCCCAAGTACGATACGATGGTGGTGCCAGTCCTGCACCGACGTCCGTTCAGCACTGGCAAAGTACCTGAGGGAACGTCTCCTCCGCACTTCATCACCCTGACCCGGGAGGAGGCGTCGAGCTACGACATGATCAAGCGCAAGGTTTTGGAAAGAGTCGCAACCTTCTCTACCTGGTCAAAGTTTAAAGAACAGCAGAACGCCGAAGGCTCGGAGGCAGACATGGTCATCGCTACTGCGTCCGACGCCGACTCCTCTGGAGACGGAAAGGTTGTCGCAAACTCCGTCGAGGGAGAGGACGATATCGTTGACGTGACTATGAAGGACGCTTCGAGCACTGCCAGCGCCAATGCCACCGTCATGCCTCCGCCTGAGCTGCCTCTGCCGAATCAGCCACAGCTTCTCCGCCAATTCAACTCTCAGCGCCCCAAGTTTGTCCAGCCGGGCGAATTCCTCGGCCCAGAGCTCCAGGGTCTCTTTGAGCTCAGCTATTTTGCTAACCGTACAGACGGAACCGTTCCGACGGGTTGGACTAATGTTGACAACAACAAGACACTTCCGAAGCTGGCGGATCGGATCCCCGAGGCCCAAAGGGAGGAGGAAGACCAGCCAAGCCCTGAGAGCTGGAACAGCACCGCTTCTGGTAACGAGGAGAGCAGCAATGAAGAGGAGAACCCACAGCCAGAGTCGTCGCAGACACGCATGGCGGACGAATCCAGCGAAGAGGATGTGCCTCACGGCGCTCGGGTAAGTTATTCCAATTTGATCTGTTTTTGTATTCATCTCTGTCATAGTTTTCACTGCACCACGAGACCACGGGTTGAATTTCCCTTTATCGCACTACCCATCCCGCTTGTGTGTTTGTCCTGCTGACCAATATCTTGCAGACTCTGGCTCGAACTGGTGCAAACCGGCCTCAGAAGCTCGGTACGGGTGGTCGCAAGAAATTCAAGAACCACAAGGCCTATGGCAAAAAGGGCAACAAGCGTCGTGACAAGCAAATGCGTGCTGGAAAGCACGTGCAGCGCTCGCCCGTTGTCGAGTCTGAACCAACTCCTCCGGCAGTAGCTGACGGCGGCCCGTTGATTCGACTCTATGAGGGCCTAGTCGTCGATTGGAGTGAGGAGGCCTGGGAGACAGTGTTTGGCTACACTGGAAAGAAGCAGGATGCGAGCCAGGGAGCCAAGACATTCGTCGACCTGGAGACTATAAATGATCCTGCTCTCAAGATCAGCCAGAGGAAACGCCAATCCCGCCGGTCCCGGGGCATTACCCTGGATGAGTGTCTCGACGAATTCGAAAGAGCCGAAGTTCTGTCGGAGCAAGACATGTGGTACTGCCCGCGGTGCAAAGAGCACCGGAGAGCTAGCAAGAAGTTTGATCTGTGGAAGTCGCCAGACTATCTGGTTGCCCACCTGAAGCGCTTCAGCAGCTCCGGATGGCGACGAGACAAGTTGGACGTGCTGGTCGACTTCCCAATTGAAGGGCTCGATCTCACCTCGCGCGTCATTCAAAAGGAAGAAGGAAAGGAAGAGATCTACGACCTCATCGCCGTTGATGACCATTATGGTGGGCTGGGCGGAGGTCACTACACCGCTTACGCAAAGAACTTTGTCGATGGGCGGTGGTATAACTACAATGGTGAGTTTCAGTTGCGCGAGTGAGGAGTGAATTACGGCTAACTTGATGAAAAATTAGATTCTTCCGTCTCAGCCGTGTCTGACCCGTCGTCGGTGGTGACGAGCGCAGCGTATCTGCTCTTCTACCGCCGGCGCACCAGCGGCCACCTAGGCGGCCCGCGATTCGCCAAGATCTTTGAAAAGTACAACACGGACACGAGTGGCGACGACGAGGGTGAATCCGATGATGGCCTTGGCAGAACCGTGGGCTCGAGTTCCGCCGCTCCTCACACCACGATCAAGTCTCTGTCGGATAGCCACGAAGCGGAGCTGCCCCCTTATGAGGAGGCCATCCGAAGCATCGAAGACGAAGGCTTGGGCGCTTCGGGCAGCTACCAAATCGCAGCTCCGAAATTCGACATGACGCAGAGCTGGAGCTTCAACAACCTCGACGGTAGTGGAGCTGACGGATCGACAGCTGCCGACTATGCTAGTGACGACGCGCAGTTTGATTCCTCTGCCGATGAGCGAGGTGGCTCTAGGGAAGATTTGTTTGAAGCCGATACTCACATGGCGTCGGTTGGCTCGGTGAACGGATTCACCAACGGAGAAGCAGCGTCTCCCGCCGGGGCCCACGAGGAGGTTCTCACCGTGCCTACTGGGCCCTCGGGTGGCGAGGATGAGGACGAGGTTGCCGAAATCCACATTGAGGGCGATAACGTCGCCCGCAGCGAGTGATGTCACGACATGATGAAGGCTCAGTTGATGGAAACATGAGATACGGATACATGTTATCGACAAACGGCACTTGCATATATAGACATTCTGTGTGGGCCGTGGGTGAATGTGAAATGACTTTGAGCAGAAGCTGCTGAGAGGAAGAAGCGGTCACAAAAGGAGCGAGAACGTCTTATCACATGCACGGACACACACGAACAAAGGCGCACACTGCACGTGTACAAGTAGATAGAGCTTAGATGACGATGAACGCGCTTGATGGGCCAAGAAGGGATGGCCTTTGGAGCCGATGAATTGACGATTGCATGTATATAGGATGCTCTGGGCCGTCCTCAAATTGGAGAATGGGTATGAGTATGTATTGAGTCTCAATGAGCATTACTGTCAGAATATAGAGGATATGAGAAGTTGTTGCCACAATTAGAGGTGCTCGGAAAGGGTCCATAAACCTCTCCGCCATCGATCTAGAGGACCCCCTCTGGATTCGGGATATGATGTATCACATACATGCAGTTGCCACATGCAGAAGTGGTGATGCGATTCCGACGATCTGGGGAAGTTTGAGGGCAGGGGGATTCGGATCGAAAGGGCGAGGAGGGAATTGGGGGGTGGGCGGTGGCGCGGGATTGTGGGATGAAGCCAAGTAAATGTGGCGAGTCATGTGTAGTTGCTTGATGGGGCTGCTTTGTCAATGTTCGTGATGCGTACAGTATACTAATGTGGGTTGTGGATATGATGGATTGAACTGTGATGGCATATGATGTATTAGTCCATGTGCTTTGTAGACGGATGGGAGATGTGGGATGTTGTACTCGTTGTGGGATGGATGGAGGGTATTAGAAATGGAAGGGCTTGGATATGTGTGGTTTATTGGTTGAAGTAATGCGGATACAGTAGGGTAAGGTAGGATGAGGTGGACGGTGGAGCTCTGCGTGCTATGGAGGGGGAAGGGTGTTTGAGCAATGGTTCAAGAGACTATCCGATCTTTCCAGAGGCCGAAACAGATGGTGAAATTGGAGCAGTACGAGTACGGGTGGCTATCTGAGGAGACACGCAGCTCGACAAGATACAGTGATTTGCATTATGCGTTGCGGGTATTTACGTGGAGGTCGATAAGCGAGTATACATATGTACATACTAGGATTTGGTGTTTCGTGCTTTGTTACATTGATGGGTGTAGCCTTGCCTACCTAGTATTGGAAGGCCGTTAGGAATGCAGGTTCATGCACGACGTAGCTCGTTTCTCGGCGGAGAATTCGGGTCTTGATGTTCTACAGCTGAAGAGGGTGGGGGGTCGACAGAGGAGGGCGAGCGAAGAAGGGGGCTTTGGAACCGGTAGAGAATGAGTGAAGGGGACGGGGGGGAGGAAAGACTTGGAGCTGAGATGAAGAACTACTACAACCTACTAAACTAGTATATGGTGGAGATGGGATAAGGAAGACGCAAAGAAGAGATACGGAGCTACCGAGTCCTTTTGCTGTGGCGCCATATGGGGTACTGAATGGAGTTTGTGATGAAACCCGCATACCTAGTTTGCGAGCCTGTTGTGCGGCTTAGTTGATGATCAATATGGAGCAGCAACTCGTTTTCGAGCGAGTAGTTTGAACAAGTTGCAGAAGCGCGATTTGTAAAAGTGGGCTTTTATTATCTTGTTACTAGTAGTAGTTTCTCAAGAGAGAAAGATAGGAAGAGGGGGAGAAAGATGGCATGATGGAGATGGAGATGGAGATGGTGCAATTCATGCCGAGGTGAGATAGATTGGGATTTTTGGGGTGATAAGCGAGCTACTTCTTTTGGGGGGGGCTGATCTGAGTGGGATGTTTGTTTCGGATGCAAGAGCTAGTTTGATGCTCTGTGGACGGATTAGACGAGGCAGCGACTTTGCTTTGGGATCTTGTCGCCTGGTGATGGCATTTTACTTGTGTAGGTAGATACTCCGTATGATGATGTAGGTAAAGTCACCTGGGATGTGGAAGGGATATCCATGTTTGAAAGCCCCGTGTACAATTGGGCGGGCATGTCCGTCTCGTGGAAGCTTTTTCGTCATAAGACAAGTTTTTATAGCGAAGCAATCGGACAACGAAGCTGTTTTCAGACAAGGGACTTGTACAAATGGATTGTGTGTATGTACCTATGTATGTATGGTGCAGCAAGTAACAAGCGTCATTTGCTGATAAATGGGCTTGACGGGATTGGACTGGGACTGGGGGGGCACGTGGGTGTCGATATGCAGGGTGATGCAGGGCGAGATGCAAGGGAAACAGCTTCTTATAAGAGTTGCCACATCAGAGCTACAAGAGATGGTAGGCGATGAGATCTTACGTTGATTGCCTCGGGCGATTGGAAGAAACAGGGATGTGAAAGGTAGAAGAAAGGGAAGAAGAAGAAGGGGGAAAAGAGGCAAGGGAAGGTTTTGTGCCGGGCTCAGAAAGCAGGGCCATGGACGATGCTGTACCTGTAGTAGATGATGGATGCGGAGTAGTCAGTCCGTCAGTTTCTAGAGTGGTTAGATGTATGGATAGTACACGATTGGCTTGTTCGGTAGACTAGAACTTGGGCAGCAGCAGTATTATCTATGCATATTGTGTTCGCTAAAAAGGGACTCTTTTTGTCATTGGAATACAGGTAATCGGCTTCGCGCTGCACTCCGCGCTCCGTAAACGAGGCAAAAAGAGACGCGGGCTGTGGGTATGAAATGGATGAAATTGGATCAAGATCCCGAACTCCCGGAATTGAGGGCGGTAAGCGCCAACAACACATTTGTAGAGTTGCGGATATATAAAGTGATGACACGAAAAGAATAGAAGAACAAGCCCAGTCTTTGGGTGTCCTTGGCCATACACATACAAGCTACATAGTATACGTATATGTATTACCCGGCTGAATGGGACCCTTGGAAGGAAAAAAAAGGGAAAAATCCCACGAGGTCAAAAAAAGGGGGGTGGAGCAAAGCATGATGGAGAGAAAGATGATGGATGCGATGCAAGAACAAGGATGACGCAGCAAAGGGGGATGAAAATAGTAGCATCGCCGTTGGAGACGCAATCAACAAGCGAGGAGGATCAGCATGAAAAGCACAAAAGACATTTTGCAGGCATCAAGGTGTTGTAAAAAAAGAAACAAGAAAGGGAAACGAATCACTCTGGGGGGGGAACCGAGAGAGAGAGGATCCATGTCGTGATGCATCCAAGTACTACTACTATTCTTTCGGACAAGCACCCGTGGACCTTGTTCAGGATGGAACGAAAAGAGAAGAGTCAGCGGGTGGAGCAGCGGAGGTCGGGGTTAAGATGAAGTGCGGGCGCTCGGACCAATCACGGCCAAAAAGCGAAGAAGGGTAAAAAAAAAAAAAGCAAAGAAGAGCAGAAGAAGGGATTCAGAATGAGGGGCTTGTCTGTCTGGTCCCTTGCGGAGCTGAGGAGAAAGAGGAAAAGAAGAAGAAGAAAAGAAAAAGAAGAAAATTCTTTCTAGAATGCCGCTAGAAGCCGCCAAGGGCAGTGGAGATGCATTCCAAGCATCGGAGAAGAAACAACGCGGGCGATGGAGTCTTACAGAACCAACTACAGTAGTACTGCTAACACGACCAACGATTCTTGTTGATGTTGCTCAGGGTGGATATTCTAGAAAGACGATGACCGAGTTGGTACCACTTGGGGATGACTCGAATTACTCGTGCTGGAACCAGCTTAGTAGTTGCGTACAAGTACGGATCACTGCATTAGTCCATCGGTGCTGATACTGCCCCCTTCTGACAGATGGATACAACTAGTACTACGTACGTAGTCACCATGCGGCCTCTTCATGCGATTCACTGTTTATGCTTCGAATGGGACTGGTAGGGACAGACGGAGTCGAGCGGTCAGTACCTTACACAGGCATCATCTAGAACAGAAACGTCCTCACGCGCCTATGTAACTACGCAAAAAAGAGCAAACAAGCAAATAACCACCAAGAAGACAAGGAAAAAGGAAAGGGGAGAGAAGGGGGGGGGCAACGGCAAACCCGGGAGATTCGAATCGAAACTAGCAAGTAGTTTAGGGCTGGTTTTAGGTCGATTTGTCGGGAGACTTGCCGCGAATCGTGAGGCTGTGTGTGTGAGTGTGTGTGTGACGGGTAACGCTGCCGGCGATGCGGCTCTTTTCCAGCTGCTCGCACTTTTTGTTTTTGCTTGTGTTAGTGACTACACGCACTATGTTCCTTAGTCATGGCGTTGGTAGTAGTAATGCGGAATCTTTCTTCGTTTTTTTTTTTTTTTTTTTTTTTTTTTTTTTTTTTTTTTTTTTTTTTTTTTTTTCCCTTGCTGTGGGTTTCCGAGATAAGTAGAATAGTATTGTTGAGAGTGGCGCTTTGGTGACAGACTGGACTGGAGTTGGCCGGGCTTATGGATCTACGACCTCGCACCAGCTTACGAAGGAACCACGTATCAGCGTCATGTACAGAGATACCGCATGTGCCGAGCATCTACAGAGTACGAAAGGCCAGATATATCGAATTGTAGGTCGGGCAAGAATAGGGAAACGAGAACAAAAAAAAAGGGTCACCATCCTTTCCCTTGCAAGGCATCGGGGCTGGAGCTGGACTGTGCGGCAGCATGTGCTGATTTCGAGGGCCACGTCCCTTGCAACAAGAAGACGAGACGCGAATCAATAGTCCTACTTAGCATATGTACAGGCACAGGGGCCTCGGTTTTCTTGCCTGCCTGGTTCTTTGCTGATGAGGTGCTCTCTCTCAAACTTCCCATGTCTCTGAACCCCCCAGCAAACAACGTGCCGATCGCGGATCAGTTCTGGGCAAACAATGAGGAAAAGACGACGCGCTGGGGATCAGCGTTCCAGCTTTCCATCTTGCACTACATGTATGTATTGTAACGCGCATGGGAACAATACTCCGTACATCATAACTACATAGTCCGAACTACTAGCACGAGTTAACGCTACGTCAATGAAGTTCTCTACAGTATGAGGTGCTGTCGCTTAGTACACCTTCTCGCAATTTTCGTCCCCGAGAGGCAAAACATGCACTTACAAGCCACACGAACAAGGCCCAACAAAGGCACTCATCATCAAGTAAGGCGAGACCGAGCTTTCAAGCCCCCCTTCCGAACGCGCGTCTTATATTCTTACAGCAGCTGAAAACTCAAGAAAAGACAAGCAACAGGGCCTGCGCGTTTCGCCGTCTCCACGATTTCGGCGCTTACAGGAACACGCAGCAGCATCAAGGTGCGCAAGGTGGAAATAGGGCATGTGGCTGCCCGTGCTAACGGGCCTCCGCCGCCTCCGTACCCGAACGGCCAAGTCCGTAGCCTCGATCCATCGTCTCCAAGAAAAATTCCCTAGCTCCTCCGATATTTGTTCGGGACGGAGGGAATAGAGGGGGCGAGTTACGACCTCAAAGGGCTGAAGAGCAGCAGCAACTGAACTGCGCCTTTGACGTACTCGTATATGCCCCCTTTTCTTCCCTTCCCTTTTTCCCTTTCATATTTTCTTCGAAAAAGGCGATGCATGCCGCCCTCTCTGTTGCGCCCTTCTGCCTTCGTCCACTTTCTTCTCACTCTTTCTCTTCTTCCTGTTGTTTTCTCTCTGGCTTTCTCCCGAACCTGACTGTATCTCATCTCCCCCCCTGCAGTTTTGCTGTGAGCTGAACAGAACGTGCAGATCCACCGGCCTCAGCAGCGCCCTGGTCGACTCTTTTCTCTCCCATACATTAAGTAACCCGTGGCCTAGGCGAAATCCCATCATCTCCACCCTGGGCCTCCCCCTCCCCTGCAAACTGGGCTGCAAGCCGGGCGAGGGAGCTTTGGGCAGGTATCAGGGTAGTATTTTCATTTTGCTTCCTCCAGGGTTGAAGCCGTCTCTGTTGCAAGGAAGTGTGCCGAGTACAGCAACGAGCTACTATACGCTTTGTCCCTTGCTTGGGCGGACAAGCAGCGGCGGATGGCCGGATCTGGGTTCTTTAGCAGCATCGACCTCTCTCGTACGAGTCCCGTTTCAAGTCGAGAGGCTGAGAACTTGTTGGTGTTGGCCTTGCCTTCGCCGGGCCGGCCGAGATCGGTCTAAAGAAATTGAAGGCGGCCAGCCGGAATCGAGGCTCGTGCGTTTCTGGTGGCTTTTTCCCAACCGTGTCTCCTTTCTGCTTCTGCCCGTCCGTCTGTATCTCTCGTCTTGTTGTACCTTTGTTCCCAACGACGAGCCATCGCGATCCTGGTGCAACGCCCAGGTTGCTGCATTGCCAGGTGGTTGCATGGCCTCGGGACTAGCATGTAGTCTATGTACCTACAAAACATTACGGAGTAGCATTTCGATGATGCGGGTGGGTTTCATGGGACCAGCGGCCGGAAGCAAAAGCAAGCAAGCGACATGAAATGAAGCACGCAAGCCAGAAAATCCTGCTTGTAGCACCACCAACGCAGCCATGCAGAGCAACAAGCGCGAGTCACATCAAAGTTCATAAGAGCCCGAGATTGATACCTACATACATCAGTACTATACAGGTAGTATGTATATGCAGACAAGGGCGCGGCGGATACGGACAAGATCATTTGCTGCGCGTCGCATGGGGGCGGCACAGTGCGAGCGCAATCTGATGCTTTGCTCTGCGTGATGCAGCCGGCACGGCGACGTGGAAGCTGGGATTGGCCTCAAGGATGTGACTTGGTCTTCATTGTTCTGCTATGGTTACCTGTACAGATAGCGTCAACAACTCCAGAGATGCTATGGACATGAACAGCCGCCATGGTTCCCGAGGCACCAGAGGCGTGCAGGGTCCCCCGATCTGAGTGCTAACCCTTCACTAAGAGATCGGGGCTGTCTTAGAGTTGCCTCCATGATGTGATGCCATCATCCACCTTCCCATCTTCAGGTTCCCTTGAGTGACGCTTCTCCCGCTCTCCCAGCGCTGCTCTGCCCCCCCGTTCCAGCGCCCTCGGTCCCCTGGAACAGCGAAAGCGAGGCTCCCGCAGGCTGCGGCTGGCCGTGATTGGCTGCACCGTGCCTCACCGGGTGGAGCACCGGCAACGCCCAAGGGATCCCCTTCCCCTCCCCCCTTCAACCAACCAACCCCTTCACCCCTCAAACCCCAATCAATCCCTTCCGGCCCCCCCCCTCCCCTCCCTCTCTCGCCAGAGAAATTCGTTGCAGCCTTCCATGTTGTTTCTTTTCTTCATGGAAGACTTCCATGGCTTGAGTCAAAATGGCCGGCTCACACATGAGTGGTCCAAATCCGGCCGCCGGCCACCCACAGCACCTGCATGCATGCATCAGCACCTCCGCACTTTGCGACTTTTGGGCCATTCAGCGGCCACGGATGTGCGCCTTGCATCACGGCCGCTGCTTTCATGTTTGGAGCTTGTCTTTGTCTTGTCTTGTCTTGTCCTTTGTGCTGGGGGGGGGGGATGGACATGGGAGCTACCCTGGTCCCCCCGACCGACGTGTATGTACATGCTGGTACTGTACCTTGGATGATGATGACTGTTGTTGATGTGAGTTGTCTGTTGCTGGACGCATTGCATGGAAAGCCAGACCACGGATGAAGCACAAAGATACCTAGGTAAGCAAGGTAGGGCTGCTGATTGCTATTACTCGTACATACAGAAATACATACATGGCATCGAGTGACAGGTAGCAATTGGAAGCAAGCAGCAGAGCGGGCCCCGGCGCTGTCAGTCACTTGTATGGTATGTAGTAGTATGAAGCATGTATGGGCTGCTTATTTGCAGCGACCCGACTGACGGCCTGGAGTGTGTTTCCCCAACGCTCCTCGTGTCCCGTCCCTGGGGACTTGACCGGAGCCTTGGGACCGCGCCTGGACGTGACAAGTCGCTTTTTTCGATGTGAATCGCAGGCATTAATAGCAGCAGACTGCTATCGTAACCTGTCCGTACGAGCACCGAGACGGAGACAGAGTGCGAACCTTGTGTGCAGGTGCAGCGCATTACATTAGGCGCATGCACTTGGTAGGGAGTCGCGATGATAACGGAGCCCGGCGCCAAGTCACGGTACCGATCTGTACCTACGTACTTACGACTTGGTGCTTCTCGCAAGCACTGGCAGCTGCACGGAATCGAGCCCAGATAGGGCTCGCGTTTTGTTCTTCGCTCCGGCACCTTATATCGAAGCCCTCCCTCGCCCGTCCTTGTTTGCTTCCCCCTCCATTTCCTGGGTAATAGGCGCCAGCGACGATTCGCCTCAGCCCATCCATTAACCGCCAGCCCGTCGAGCCATGGCGTCGTCGAGCAGGTTCCCTTGCCCATGACTCTCGCCTGTCGTTTGCGCCATCACTGCTGCTCTCCCTTGAGAACGTACAGCTGCTATCAGGGTACAGAGGGTTGTTACTTGTCAGCTACTCCCGACCCGTGCTTCTCCTCTCCTCCAACGCAGGTACTCTCCTTGGCTCTGGTCTGCGGCCGTCTCACCTCGCAGCTACCTTACCTTACTTACCACCCCCCCTCCCTTCGCCTCGTGCAGCCGCCCTTGGCCGTTGAGACGACGACGACCGCCTAGCCACGACTCGCTTCGGCCCTCGTCTGCCCGGCTCGCCTGTGCCCAGCGTCTTTTGTCTTGAACTGCTGCTTCTCGCAATCTGCCTCGACCTGACGGCATCGCATCTCCATCTTCAGTTCCCTGCCCTCGCGCCGATCCCTCTCGCACGGCTGACGTCTTGCGCCTCCGCCCAGCGTCCGACGACCGCCTTGACTAGCCCGAGACTAGTAGCAGCAGCGAAAAAGCAGCAAGCAGCCCAAAGCCTGCATCTCGCGACCAGCCCACCCCGGTCGTGCCCAGAATCTTTCCGAGCAACCTCCAGCCCAAGGCCTTGCAGGGCGAGACACCAAGGACGAGCTAGAAGCGCCGCTAGACGCTCGCTGCTCCCCACTGTGCTGCTGCGGCGCCGGAACCAGGCCAGCAACCACAAGGCCAGCCACACGCCACCGCGCGCCGTCCACAGCGCAGCACAGCACCTGGATAGCCATTTGATTCAGTCGGCTTCGGGTTCCATTCGGTTGCGCCAGCCCAGCCCAGTGCTCTGAGCGCTGCTCCGCGGCTCTCTGCTGCCCGTCCGTCCACTGTCCGGGGCTGTCGACCTTCGCTCAACTGCCCATCCCCCCCCCCGAGCAGGCCCCAAATAGGGCCCCGGAGGCACCTACGGCCACCCAAAGCCACCCAAGGCCCCTCTGGACCCGCCCGCGTGCGCCAAGCGTCTAAGACACACCCTCTCTCTCGCTCTTCCACTTCTTGTGCGACTCCAGAAGTCGCCTTCGACTCTTCTCTGCTTGTTCCGCGAGCTGCGGCTGCGTCTTGCGTCCGTCGACCAACCACCGTCTCTTCCTTTCCTTTTCCTTTTCTGTGCCGTTCGACGACTCACCCAAAACCTGTCCGGATACCACACTTGGCTGTGTGTGTGCTGCAGGGAGCACCTTCTCTTGTTCTTCCATATTTTCCCTTTTTTTCCCTCCTCATTTCCCTATTTCTGGTGAATCGTCGTCCGCCACGATCCGGCGTCAGACAGACACACACACACACACACATACAACTCACAGCCAACTAAGCGGATGCTCCTCATCCCGCGTTGCCGCCATTGAACTTTCTTCAACTCGTTCCTTTAACCTCCAATTTTCCTCCCAATTTGTTTCCAAGGCGCTTCCTTCTGGAGCATACAGAGTGTCTCGCCTTCATCGTCGCCTCGGCCGCCCTGTCGCAATCTCCCATCACAACAACCGCTTTCCTTTTGATTTTTCTCCCTTTCGAGTCTTGCGCGCGCGCCCGAGAACCGCAACCAGCATCTAAACCTCCTCCCTCTGCTCACTCTCCTTCTCTGGCTCTCTCTCTCTCCTCGAGCTCCGGCGAACCGAACCCCCCTGTTCTGCGACCTGTGAAGCTTCTACCACGTCTCGCGCGCCTCGTCGACGCTGGCTCAACCAAGGTCGAAGATTCCGAGACGCCCTCAGCTCGAATTGACCAGTCGCCTCGTGCCGCCCATAGCCTTGCGCGCCGCAACCCTTGCCCCGTGTGGCCAACGTGCTCCAGTCGAGAGACTGGTAGCCTTCCGTTGCCCACCATGGACAGTCTCACTTGCCATGTCATCTACGTCAATCGCACCGTTGGGGAGGCCCGGCTGCTGCGCGCCATACCAGACGATCCCGCGGCCTTGCCGACAGGCGCTACCCCCGATTGGCACCGCGATCGCGTTCGAGAACTCGTCCAGCCGCTGCTCGACGCCTTTGGCGACGGTTGGTTCCTTCTGCGTCCCTAGACTCCCCGTGGCTCCTTACTGACTCGCGATTTCGCATCCTATATAGTCCACGTCTGTGCCACCGGCGCCGCCTGCATGGAGAAGCTGATGCAGCTTCACGAGGCCGGGTCCATGATGGACATGACGCCAACCATGGTCCTCTTGGACACGCCCCATGATGAATGGATACCCGACCCCCTGCCGAATGCCTCCTCTGCCGACCCCGACCTCGTCAACCGCGACTCCGAGATCCACACCCCCGACGAGAACCTCTACGGCCTGTCGCTGCTCCAGAGGCTCATCACCGAGGCGCACCTGCGCAGCATCTCCAAGCTCGTCGTCCCCATCCCCATCATCAGCTATCCCGACACGCGCGAACAAATGGCCGACGGCGCGACCGAGCCCTCGTCCAACACTGCCGCTTCACAACCCGTCAGTCGCAAGCTCATAAGGAGGTGCTTGGACCTTGGCGCCGTCGACGTGATCATCAGCCCCCTGGGCCCCAAGTGCATCGCGACGCTTGAGATATGCGCTTATAAGGCCCATAGGGACGCCGCTCGGGACCAGCAGGCCATGATGGAGATTACAAAGGGCCGGAAGCGATCCTGGGTCGGCGTCAACGAGCAGAAGCCCTACGCCTACCTCCGCGAGGCCATGGTCTCGGGCCTCATGAACGGCATCTGCCGCCTGTCTCCCGAGGAGGACCAGATCGCCGGCGCGCACATTGCCGTTTCCTCTGAGCGCCAAGCCATCATTGCCGAGGCCGTCGGCCGCTGGCACTTTGATGCCCACGAGTTCTCCGACGACGAGCTGCTGGTGGCTGCGTTGCAAATGTTCAAGCATGCCCTGACTTCGCCAGACCTCGCGAGGTGGCGGATACCAACAGGTAAGTGTGCAGCTTTTCTCCTCTTTCTTCTCCCAGGAAGATGCCTGCACCCGCTCAGCCGCATGGAATCGAGCCTGACCAATAAATCTCAGACCAGCTCATTAGCTTCCTTGTCGCATGCCGTGCTGCATACAATAGCTTTGTGCCCTACCACAACTTCCGTCACGTGGTGGACGTCCTTCAAGCGACGTTCAATTTCCTCGTCCACATCGGCTCCGTCCCTCCGTACCCGACATATGCGCAACCGAGGCCCAAGGTGCGCAAGTCGCCCATCGCCTCCATCGTCACACCCTATGAGGCATTGACCCTCCTCGTCACGGCCATTGGCCACGACGTCGGCCACCCGGGCGTCAACAATGGCTTCCTCACCACGCTCAACGCCCCGCTAGCGCAGCTGTACAATGATCGATCTGTCCTAGAGTCGTTTCATTGCGCTGCCTTTACGCAGATCCTTCGCAGGTATTGGCCCGCAGTCTTTGAAGATCGCAAGATGCGCAGCTTGATGATTAGCTCCATCTTGGCGACGGACATGGGCCTCCATTTCGACTACATGAAGAAGCTCGCGACGCTCAAGCAGAGCTTTGAGGCCGATGGCAACCCTGCCAAGTGGAACGGGCGCCAGTTGGAAGATGCCAAAGTTCTCGTGTGCTCGCTCCTCATCAAGTGCGCAGACATTAGCAACGTGGTATGTGTTGTAGCATGTGGAATAAGCAAGAATGAGGGACGCCTTGTCCCTCATCTGTTGCCCCTTTGTTTTCATTTAGTGCGAGAGCATAAGTGGAAGATACTGACTCGTTCGGACAGGCACGCCGCCATTCAACAGCATTGAAGTGGATGCATATGCTATCGGAGGAGTTTTCGAGACAAGCCACGATGGAAGACGAACTCGAAATCAAGTCGTCCCTGATGGCACCCCCGAAGAAGGACATTCTTTCCCTGGCAAACGCCCAGCTTGGCTTCATGAACATGTTCGCCATACCGCTTTTCCAAGGCGTGGCTGAAATAATGCCAGCCATGGAATACGCCGTCAAGGAGCTTCACATCAACCAGAAATTCTTCGAAAGCAAGGTGCAGGAGGAACAGGCCAAGGAACCGGAACCGGCCGGCCCGACCGAACAGCACCGGCGAACGAGGAGCTTCCCAGCCGAAAACGATGGCGAACTGAAGCTCGAGATCTCACCAGCACCGAGTCCGTCCACGGCCAAGTCCGGCCACGATCCCCACACCCCCGTCGAGCACCCCGGCGTCGACGGCATGGCCTTTGACGCTGTCAGGGACGCGGCAGATGGCGATCCGTTTACCTGCCACCGACCGGACGACGCGATGGAGGGCAAGTTGGCCCCGTCAAAATTCCGGACGAGCGAGACGACCGAAGGCAGCTTATCCGCTGGCTTCCCCGCCGACTGGGCTTCGCAGGCTGCGAGCGTGGCCACGGGCAAGATGACGCTCTCACCCAGCACGCAAGGCACCAGCATTGTCAGCAATGAGTCTGGAGAGCGGACTCTCAGCGTGCCGGCATACAACATGTCGCCTCTCAGCCTTAAGGGGTCGCCGACATCGCCGCGCCGAGAACGGGAGCGCGAACGAGAGCGAGATATGTCGCATGGAGACGACGAGTCATCACCGTTTGGCGGTAGCATTGGCCGAGCCGAAGGCAAGGCCCTTAAGAAACGGCCCAGCAGATTCCGAATGAAGGACTTTCCCTTCTTTAAGAGAAGCAAGGGATCAAGTCCCCCATTCCCGACTGCTGATACCTCGGGCTGAAGGATCCAAGGGCTGCACAAAACAGAATTCGAAAAAAGCCACCAAACGACTCCGAAACAACGACAAACGCTTACGACCAAGCAAGGAAGCGATATATATACCACTGCCACGCGCAATGAAACCCACTGCGACACGGCTACGATTATGGCCCCATGATTTTACGATTGTGATTGCGCGAATATAGCCTCTTTTCATGGGGGCTACGGCCATGTTATGATGTGCCTTACCTTTTCACGAATCGCGGAAAAGTCATTCGGTCGGTTCACGGCGTTGGATTTTAGGAAGTTGGCCATACCTCTTTCTGCCAACTTTGCTGCAACTGTGATGCCTTCGGAACGGGTTCGACGGGTATTCAGGGGCTTGGACAAGGCTAAAACGAGAGAAACAACAATTGCAAAAAAAAAAAAAAAAGAAGGGAAAAAAGCAAAAAAAAAAAGCACACATACACCACAATTTTGGGTTCCAGAATCTGGACGAAACAACAACTCTTCATACATATACCTGTATACCTAACACATTTTATATACTTGGAAGGGAGGGGAACGGCGATAAGTATATACCCTTGGGACTCGGCCATTTGGGCCAGGATGTCGCGACTTCTGACACTCCTTCATTTTTCATTTTCCCATTTTCCTGTGTCGCACAATCACACTCACTACCTTTTCTTTATCTGGTATCCTCTCTTGTTTCTCTTTGACAGTTTTTTTACTTCTCTTATTCTCTTCTACTCGGGATTCAGGGCTTGCTATGGTGTATCGAGACATGTACGAACAGGCGAGGAGGAGGATTCCGACAACCGGAAGAGGGCGTTATTACGGCTGGATGCATTGGACTCTAGAGAAAGGCTGCAAGGTTCGAGAAAGGGTCAAGTGGGTGAGCCCGTGGCCGTAAAGGCCAAGGCGCGGCATCGTATCTGGACTCGCAGGTGCGCAGGCAGCCATTGTTTTTGGTGCATAGCCAAGAGTTGAATACAGGTTTACCCCGGCGAAGAGCGGGCCATCTGAAGCCGATTCCTTAGTGACAGACACATGAGCTGAAGCAATAGTGAATGTGGTCCTTGTCTTGCAGGACTGCCCGGTTGCCGAAGCCACCCGGCCGGGAGGCATGTTGTTCATGTCCCTGTATATCGGGCAAGTCGTTGAATAGATATTGAAAATGTATACATTGCATCTGCTCATGATGGATCTCCATGGCGAAGCGTGACATGTTGAGCATGGGGATTGATTTGTCTTTTCGGCACATGCAGCTTCCCCTCACGGGGTGATTTGATGATCCTCCATGATAGATATACGAGCCGAGGTACGATGTATTCGAGCAGTCAGGGGAGCTGAAGCCGGGATGCAGCTAGAAACCGGCCGGACCACAGATATGCGTGTTGTGTGTGTGTGTGTGTGTGTGACCCCGCATCAAGTCTTGTCTTTGCATTAGTAGTAGCTCTTTTTTGATTTTGTTACCTACCTAGTCTATCCATTCTTCTTTTTTAGTAGTTGTTTGCAATGGCTTTGTATGTTGATGTTTTATACCAGGAGAAAGTGAGTACAAGCTTGCTTCCATGTTTCGCCACGTAACGATTGGTACATGCCATGCCGCGGATGGGAGGACTTGGACATGAAATCCCCCCTTCTTTTGGTAGCCAAGTTAATCAGATTGGTGGTGTTTGATATTAGTCCATCCTTTGAACATCGCAGCGACTGTCCAGAAACACACCAGCAAGGCTGAAAGAAGGCCTACCTTAGTCAATCAATGAGGGGGTATTGTGACCGGATTGGGCTGCTTGTCTCTGCCTGAACTGGGGAGCTTGGCTCTGTGACTTGTAACCAAGGTTGCCCGGCAAACAATCATGAAGAAGATGCAGACTATTGTACACGAGAGAGGGTGGTGCTGGAGATTTCCCATGCCTTATTTTTACGTACCTTTTGTGTTGGTATCAAGGGAAAATTGATACATGCCTTAGCCGCAGATTCCCGTTTCCGCGCCGGTCCCCGTTGGGCCTAATAGATAATAAATAGTATGCTTTCCCCCAACGTTGGTTTATTAAAGTGATCCTGTTTTCCTTTTTAATAAATTGGTCTATATAATACTCCAAGTTTGCCTTCTCTCGCACGCGTTTGCTTGATTAGCAGACTTTGCTAATTCAATTGCTACATGCCTTGAGTCCGCTCTCTTCAGTCCCTTTTTCTAAATTCTTTTACTTGTTCGTATTTTCCTGGCGTGGAAATTCCCCGTTTGTCAAACTCGCCATCACATGTAAGCTGACAATTTCACGCAAACCGTCTTGTGTGTCGCTGTGAAAGCAATCAGAACTGCGAAAACATTGGGCGAGAAGAAGAAGAAGAAGAGGCCCTTCGGCATCTACCTAGCGCACGCAAGATACAACAATCGATCCGCGGACGGCAGCCGACTCATATAAGGAAGCGTGCCTTATCAAAGACTTTTCCGGTTTTGAGTCCGGGTAGTAACACGACTTGAGAGAGTTAGACGAACCAGGGAGCTGTTTTGTTTGCTGTCAAATCTCATCTTTTTGTACGACACACCTTCTCCTAATCTTACCGCGATGCTTTTTTCACACAACGTTGAACCCGGAATGGGGGGCATTGGAGCAAAAGAGAGATTGGATCACTGACGAGATGATAGGCAAGCGCACGCAGCTAGACTCACCGAGTGTTTTCATTGCCGCTGGAAGCAAGAGACGGCACTTGTTTCTCTCTTTTGAGCACACGGCATCAACCATCACCATCATCGCCCATTCTTCATCATCGTCACTCATCCTAAATAAAAAGCCATGGCAACAACTCCTCCCCTCCAAGCCCCAGCGGCAATCCCCCTCCCTCCCCCTCCACCAAGCGACTTCCTGTCCCAAGACCAATGGGACATGCTCTGGGCCCTGCTAGACGGCATCCAGCCGTCCTACGTCAGGGCCTCCGCGGTCACGGACCAGGAGACGCAGATTGCCATCCCGGACGCCGAGTTCGACCGCCTCGTCGACAGCGTCACGAATTCCTTCGAAAACCCTCCGAGCAAGGAGCTGGTCGCCGAGTACCTCGCCTTCCGACCGGCGGAGCATGCGCCGTTTCGGGTCGACTGTCTGCGCAGCTTGGCCGCGTCGCCGGCAAAGGCTAAGCTTGCCAAAGTCCTCGGATCGTTGGGGTGAGTTTCGAACTCTCGCGGGGGGGGTTCTGACTGGGTAGGGAATGAAAAGCAATCATCTGTGGCTAACTCTCACTCTCTCTCTCTCTCTCCATGGCGGCACAGGACACGCACGGGAAGCCTCTTGTTGACGGGCTACTGGAGCCCCATCACCCAGCAGCCCACCAGCGTGCGCGAGGCCATCGTCAAGTCTTGGACCACTTCGAGACTCACAGCGATCAGGGGGCTCGCCAAGTCCCTCGCCACCCTGGCTAACAAGGCCAACTGCACCACGAACCCCTACTTCCAGAAGCTCTGCGGATACTCCGACGTGCCCAAGGACTGGAAGCCCGTCCAAGGGTTCGACTTCAACTTCATCCAGCTGCCGCCCGGGGACGACGTGCACGAAATCGCCACCGACGTCGTCATCGTCGGCTCCGGCCCGGGCGGCGGCGTCTGCGCAAAGAACCTGGCGGAGGCAGGCCACAAGGTCCTCGTCGTCGACAAGGGCTACCACTTCCCTCCGTCTTCCCTCCCCATGCCGCAAGTCGCCGCGCTCAACTACCTCTTCGACAACGGCGGCGGCGCCTACGTCAGCGAAGACGCGAGCACCGCCCTCACGTCCGCCAGCTGCTGGGGCGGCGGCGGCACCATCAACTGGAGCGTGTGCTTCAAGCTGCAGGACTTTGTCCGCCAGGAATGGGCCGGCGAGGGCCTCCCGCTCTTCGCGTCGCGCGACTTTGACGAGTGCGTCGACCGCGTCTGGGAGTACATCGGCGCCGGCACGGAGACTGTCCGCCACAACTTCCGCAACAGCGCGCTGCTCGAGGGGTGCAAGAAGCTGGGCTGGCACGCGGGCGTCGCCGCCCAGAACACGGCCAACAGGCACCACGACTGCGGCCACTGCCATCTCGGCTGCGGATCGGGCGTCAAGAGAGGGCCCGCGGTGAGCTGGCTGCCGGCCGCGGCCGCGGCGGGCGCCGAGTTCATGGAGGGCTTCAGCGTCGAGAGGGTGCTCTTCGACAGCGACGGCACGACGGCCACAGGCGTTCGGGGGACGTGGACCTCGAGAGATGCCGATGGTGGCCTTCACAAGGACGTTGCAGAACGGACGCAGCGCAACGTCGTCATCACGGCGAAGAAGGTCATTCTGTGCGCTGGGAGCTTTTGGAGTCCCGTCATCCTGATGAAGAGCGGCGTCCAGGTAAGTGTTCATGTATTCCGATACCCAGTAACCATTGCTATTCGACGCTCACTTCTCCTGTACCCCCTCTTTCCATCTGTACCTCATCTGCTGAGGACCATCTAAAGGGACGCGCTTGCTGACATGTGAAACAACTTCCCCCTTCTCAGAATCCGCAGATTGGACAGAATCTTCATCTTCATCCAGTCAACTGCCTGATGGCTGTCCACCGAAAAGAGACTCGGCCTTGGGAAGGCAGCATCATCACAAGCTGGAGCGGCGAGTTTGAGAACCTCGATGGCAAAGGACACGGGGCAAAGCTGGAGGCATTATGCATGGTGGTGAGTTGATCAAGTCGGGGGGGCATCCATGGTGCTCCCTTGACTTTTCTGACGAGACGATACATCATCCGCTGACTCGACTGCTTGTGACTGCTTCCTAGCCTTACATTGCATTTTCATTGCAGAGTTGGGCCGGAGGCCTTGAAGCCAAGCTCAACACCATGAAGTATCACCACTCCAGCTCCTTCATCTCGCTATCCCGCGATCGAGACTCTGGCCGGGTATTTGTCGATCCTGAGACTGGGGGCCCGCGTATTGACTACACCACTTCTGATTTCGACCGCGAGAACAATCTCGAGGGCATCATTGGCCTTGCCAAGGTTGCCTACGTTAGCGGCGCAGCGGAGATGCGAGTGCATTACCCCGGCGTGCCGCCGTTCCTGCCCAATGCCGCGGAGCAGGAGAAGCACGTCCAAGACAAAGACCCCGAGTTCACGGACGCTGCCTTTGCCAAGTGGCTGCAACAAGTCCGCACCGCGGGCAACAAGCCGCCTCTGACGTCCTTTGGCTCGGCGCACCAGATGGGAACGTGCAGAATGAGCGCCACCAAGGAGTCTGGCGTGGTGGACCAGAGGGGAAGCGTCTGGGGCACGAGCAATCTGTACGTTGCGGACAGTAGCGTGTTCCCGAGCGCGAGCGGCGTCAACCCCATGGTTACCGTCATGGCCATCGCCGACTGGATATCACGGGGTGTCTCTAAGGAGCTGTAGGGAGCTGTAGGGAGACGATGGACGAGAAAGCTTCACCCCTTGGCCTGGGAGGCTCATTGGATGGATATAGGGACAGGCCTGTATCCGCACGGGGAATCTAGAAGCAGGGGCAATTGGATAGAGACATTGCTGTTTCATCTTTTCAACCTATGGGGAACGAGACTCAAGCGCTTTCGGTGGCCGGGAACGCATAAGGAAAGGATTCGGGAAGGCCCAGATTTGATAGCTCGCCATACTAGACGAAGAAGGGAAAGCCACTCAAACAGTGCCGCCTTGCTTCCACGGAGAGACCTCTTCAGGTTGATGTTGTCCTCGATGAGGCCATGATTCCGCGTTTCCTCTGCCCAACGACGCAACAACGCAACACCGAAGCGTGCCGCTCAGCCATGTCATGCTCGTACTTGGGCATGAATGAGTCAAAAGGCCAAGACGTAGTTGCCGTTATTGCCAGGTATGGGCTTGTTCCTCGGGCACCGCTCGGCATAGACCATCATCCATCCATGCGTAGATACGGTAGGAGACCTGCTACAGACATCTGTCCACATGACCAGGCGGTCACAAGAGCACCGAGCGTCGCGTCCCTCCTGTGCTCATCCCAGGCATTGTGTAACGAACCAAGACATCCTTCCCTCTTGGGCACCGTGATTGCTGGGCCGGAATGACGGCAGTGAGAGAGAGAGAGAGAGGCAAGCGAAGACAGCCATGTCAGAACATGGCACGATACTGTAGTGAGAAGCCCGAAGTTTGCTCCGACAAGCGGCAACGACGTCATCGATGCCAAGGATGTAATATCAACATGGGGTATTATCGATGAATTTTTTTTTTTAGACGCCGCTTGGAAGGGGGTCAAAGCTTGACCCTGGCTCGTTAGGTATCGACGGCAGGGTAATCCTCCGAAGCCTTCTTCTTTCCTCTCATCTTCTCGTACGAGTATCCCCTGTACCAACGCGATGGTTACAGATCACTCAGGAGGCGACTCGGGAGGAGTTGTCTGTCGAGTCGACCTGGAAACGAAGTCACCAGTAGCACGAAAAGCGGTGGGACGGTACCTCCGGACGCAGTTCCGCTTGGTTGCCTCCCGTGCGGGAATCGACGCGTTACATAAGCAGCGCAGGGACAGGAGACGGGACAGCTGGCAGATCTGTGTGGGGTTAGCCACAGTTCGCAAGGCAGACACAGCCACGAGCCGATGATAGTCGCTGAGTCTGCCGCGCCACGTTGTTGATGGCGGCCACACCGAGGGGCAGGGCATGGGCATCAAGCAGAATCCGTGCAGAGCTCGCCCTGAGCCCGAGCTGCAAAGAGACGTCAGGGGCGGCCATGGACACGGTCGTGCAGCAGTCGACGACGGAGCAAGGAGGGCATCGATGCAGCTCGTTCAGCTGTCCATGGGTTTTGCAGGGCCGGTGGCCAAGGGGGTGTGGCGTCTGGTCGTGCCTGTTGCGAGATGCCCGTCTCGTCTGGCCGGATAGCTGCATGCAGACGATGGTACAATCAATAGACCCGTGCTTCGGACCGTGGAAGGGACGGCGTACCGTCGTGATGGCATCGTACCTGTACCGCATACTGTCAGTGCCCTGGGGCCAAAGGCGACGTGAGCGAGGACGGGATGCGCACCTCGTTTCCCAAAGTCTGGTAGCACAGGAGAAATCCTCTGCTATGCTGTAATATTGAAGCCTTCACATATAGAACCTTGGCAGTGAGCACGCATGTACTGGGAGGTCCTCGATCGTTGGGCCTCGTCACCAGCCACACTTTCTCAGACTGCCAGCGTACTCGTAGTGGTTGAAACATGCTGCCAATAGACATCTGTCCATCTTCTTTGGATACGAGCACGAGCAGTAGTATCCGAGTCGCTGGCTCGTGTCGATCGGTGAGCGACCCGTTGCTGGCGTGGGGTCCACCAAGAGCCTCCGGGGATGAGTTCCAGGGTCAGATTTCTCCAATGCTGTGGTTCTCGGCTATCCGAACCAGGACGCACCCTGCATACACCTTTGCCGGCAGGCTCATTGTTTGCCAGATGCCAGCATCAGGCAATTGTTGAGGCGCGTGCTGTCATCGTAGACGACCCGGGCCTGCTGGTTCAAGTCCCGAAATCTTCGTGGGGTTTCGGCTAATGCATCGGTGAGGAGCCTGCATTTGCCACCGGTGCTCCAATTCAGAGGCAGCCCGCGAGGGTTTGCAGGCGACGACGGCGACAACGAAGACGAAGTGTTGGGCATGGCAAGGCTCACGAACACGTCTTTGGCGGCGGCCACGTCTGTGATGGCGAGGTGGCCAGGCCAGCTTGATGCGCCAGCCTCGCTACGTAGCCACTTTGCTGTTTCGACAATTGTCGCCTTGCTCATCCCAATGCTGCCGTTGCCTCTTTGAGGCGTCGAGGTGCGGACAAGCCCATTGGGCGCCCAGTACGGAGTAGTACATGCAGATGTCGAATGCCTGCACAGCCAAGGTCAATGCATTGACTGCATGTCCAGGGCCGAGGCCGCAGGCGCTTCTTGCGCTCGATATGCGCCGCCCTTGTTCCTTTCATCTTCGGAGGGGCGTCCGTAGCACACTCCCTCGACTCTCCAGTGTGTGAGGTCCCTCGAGCCTCGCAGCACTTAGATAATCGGGCTCCGACTGGCTTTGCCGTCGTCCAGGCGGGCAGAGGTGAGCGTCGTCACCTGCGGCCAGATAATCAACCGCCTCCAAGGGCGTCGCGGGCCTCGCAGTTGGGCCTCTGATGAATTCGCTCTTTGCAAAACAGGCCTACAGCAGGGCCTTGGTTGCCTCAAGTGACGTGTCTCTGTCGTTGGATCCTCTGGCAGCGGCAAAAAAAGGGAGAAGAATATCATCCATCATCTTTCGACGTCGTTGACTCTAGGGTGAGTGTGGCCAAGAGAAGGAACGAGGTACGCGTACACTTAACACCAGTGATCGTCCACACATGGCAATCACAGAGGTACCGAAGTACAGGATCAACCTTCGGTTGCTAACATCTGGGCATGACCTATTTTTGGCATTACCGAGGCGAGCATTTTCCACCTTACCTTACCTTGTACATGACTCTTAGCTCGCTCTCAACAGTGAAGAATTCCATGCTCTGTTCTCGTTCTTCGTGCCTGTGTGGTGTTGTCGTGTTACCGGACGATGATCGCTTTTGCCTGGCTTGACAGGGGACTCGCCGATTCCTCAGTAACCTCGGCCTTATACGAGCACACCCAGATGCTCGTATGGCTATTGTAGGTTCATACTCCGTACAGCAAGCACAGATAACCATAGGTACTGCGCATAGCATTGGATCTAGAAGCAATCAATACCTACAAAGGTACATATGAGGTAGTAGCAGTAGCAGAGCGTCCATTTCCAGGCAAGGTGGTGCCTTATAGGCCGATGGCTGCCGATTCGACCCCGCCAGCCACCACGATGTACCGGCCAGGCGCGCAGAGTACCGGTACCTCGTCGCCCTCCCTGGCCTGTGGCTTGCGCGGCACTCTTTCGTATCCCAGCCACGACCGCCGTGGTCAGACTCGTCCATCCACATGTCCATCCACGCCGGAATCAGACGACAGAGACCAAAACATGGCCCGTGAGACGCGTTGCAGCTGGGTGGTAAGCTTTGGCCGGCCATTCACGGGCACTCGCTACTTTCTGCCACGGCACCGCGCTGGAATCAGGATACCATATCCGCGCCGTCTTTGCAAGCATACCTCCTCGTAAGCGGACCGGCAGGACAGGCCAGATGCATCAAACCCCCGCGTCGCGACAGTGGCCAGATTTGATGGCCCCCATCCTCCATCCTCAGAATCCAGCAGAGTCGATCCGGTAGCCACTCAAAGAGATGCAGACGCTGCAGCCCCCCCAGGTGCCACAGCAAGAGCCGCCACCTCCCTGCTGGCGGATAGCCGGAAACCCTCGCCTTTCGCCCTGACAGAGGCAGGCAGACAGACAGACAGTTGGGACCCGAGAGAGATGGGAGAGAGATAGCAGAAGCATCTGTGGGGACGGACGCAGCAGGGCCTCAAGTGCCGCGCAGTGTAAGCACAGGAGCCGTTTAAGAGAAGCTTTGTCACTTATCAATCTCCGCAGACGGACGGGCCAGAAACCAAGAAAGGCGCGACGAAACACAGGAAAAGAGGGCTCGCCAGTCGGCTTGACCTCCCCGTTCACAGAGCTCTGTGCTTTTCGACGCCGCTTGCACCGTTTCTGCGAATATCAGGCCGTCTGCTGTGATTGGCCAGATGCCCTGTCGACAGAGCCAATGAGGCTCAGTCTCATCGACCTCTTTCGGCTACTCCACCCTGGCAACCACTGGCCTCCAAGGTCTCTGGCCAATCAGGCGCCGCAGAGTCACTTTTCAACCGACACACCTCAGCTCGCCGAAGCCACTAACACCGTCTGCATGGAGGCAACGCTCCTGGCCGTGAGGATGCGCACACTGTCGACTCTCTGTCTGGCAGCTGTGAGAATCCAGGGGGATCCCCTTGCGGAGGGTCTTTTGAGATGTTGGACTCCTGGCAAAGGCCCGCCGTCTCGGGACGCTCCGGGGGCCCCTTGGGACGGACTCGAGAGCCATTGCCCAACCATTGCCCGGGACTTACATGTCTGCAGCGATCAGGACGGTCTCGATGCTTCAGCTTGCCTTCCCAGCCAGGGGAAACACCCGGCCCTAGCGGAGACGGACGACGGCTTGTCCCTAGACGGTCTCCATCCTCATCAAAGCCTTTGTTTCTCCTGGCAGCTCACCAAGCAATCAGGGTGACCAGGAGAGCCCGGTGCCGACGGATGCGGAGCACTCGAAGCAAAGGGCGATTCACGAGACCTCGACTCTTATCAAAATCCCTCGTCGACAGAGGAAGGATCATGGGCGATCCCAGAGAGGCGCCTTGGAGTGCGGGGACGCGGCCAATGCTCAAGCTGCGGCGCCTACATGTCCTCGACGACTCGTACGACTGCCTCCTCTCTCTCTCCACGATCCACAGTACGCATCCAAACCAAACGGAAGCGAGGGCAGACTACAACTGGTATGGCTCGGCCGGCGGCACATGCCAACCCGCCATGTCCGCACATCTCGAGCTTGCACTGTGGAAGTGGAGGAGAAAAACGAAAGAATGAGTGGGAAAGGGCCATGTCACTTGTGGTTCTTTTTTTTCCGTTGGGAAGAGCCGTCTCCTCACTCACACCCAGGTTGGTTGCGGCCGGCGCATGGCGCGGCGTTGAGCATGCAGGTCATTACAGCAGATGCAGCGTAAACAAGGGCTTCTTCTGCATCTCATTGACCAGACGACGAGATGAGACGGTCGATGGTAATTTCTCCCATTTGACTTGCATTTCTCGTCTGGTTTCAGCTCGTTGCTAGCTATGCTGACCACTACTTGGCCCCCCCTCTCTCAAACTGAGCTAGGAGTCTTTGTAAGATGACTCTGGAGGGGGCCGAGCCGGCGGCGGGTGCTGGTACTAGCAACAACATCACCCGTTTGGTTTTCTCTGCTCCTCCGTCGTCCCCGTTGTCCGCAAGCAAATCCTGTAAGCGGAGGCACGCACGGGGGGGTCACTCCATCCTGCATAAGCGGCGCAACCATGCTCGCTTCGAAGATGTCAAGCAATAGCGGCTCCGTCGCCGTGGGTTTATTTGCGTATCAGTTGCTTCGCGAAGTTTGAACTCGCGAGCCTGCCTTTTCCCCTCACTCTTCCGATGTGGAGCAAGAAGAGGAGTAAGTCTCGTATGTACATGGCGCATACTGTATGCTCGACGGCAGCATGAGCTTGGAGAGTCAGTCTGCTACATGAACTCTGGGTATGAGCGATGAGTAGCGAAGCGAGCTGTATGACAGGCAAAGCGTTGCATGCAAAGCACTAATCTGATGTACATACTGCCTTGGAATCCGGTGGGCAAGCAACAGTTTGGACAGTTATCTCCTCTGTCTCTATCTCCGGCCTTTTTCCTTTCTTTCAAGACACGAGATGTCATATATCATGATGCGACATAACAAGATGGGCCACACGAAGCTGCTTTATGCAACACGCTATACGAGGAGATGGCGCCTCAGCAGCGTAGCGAAGTGGCATTTTGCAAGTGCCAGGCAAGCAAGGCGGCAGCAGACGGCCGATCAGTCACCTACGGCACTTTAATGGTTCTTTTTCCCTCTTGTCAGTCCTTTATCGACGAGGAACAGGGCACATGTCTTGCGTCCGACGTCTTGGTTGCCCACCACGACGGGAGCACTTCTCCGTGGTGCTGTTGGCTACGACTCCTCCCATGTGCACATATACACGCTTTGACGCCGTGCCTAGCAGTCGATATAAGGTATCATTCACTCTTCTGTAAGTTGGCACCGATATGCTGCCGCTAGCAGGCAACACTACGACTGCTACCCACCGGCGCCCATGACCACGCCCATGACCATGGCCATGACCTTGACCATGCCCACATCCCTCGTACGAGTACGAATAGGCATGTGCAGTACTGTATGTCCAGTACCGCAGTTGACGACGTCGTTATTGTGGGCAGATATTTCGCTCACAGCGCCAAGCGCCTACTGAGACTGGACCCTGCCTTGTTGATGGACGGGCTGATCTCGTGATATCATGTCCGGGCACCAATGATGTAGATGTGCATGTCCTGTGCTGCTTGGGTGCTGCTCATCGACTAGACCAGCGGCTTAGGCAACAAGGGACTTTGATTCCTGGTCACGTTTCCCTCAAGAACAACGACGATGAGGTCATGACGAAAAAGGGAGAGGAAATCCCCGTCAGGTAGACAAAGCCCAAGAGCAAAAGAAAAACCGTACGAAAGCGTCGGTGACGGCTGGGCGCCTACGGGCCACGACCAAAAGAGCCGACCCTGTTGCGACACCCGCCACAGAATCTGACCAGGTACGAGTACCTTGACAAGTTCCCTTGGACCTGTGAAAGTCGCGGTACCTCGCGCGAAAAAAACAAGCGGCAGGCAGGCAAAAAACCAGAAAAACAGGTGCAGAGCAGCAAAAAACAGAACAGCAAGGGCAAAAAAGAGCCAGGAAAAAAAAAGCAGACGGTGTGTGGCGCGGGTGCTGCAGGTCTTTCAGCTCCACCGGCGCCTGCAGGACTACCCGTTTCGGGCAAGCTGTGGCTGTACACGCCCCTCCTCCTCCGTCCAGAGCTTCTCTCTTCCCGACCTTGACTGCGCACGCCCCCCTATTTTCTGTTTTCCATGCCAGAGAGGGTTGAGAGTTGCTCTACTGTATTACTAGCTTCTCTTCCCAAAACAAGGGAGACACAGCCCAGGCCTGGGGTGCCCTTATTTTCTTTTATTTTCACTTTTGCGATTTCGTCCTTGACTCGTTTCGATAATGCTTTGTGCTGGATTTGGGGTTGATGGGCCGTTGGGGGATTTCATGCTGGTACTACTAGATGGACATATCGTGCAGTAGCAGAGAGGCAGTGACGGGATGTGGAGCGATTACATGCTGCTGCTGCTGCTGCTGCTCTACCACAGTCGGTATGTCAGTTTGGGCAGTATGGAGGCACCCACCTATCGAGGCATGGGGTCCTTTCGTCCATGTACGAGTAGGTCGTATTACTACTTACAGGTAGCACCACGACTAAGAATATCGAAAGCGAGTTAGAGTCACGATAGTACGACTCGGACCCGTCCTGGTAACTGGCTCTCAGCACTCCAGAGTCGGAGCACCGAGTGCCTCGAGGTATGGAGTACGAGGCGACATGCCCCGTTGTCGGTGCCACTCGGAGGTAGCCAGTACGGAGCGGTATCCAGCATCCAGCAATCCAGCATCCAGTTCCCAGTTTCTCATCTGAGCAAGCGGTTGGCGGCCGCTGCTCGCCCTCTCTTCACTTTTTCTTTTCTTGGAGAACAGTCGAAGCATTGACGATGACATGGATGGAATCTAAGCTCGGGTGGTATGTAATAACCTTGTGCTCCCGAGCTGCCGGAATGTAAGCTGTATCTGATCACGTCGTACACATGACAGATTACGTCCAGAGACATCAAAGGCAAGGTAACAAACAAAAAAGAACCCCATGTGCGTGCTACCATACGTAGAATGACATGCCACAACACCAACCCGGTGAAGAGGGCGTAGTACAAAGTCAAAAAGCCAAAAGCCAAACTGCACCATGGGGACAAAGACAAACCCGCTTCGTGATGTCTGTTCTGCTTTGCCCTCGGAGTACGCGGGAAAGGCGGCCCTGGGGTGTACTCCCTACCCGTCTGCGTCATACTGCCGCGCAGCCTGGACGAAGTAGGGTGTACATGTCCCGAGTACGAAATGGCCCCCCAGGCCCGTCATGATGCTTTTCTGTTTCTCTTCCTGCTCTGGCGCCTGCAGACGAGGCCCCTCTCAAGACCACATCGACCCAGGCCAGACCAGACCACGCCCACGGCCCAGGACGGACAGGACAGGACAGGACAGGACAGGGCAGGGCAGGGCAAGACGCACGCCTCAGGGAAGGGGGGGCGTGTGGCAGGGAGGGCAAAAAGCGCCCGATGCTGGCAAAAAAACACGAAAATACCTGTCCGCAACACCCAAAAAACGCCAGCGAGCGGGTACCAGATGCAGATGCAGATGCAGCAGGCAGTCATGCTTGGCTGCTTAGTGCCAGCCGCAGGCACTACGAGGTACATGCATCATGTGTGGTCGAAGCTTCGGGCGGCCGTGGGCATCGCGTGCGGTGGTATTTAGACAGCCCCCGAGCACCACCCAAGACGGCTGCTGACTGCCCTGAACTGCAACCGCCAACCGCCGCTAGCCACTCGCCCTCCAGCGGACCCCCCCAGCGCTTGAACCGACCCAAGACCTGCTAGAGCACCCGCCTAGTCTCTCTAGCACCCGTACCCGTACCCGAGCCACCTCCACCGCCGTATATCTTCCATTTCTCCCCGCTCACACACCCTCTTCTCTTCTTCTCTTCCCTCCTCACGATCTCCTCGTCCGCCGTTCTCTTCTCTCCTCCTTCCCTGGCATTCGGCCGCTCAGCAGGTGATTCAGTCAGCCTGCCAACCTTTGCGCCACTCCCTGCTCGGCACCGTTTCCAGGTTTTTGTTTTCCTTTCCACGCCTTTTTTCACTCCGCCTGTTGTCGTTGTGTGTCATTGTCCTCCTTTGTTGCTTGCTTCTTTAACGCCCTTCCTCGTCCCCGTTGCGCCGCTTTGACCCATCGCCGCTTCTTGTCTCTCAGAGATAAAACAGAAGAGGTGTCTCTTTTCTCAGACCTCGACGCCGTCCCTCGTCTTGGTGCTGCTCCGTCAACCTGCAACAGCCGCCTGTCCTCGACTTACACCCCAGCCAAAAAAAAAAAGTCCAGCTTCCTCTTCTACACGACAACATGCCGGTCCAGCTTCTCCCCGCCTCGGCCGCGGCCTTTGCCCCGCGGGCCTCATCCGTCAACGTCGTCCTGGGCTCCCGGGTCGAGCCGTGGCTTACACAGACGCTCAAGCGTGTCAATCGGGTTAAGCGCCCTCAACAGCGTCCCCCAGCACCAGCGATGCCTCACTGAGCTCCTGTCATCACCCAACGCCATCTGGACCCTCTGCTCAATCATGCTCGCCAAGCTGCCCCAGGCCGAGATGCCCGAGGACCCCACGGAGAACCTCTTCAGCCACCAGCTCTTCCACATCGAGGCCTACATTGTCCACGTCGACATGGTCCTGCGCAACGAGGTCGCCTTCAAGCTGACCACCGACACCATTGATGCCCTCGTCGAGTACCACAAGGAGGTCCACTGCGTCGACGCAAAGGCCAACACCTACGACTGGTCCGAGAAGGAGCAGCAGTGCAAGAAGCTGCACGAGGACTTTGTCCAGGCCATCAACAAGTTTGTCTTCCGCGCCGACGTCTCCGCCCTGGAGGGTCTCGAGGAGGAGGGTGCCGGCGAGCTGCTCAACGGAAAGAGCAAGGACGTCAAGGCGAGCATCATGAACCTCATGAAGCCGCTTCTGCCTCCCCCGCCGAGAGTCGTCGAGGTCATTCGACAGCCGCCTCTGCTGCCCAGCTCTCCCCTCGGCGGCATGTGGACGCAGGCCCCTCCTCACATCATCCCCGCCGCCGTTGAGCCTTGGCAGGTGCTGCCTTCAAGTCCCAGCGTCACCTCGTCTGTCGACTCGAGCAACACTCCCCTCTGGGCCAATATGGGGATGAGCGACTGCCAGCTGCCCTCTCCGACGCCTTCGTTCAGCCTCCCGCAGACCACCGCCGAGCTCTTCTACAGCCCGCCCATCATGGCGCCCATCCCAGCACTCCCTCTCCCCAGCGTCTTCGCACCTTCACAGTGCGGAGTGAGCCTGGGCATGGGCATCGGTGGTGGCTTTGGCTGGGACCGCTACCACGAGTACGCCACGATAATGTGAGGCTGCAGCCACTCCCGCGACCGACAACCGACTTCTTAATTACCCGTCCCGCCACCCGGCCCGCGGTTGCGCGCACCCCCCTTCAACGGACAAACAAAAGCAGAGTCATCACTTCTCAATCGGCATAGACACCATGTCAGGGCATATAGGCGTTTTGTTGCATCAGGAACGGAGTTCGAATACCTCGACAATATCCTTCTCTTTTTCCAGGAAATACCCGTAATCATTTCCTCTTTTTCTTTGCTTCTTTCTTCTTTTCTTTACCTCCTTCTGGCTTTTCCTTGGCGACACAGCAAGCGTGCACGTGGTTTCGAATCCAGTTCTCGTTGACAGTCCAGACAACTTGATCTTCCGTCTCGTCATGGCCGCAAGCTCGGCATTCTGTTTTGGGCTCCTTGTTTTTTTCCTTTACACGATACCACCAACACGGCTGGATCTGAGGCGGCAAATCTGGATGTGTTTTTTCAACCGGGCGGGGACTCCTTCTTCGGCACAGACGCTAGCGACTTGCGACATTCTCTTCCCTTTTTCCTTGTTCTTCTTGTTGTTTCTGGTACACATTGGGTTAAAGATAAGAGGCAACTGCAGCAATGCACAACACTCGGCACGGTCCGAAACCTCCACTGGATTTGATTCCTTCACTTTCTTTTCTCATCCCCCTTTGCCCCTCTCGAGGCATTTGGAGGGCAGGCTTTACTTTTTTCACCGGAAGATCTCCCTCTCGGATGTGAGGTGCCTGAGAGTAACATCTCAGACTACTCACTCTTTGGTCTTACCTTATCCTGTCATTGCGTAATGATTCACGAAAGCATTTGACGACGACATGAACGAGTTACGAATAGACTCACGGGTACGCGACACGATTTTGAATACATGGAAAGCTTTGGTTTCTCCAGCTAGACGCTGGGGTTGGACACTTTCTCCCTTCGGATCAAGTACTCAGCTTACGACAACGGTTTATTCGGCTCAATGATTCGTTTCCAACACCGACTCACGGGATCTGAACCGGTTTCAGACTCTTCGCGCTTTTTGGAACGACGTCAAACCAACAATATCACATCATTGCGCATTGCGGTCACGGTGCTGAGATATCTGGAATATGTCGGCTTATTGGGAAGACGACGATAGGGTGGGTTTCATGCCTTGTCTCTGCTGGGCAGCGACGAGTGCAATGGCCTCTTCCGCTCCGTCGTTTTGCCGCGATTATTTCTCAGCCAGGCATTTCAATCAACTCTGCCATCTCACATGCCGATTAGGGGGGAACAGCTCGAGCACGCCAAAGAGCTGTGCCCCCTTTTCAGTTCTCGACGCAATAACAGGCTTGTTGAGATGGCACTGGGAAATAACATGGCAAATCGGTTTTTGTAGTTCATCTCTCTACACACTACTTCCGCTGCGGTCGCCACTTCTGACAGACTGGATCTGACTGAAAAAGCATCGAAGCGGATGTGGCGCGATGCCAGGCGAGTGAGCCGGACGGTCAGCAACGCTGTGCCTTGTTGGCTGTCGCGGACTCACTCCTGGGCTCTTCCGCAGGAAACGGGAGAACACTTGGGATCGCATAAGAGATGCTGGATATATGACTCAAAGCGTGCGAGAAAAAAAATTGAAAAGGGGGAGAAATCAGATGTTGGAACCAAAAAAAAAATCTCAAAAAACATATTGTAACAAATGAAGGACAAATGGCTTCTTCCGCCCAGGCGGCGGAGATGCCTCGCACGCGATGCCTCGCACTGCTGGAAAAGGGTCCCTGCTCGTTTTCTTGTCGTTGGCAGTACTACTAGGTAGTTAATTCAAACTTGGTAAAAAAAAGAAATGCCTGATTCTCGTCTGCTGCAGTGATGTGACTTTCCCTGATGGTTCGACGGCTTGCAACTGTAAGGGAGGTATTGACGATTCTGTCCCAGTATGATATCCTACATGGGTGAAATACGCTAATATATGTACAAAAGATGTATTCGTGTACAATATCATTATTGTGATCGGAGACCGGGTCATCAGGGGCAAAGCCGCCCAGTTGAGTCTGATAATGAGCAACACATCTGTATGGTAGTTCCATTTCCTATAAAGTACATGGCATCCTGAACATTTCCACATTCCCTCCGAATCGAACCTCTCAGCATTTGTATAATCTTGCCATTCCCTCGTCAACACGTTGGCTTTGACTATTTGACAAGCTTCTCCGTCTGCTCCTGAATGGAAACCCCCAAGCCAGGGTCCACTCGCATAAACATGGCATATGTTCTATTGCGAGTTTCCTGGTGAGCCGCCGACAAGTGGCCAGCGACATTCGAGACAAAGTTGTCTTGCTGGCCAGGAGTGCGGCCGAGAACGTCCCAGAGACCCTTTGCTTGAACAAAATCATCATCGTTGACTACTTGGAAGAGCTCATGGACGGCAGCGCCAGACCAAGTCTCATGCGTGACAGTGGGCTTGACAGGCTTGTAAGTCAGCTGCCTGTAGGAACTGGGGTAGTTGGGATTGGCACCATAGTTGCCGTTGACGACCATGGCACCATCACGCTGGAAGGGGTTGAATGCCTTGAGAGGCGCGTTGACAGGAATCTGCTGATAATTGGTGCCCAGACGGTGACGATGAGTGTCGGGGTAAGAGAACAGCCGAGACTGCAGCACGGGGTCGATGGAAGGCTCAACGCCGGGTACCAAGTGCGAGGGAGAAAAGGCAACTTGCTCAATCTCGGCGAAATAGTTTTCGGGATTCTTGTTGAGCGTGAATTTGCCAAGAGGTCTCAGGGGCACGTCCTTCTGAGGCCAAACCTTGGTCAAATCAAAGATGTTCCATCGGAACTTCTCAGCTTCCTCAGGGGTGAGCACCTGGACATAGACCGTCCAACTGGGATAGTCACCCTTTTGGATAGCCTCGAAAAGATCCTGAGTGTTCCAGTCCGGGTTCTCGGCAGCCATCTTTGCGGCCTCTTCGCCGGTGAACGTCTTGATGCCCTGATCGGTCTTGAGGTGAACCTGAGTATACACAAACGATCCATCAGGCTTAGTCCACTTGTGAGTGTGACCCGAGTATCCGTTCATGTGTCGGTAAGAGTAAGGGGTGCCTCTATCGGAGAAGAGAGTCATTACTTGATGGATGGCCTCTTGGTGGGTGGAAAGGTAGTCCCAGAACATGGTGGCATCTTTCAGATTCGTTTGCGGGTTCCGCTTCTGAGTGTGGATGAAGAGCGGAAACTTGGTAGGGTCCCGAATGAAGAAAACGGGAGTGTTGTTGTATACCCAGTCCCAGTTGCCTTCTTCCGTGTAGAACTTGATGGCGAAGCCGCGGGGGTCGCGAGCAGTGTCGGCTGAACCCTTCTCGCCACCGACAGTCGAGAAACGCGCAACGCAGTTGGTTTTCTTACCGACGGTGTCAAACATGTTGATGGAGGTGAGGTCTGTGATGTCATGGGTGACTTCAAAGACACCGTATGCACCAGCACCCTTTGCATGGACGACGCGCTCGGGGATACGCTCGCCTAGATGTGCAGTGTTAGTAGACCGATCTGGTGACACTCGCTGAGGGGCAGGTTGGAATAGAGCCTAGTATCGGGTATTGCGGAACATTGATAGAGGATTCAAAGAGAAGAAGTAATGGTTGATACGTACGGTCGAAGTGGGCTAGGGCGTCAATCAGGTGAAAGTCCTGGAGCAGCAGAGGCCCCATGGTGCCGGGCCGCTGCCAGCCCTCAGGGTTGTCAATGGGAGCGCCATTGGAGGTGGTGTAGACTGGCTTCTCGTTGTATCTGAAGGTGGAAGCCGAGGCATCGTTGGCAACCATTGTGGCTATCGCGGATAAGGTACTAAGAGATGGTGTCAGTTGCCGTACCTTACTCAATGGATGACTTGCAGTACAATTGGAGGGGAACAAGATAAGAGGTAACTAACTTACTTTGTGTTATTTGGTAAGAAGGCAGCAGATATCGACTCTATAGGAGGATAGAGTGGATAAATGGTAGACGATGAGAAAGAGGGCCGGGAAGAGGAAGAAGACGAAGAAGAAGAAGAGAAGGAAGAGTTGAGGGACACGGGACAAGGTAGCCAGGCGGGCAATGAGGGGTTGGTCGAGCCTGCCTCTTTATACGTCTGAGAGATAGAACAGAGATGGAAAGAGAGGAGTGAGCGTAGTTGGTGGGGTGATTTGACAGAGCCCGATGTAAGACGAAGCCTGTCAGAGAGCTGCGAATCCACGCATCCATGGATGGCCGGATGGCATAGAGGAGCTTTGTGTGGTTGAAACTCGGCATCTGGCGGGATGTACATGCATACACGGACCCTCCCTCTCTCCTTCCCCTCCCCTTTCCTGCCTGTATCTAACCTCTTATTGTGCCCTGCTCGTGCTTGCCCTACCAAGCTACTACTGTACAAAAAGCAGCTAATAAGGTAAGGTAGGTACGAGCTTCACTACCTACCCAAATTCGCAGAAATCACAAGGTACCGTTGGGCATCTTTGTGTTAACATCAAGTCCGACGTGATGAGCATATATCCAAGGTACCTACCTCAGATAGTGTATGAGTTACATCAGATGCTGTAGTTGAAGACAGTTGCCCAGAAGCTCTTCCATATTCACCCACAATCTTGTCCAGCTGTCCCCGGAGTTGTCCAGAGCTTTGCGTGCTTGCGTGCCTGACTTTGGTCCCAAGATCCACACCCTACGTCAGGGCAATGTGACTGAACAAGCATTGCAGGTATTTCGCTCCTCATACGCGCATACGAGGTACATGCTCTTGCCGTACAGTCTTGGCAAACCAGGTGGGAAGCAAGAGCCGGCTCGCTCGATCTTTCCCCGCTGGGCTAGCCCAATGTGGAGTAGGGTGAGCCAATCAGGGGACCTCTAATAAGCAAAGCGGGAATCGGTTCGCTCGACCGGGGCTCGGCGGGCTGCTGGAGCTGAGCTTGGACGGGACTTGAACATCAAGATGCTCTGCTGTGCTGTGATATGTAATTTATGGGACTACGGAGTACACCTCAAGATATTACATCAGGTTCTTTTCTGGGGTCATTTTCTCGTCAAGCTGCCTCTATTGCTGAGATGGATCGGAGAAGCACGAATTCCATGAATTCATGCATCGGCCACTCAATGTAACGCACATCTGCCACCAGCATCACTTGTTCTCAATGTCCTCTTGCATTCGATTCAGCTTCTCCGGCGTCCCCAACACCTCGAAAACCATCTATCACATCAGCCCTTTCTCCAGAATATGAGTCAATTAATTCTATATCTCAGCCTGATTTTTTTTCCTTCTCCAACTTTCCAAGCGGGGTCTCGCCATTGCCTTCCTCTTCCGCAAGTGCCGCAATCGTTTCGCTCGTCATCACCCACCCCCATTCCACCAACTTCCAATGCGCTTGTAGATGGAAGAAGGATGGCGCGGGCGCGCCTCGTGTCTCCGGCGTTCGGGCTTGGACGCGTGGTCACCTGTTCGGGAATGTTTCCGGGGGTGCTTAGGTTTCCATTCTGCCGTAATCACATAATTAGTCCAATGTTTATCTCCGTAGCTGATATAGTTGATATTCGGATCTTACATATCTCATTTGATAGGCATTCCAAATGGGGCTAATTGTCAACGAAGGTTCGCCCGGCTGGTTAGGTGCCGCGTGAAGCAACGACAGATCCCATCCATATCACTATCTAGGTAGTCACCTAGTAGGTATTCGACTTAAGTCTAGGTAGATCATATCAGCCAAAATCCTATCGACCGCCGGTTCCCGTAAGAGGTCAATTTGACATGTATATCCGCCAAAGACCGAGTAAGTACCTAGGTATGCTTACGAGAGTCGAGACCTTCAAGTTGTCTGCTGCTATACCCTCTGCCCACATCACTTTACCATCTTCACGCTCTCTTCTTCGGCCAGTCTCTCATCCTTTCTTACAGAGAGATCCGCGGAAACAACGAGAACAGCTATATTAACCGGAAGATTGATTGGACGTCATGTGGATATTGCCGGGCACCTGAGTAGGCCCGGTAGAAGAACCGCCTCATAGCGATCCTCTGCAGATACCACCACATGCCCTGGATACCCTATCGGTTTCGACATAACCACATACACATGGGAGTCTCTCAGTTAGATTGAGGGACTGTGCAGAGCCCGCATGTCCGAGATTGCGAGGGTTCCGAAGCCAAGCTCAGTGTCCAAAGACGGAGAGATAAATGTTGAGAATCGAAACAGGATACTAACGCGTATCCCAAGTCTAAAATTAAATGGTAGTAACCTTCATATTGTGCCGCCGTCCGTACGCTTTGCCCCCCTTCCAAGGCTATCATCCGCCTATTATATAGGCAGGTGTGGTATTCCTTGCATATCCTTCTCCCTGTCCCAATATAGCGTTGGCCGCTTGGGTACGACGAAACCCGGCCGTCGTTGCCATAATCCTATCGTTTGTTGTACAAGTTGCGTTTCGGTAATGAAGAAGGAAGGCTGATTGAGCCCCCTTCATGCGTTCGTTATTTGTTTCGTAGAGTCTCGTGTTTTAGTTGTCCTGGTTCACGGTTTGCTAAATCAGACGTAAATCGTCAGCTTCCTTGATATTCTTCCCCCAAGTCACTTGGACCGCCAGGAAAGGATAGACTCACCACTAGCCAATCCATGCCCTCATTCACACCACTGCCATCGACCGCCGAGCAGGCCATGATGCTCCAATTCCTGTCCCGCAGCTCGCCCAGCTGCAGCGCTTCTGAGATCTCGCCCGCTCCCTTGGCGCCGGGCTGGTCCTGCTTGTTGGCAAACACCAGCAGCGCCGCGTCCTTGAGCTCTTCTTCGTTCAGCATGGCCGACAGCTCCTCTGCGGCCGTTTGTAACCGGTCGATGTCGGTCGAGTCGACGACGAAAATGACGGCAGCGGTGTTGGCATAGTAACACCGCCAGTACGGTCTGATGCTAGTCTGACCACCCAGATCCTGGAAGCGAGAACAAGTGCCGTTAGCAAGAGACGATTCTTTCTCTTTCACGCGTATTTCGTAGTCGTGTTCCATACCCAGACATTGAAGTTGAGATTCTTGTACGTGACTGATTCGACGTTGAAGCCGATCGTCGGTATGGTCGTGACAACTTCTCCAATCTGATCCCAATAAAAGTCAGCACGCGATCAGGCAGAGGGGCATTCTCGTGAATAGCACCTTCAGTCTGTATAAAAGCGTCGTTTTGCCAGCATTGTCCTGTTCAAGCCCAGCATTAGCATCCCAACATCGAAGCCCAAAGCCAATGCACGACGTCATACCAAGCCCAGGATCAAGATTCTAATCTCCTTCTTTGCCCAGACCAAGTTGGTCAACCATGACATTCCCGCGCCCATCGTGAAAAATGAACAAGTCCGAAGCTCTTGTGAAACCCGCTGCGCTCCGTCCGTGGAAGATGAAAAAGCCGTTTCGCGTTTCCGCCTCGCGCGCAGCTGGAATTTGCGGGGGAGGATCGATCGTGCCTCTGTGAAATACGCCCAATAATAAATCCCAAATACGAAATTAAGAAAGTATAGAAAAAAACGCAACAAAGACGCCGGGAATATGAATCGTTCAAACTTTGTCGCGTGTGTGCCGCAAGGTTTCGTCGCAGAGAGAGATACGGCTCTCGTCGGAATGTTGTTATGCGACGAGTTAATAATTACAAACTGTCCCCTATTCCGGAGACTTCTAGAGCCCATCTGCACCCATCTTGGCAGGCGTTTGCTAGAGGCGCTGTCCTTGCCAACGGAGGCCTCTGGTTGGTCCACGCGCTTAGACAAAATGACAAGGCTAATCTTACGCAGCCTCACATTCCTTGACCTGTCTGCGTTGCACAAGGTACCAAAGCTGTAAGCTGATGAAGACTCTACTGTACTCGATGGCACCAGAGACCGCATCCAGATGAGCTGAACAATGGCAAAAGGCCATTCGATAACATAAAAACAGCCGTCAAGTTCAGCTTTGTGAGAAATGTACTTTTGCTTCCCTCGCTCATCAACTACACTCTAGAAGGCCGTCTAGCTTATTTTGTCTTCCCTCATCGTAGCCTCATTAGGTAATCATTCCGCGAGACCCTTCATCCACATCAAGTTTCTCAGCCGCTTTTTGTGCCTCAGGCAGAAAGACCGTCTGCGCCACACGCGGCACCAGCCACAAACCCACACAAAGTCAGGTCTTTCATTTTTTTCTCGCTAGGGCTTTACGCCCTCCCCTCGGATGCGGGTCGCAAAACCTACTATCACTCTCAACATCACCCAAAATCGTCATCATCACCAGACTCGATACGCAAGGTCAATAAGATGGCGGTATGGCAGCTCCCTTCTCTCCCCGGCGTTGTTTTGATGAAGGAGCCAAGTCGTCCATCAAAGGAGCGGATTTCTCGATTTTTTTTTCCCCGGCGCGCGGCCTGCAGTTGGAAGCACTCAGGCGAGATCCGACAAGAGTGTTGCAGGACGTGGGAGAGAAAAATGGAAAGACGCAGCCGCTGAATGGAGGGAGACGAGGCTCAAGAATGCTTTGGAGAGCGAAAGAAGCTGACGAGGAAATGAATCTATAGAGCCACAAGACATTCCGAACCAAGCAGAAGCTGGCCAAGGCCCAGAAGCAGAACCGCCCGGTTCCGCAATGGATTCGCCTTCGCACTGGCAACACCATCCGGTGCGTTCACTCTCCCCAAGAGACGAATTCTCAAGTCTATCGCGACGATATTCAACACATCACAATCACCTCCGTCACACGATTTTGCGACATCTTTCCACCCTACACACCCCGAACCATGCCCTCTCGCAAACAACAAACCCTATCACTTCCAAAGGCAAAATACTAACTCGTCATTTTGTACAGCTACAACGCCAAGAGAAGGCACTGGAGGAAGACCCGTCTTGGCATCTAAGCAACCTCACCCGAAAAACCAACCCGGCATTCTCGAAAAGCCCCCCCTCTCTCGCACCGACGGTACCGACCTCCAGCGGTTTTTTATCTTTTGGCATGGTCCTAGTGTGGTGATGGCGGGAAAAGGGGTTTAAGAAGACTTCTTTCTCCCCCGTCCATTTTCTTTTCACGGCGTGTTGGGAGGGGAGGGTAAAGGAGGATGCAGATGCATGGAATGGGCACGGTTTGCCCGGTTTCTTGATTCTTGATATTGCTTCATGTCACGGTCGGTCATAGGGAAAGGAATGAACCTATTTTTGATGCCATTTCGGCTTTTTTCTCCCAAGTTTCCGCCGATTTTGTCTTTTCTAAATCTGTGATGCTCCATCGCTGCAGCTGCAGCTGCAGCTGAGAATCCTTTCGTAGAGCCCCAGAGGAGGTCGAATGCTGAATGGCATCTACCATCATCCATTATTAGCCTCCCAGCCCTGGATCGAGTCAGCGCAACATGCAACTCTTTGAATCTCGAGCAGATAAGAGATAGAAGCTGCCTAGTAGTAGTATGCCTGACCATGGCGTACCTTCAGCCTTCATCGAGTAGTCTTTTACACGGGTATAGCATAATCCATCATCGCAAATCACAGCATAGAGCAAGCCGTTATGTTTTGATAACCGGGGTGCCATTAGAATTGTATTGATTTCTAGAAGACACACCTCTTCCCCAGCTCATGAAAAATGTTCCGAGTTAGTCACTGTACACTCGAGCCCCGCATACGTGAACCCCAAGAAAAAACGAATACCAGAAAAGGCAAGAAAAGGAAACCGATAGCCCTGTCAATTCATGCCCGTCAACGCCGTAGGTTGCTCTATCAAACCAGCTGTGGGATCAACTCGATCCGCGCTGCTGCTCCCCGCCGCAACAAAACAAAGATGAAGAGTTCTGAAGCACCTATATAGATGGTCCGTTTATCGGTCCTCAGCCCACTCGTTCTCGCGGCGGATCTGCTCCTCCTCCTCGGCAGAAAAGTCGTTTGTGATGTTGAAGGTCTTGCGAATCTCCTCGGGGGACTTGCCCTTGATCATGTTGGCCACGGTCTTGCAGCCGACGTCGAGGAGGGGCTTGATATCCAGGAAATTGGAAGCCTAGGTTATTGTTAGTTGCGAACGAGGTCATCACTGTTGAGGCGGAGTGATAACGTACAAGAATGATCTCGAAGAGCATCTCCTGGTCCACCTGCATAAACTTCTGGTCCCACTCCTCGATATCCGTCGTCTTCTTGCGGGCATCGGACTCGTCATCGGGGGCAGTGACGGGGTCGTTGCGGTGGTGCTCGCACCACTCAACAACCTTTCGCAGCACTGCTTCGTTGACCTGCAGAGTCGCTGTCAATGGCGTTTCCTAGGAGAAAGAAGGACATCGATGGGCGAGGGCTCAAGAAATGACAACTTACGTTGGGAATGGGGATAGGGTTCTCGGGGCTGACGTCGGCGCCGCCCAAGTCCTCCAGCATGTTCTTCAGGAGCATGGAGCGCTCAACCACGGAACGGTCTGAAATCGGGCGTCAGTGACACGGTTGGCAGATGAACGGAGCGGGAAGAAGGCGAACATACCGACTTCCATGGTGGCATTGTCGTTGGAAATGAGCCAGATCTTCTGGGACGCAGCCTTTGCTTCCGCCATTGTGAGGATGATGTGGCGATGATGTGATAGTAGCTGGACGGAAGTCGGTCGGTGTAGCGGAGCGATGCTGAAACTGGCGGGAGATGCAGATGATGCAAGTCGGAGCGGTTCGGGGGGTTTTGGGGAGACTGTTGTTGATGCTGATGCTGATGCGAAAAGTGCAGCCGGCAAGGGAGGACAGGAGTGGTATTAATACGCTGAGCTGAACCGGAGGCCAGGCACGGACGCTGTGCCTTCAGTGGCAGGCACCTGCCCACTCTTGGACTCTGCGGGGTTCTGCAGCCTGCTGCTGCTGCCGTGGCGGATACGGTACGTACCTCCCAAAAGCTTCCATCGATCGCGGTCAAAAGCCGAAAGAAGGTTGAGGCCCAAAGACGCTTGTGCTCCGCTGAAACTGTCAAAGAAGTAGCATCTGTCCGTAAAGCATCCGTTCCTACCTTAGGCAATCTGTTCTTTTATATTCATCTTCTTGTTTCTATGTTCTTTCATTCATCTACTGGTACTTCTATATGGTCTGCTCTTCATGAAAGAATTGGGTTCGCAGACTTGCCCTTTTTAAAGTTTCAGTGACTCCGAATACAGCCCGTACATGTAGAGGAACTCATAACTTGAAGGCACTGCAGGTTACTCCTGAGTACTTGGTACCTTACGCTGTGAAAGTGCCCGTCGATGTTGGGTTGTCGAGGTGCGTGCTTCCATAATGACGGCAGGCGGGCGGGCTTCCTTTCATTGTTGTCGAGCTTTGTTGAAAATACCCGTCTGGAGAACTCTCTAGTTACAAATCTCCGCCTCTTCGACTTTCTCCCGTTTGTCGACGCCTCATATCTGGTCTCACATGGGCCCCTTGCGGATCGGTTCTTTGCTTGCTTCACTAACATCTAGGCAACACGCAGCGCTCTCACGTTTCTCCCGCTGGCCCAAATTCATTCATTGCATTCTTCTTGGGGGCTTCTCATTGTCGTGCTCAGGATGCGCATATGGCGTCACTATTCCGTACCAAAGGTCTCCAATGAGCAGCTTCATCCATGGCAGTTGTTGTGAAATCCTTCCTCACGTGGAAAATGTCTCGAATAGGATCGATGGCTGATTCGATAAAGAAAAGTTACTAATAAACAGAATGGAAAGAGGGAAAGTGTGAATATCATGCTCTCTTCGCATAGCGCGATTCTTGCATTGACAGCCATCCATTGCTGAAACATGATGCTGCCTCAGCAATAACCTCATAAAGGTCATCAAAGGGCCCTTTCGTCCTTGTTAGTTGGAACCAAGCGTGTGCTAATAAACAACCCAAGTGATTACGAAAGCAGCATTTTAGCCAACTGAGAAGGCCAAACTGAGGTCATGCCCCCTTTTCCCTCCATGCGATCAAGTCTCAGGTCTCGGGGTCTCAGCCGGAGGGTCATCAGCCTCGTCTGACCACCTGCTCCCGTTGATTAGCAGCATTTCTCAACCCCCTCTGGCGCGTTCCTCTCGACCTGCACGCGTCTGCCCGAAAATCCCCCAATTACACTCTCTTTGTCCTCTCTCATCACGTTCTACGTCTCTGCTGCCGCGCTGTTCGATAGGGTCCTGCTGCATAGGTATCTTTTCGCCAGCCTGTTCAACTCGCTATACAGCTACAGCTATTACCTCTAGCCTCATCTGCAGCATCCCTTCTCGAAATCCACACCAAGAGTTTTCCACCTACCTGCTGTTATTTACCTTTTTTTCCCTCCCCCTATTATGGTGCTACCACAGTCCTCGTAATTCCCTCTCCTTTGTTTTCTTTTCTCTTTCATCTTTTAGCCAGTCCCTCAGCCAGCGCATCAGCACCTCGCCTCACGTCTCTTTCCGACTCGCTCATGCTTTTTTCTATTGCCTCGGACTTTTTCTCACGCCTATGCTTGCTCCCCCACCACCGTCTTCTAAGCAGTCAGCCGTAAGCAGATGTGGCGGCGCACGTATCTTCTTCTAGTCCTCGTCAGACTCTGGTTCGCCTTGTCGCCCAGCTATCTTCATCCAGATGAGAACTTTCAAGGGCCGGAAGTAATCGCCGGTACGTATCTCGGATGCCGGTGTCATCTTTGAGCTCACACGAATGCCGCTCGTCGTGGAAGCCTCGGGTTTCGGTCAAGCACCTCGGTAGCGGGCAGATTGAGCCTAGAGGGGTTTAATGGAGGCTTCTCATTCACGCAAGGCCGAACCATATTGTGGCGTAACTGTCTTACGTGCCTGACTGACCATCTGCTGTATACAGGCCAGATCTTCAATTATCCTGTCCGGCACACATGGGAATTCACCAGCGAGAACCCGATCCGGAGCGTTTTCCCGCTATGGCCCGTCTACGGGCTGCCCATGCTGCTGCTGCAGTGGCTTTGGGTTGGCAACGGGCAGGATGGCCAGGTGCCTCCTATCGCCGTCTTCTGGACGCTGAGGTTCTTCATGTTCCTGCTGAGCTTTGTGCTTGAGTTCTGGGCGCTCCAGGAGCAAATCACCTCAACGCGCCATCGCCCTATTGCCGTTCTTCTCGTAGCGTCGTCCTATGTGACGTGGACCTTCCAGACGCATACGTTCTCCAACTCGATCGAGACACTGGCCGTCTTGTGGAGCTTGGTGTTGATAAGGCGCATCACCTCGCCTCATGTGAGTTTGACAGCCGTCCGCTCCTCTCCATGTATTTCTCTTCCAGCCCATGCTGATCCTCCTGAAACAGTCGTCCATCTTGTCTTCGGTAGTCTTGGGCATGGTCGTAGTCTTTGGCACTTTCAACCGTATTACTTTCCCTGCTTTTCTGCTGATACCCGGGCTTTGGCTTGTACCCTACTACTGGAAGAAGTGCGTCCTTTTCCCTATGCATATTGGTGACATGAGGAGAAAAGACTGACTTATCCAGGCCCTTTTCGTTGGCCGCTCTGGTTTCGGCGGCCCTTGTTACAGCTTGTACTGCCATTGCGGTTGACACTGCTTTTTACACACCAGGAACTGTAACGTGGTCCGATCTCGTCACTCACCCCGTCATCACTCCTCTGAACAACCTTGTTTATAATTCTTCGCCGGAGAATCTGGCACTCCATGGCTTGCATCCCTGGTACCAGCATCTCGTTGCAAACTTACCGCAGCTCATTGGGCCTGCAGTGGCGTTGATGTTCTTACGTCCTCATGTCTCTCTGAGGCTCTACTCGGCCATATCGGGCATCATGGTCCTGTCTTTTGTTCAGCATCAAGAAGCGCGGTTTCTCCTCCCAGCCGTGCCCCTGATCCTCTCATCATTGCAGTTGCCAAAGACTCGGAGTCTTCGCCGACTGTGGATTGCCATCTGGGTGGTATTCAATCTGTTCCTGGGCGTGCTCATGGGAACATATCACCAGGGTGGTATTGTCCCCGGGCAAGTCTTTATGAGTAAGCAATCTGACGCTACAACCGCCGTGTGGTGGAAGACTTACTCTCCCCCAATCTGGCTTCTCAACGGCAAGAACGAGGTCCTGACCACCAAGGATGTCATGGGAATGAAGGGCGAAGCGTTGCTGGACCTGTTGGCTGAGCTGGCCACATGCGATACCCCTGCCGACCGGCGCAATACGGAGTATCTGAAGGAGAAGAACGGGACCTATCTGATCGCGCCTGCGTCAGCAACCTGGTTGGACCCCTATCTTCCCAACAAGGGGCTTGAAGGGTTGCGATTTCGAGAAGTCTGGCGGTATCGAAAACATATCAACTTGGATGATTTGGACTTTGGAGATGACGGGGTTTGGAATACACTTTCCAGGGTCATTGGTCGCCGGGGGCTTGTTGCTTGGCGAGTCACGAAAAGCTGTGGGCTATAATTTTAATTTCAAAGAATGAAAATAATGAGTTAGGATTAGAGAAAAAGAAGCGTTCATCATCCTTCAAGGGCTGTTTCCATAAAATGTCGAGAATGAGTTGCAAATTTTCTCCGCTCTGAGGTGCGTCTACGTGCACGGTGACATAATCAAGACAGAGGTTGTATGTTTGAAATCCTTTGTTCGAGTTTTATTATTGAAGCCATGCTATCTCAAAACGTCGCGCATAGCTTAAGGAGTCAGATGATATTGACCACCCCAGAACAGAGAACGGGTATAAAAAAAAAGCCACGACCAGTTTAGTAGAGGCGCTTGGGGGGAGACATGGAAGCCTTGATGGTAAGGCTTCCGACGTTCTGCCAGCCCTTCTTCAGGAGGGAGACGAGGTAGTTGATGGCCAGCATGATGTTGCCAACCAGCTGCTCCTGCTCCATGCCGACGTTGCCGACGGCGACACCCATGCAGAGAACCTTCTTCAGCTGGAACTTGATGGTGGACTTGACCTCGTTGATCTTGCCAGAGAGGTCGTCGGCGTGGGAGACGGGAGTGGGGAACTTGCCAGCCTTGGACAGACCGGGACCCAGGAGACGAGGAATCTGCTTGATGAGAGTCTCGGAAGCAATGAAGGCATCGTACTTGCGAGCAAGCTTCTTGATGAGCTTCTTGTTCTTGTTGAGCTTCTTCAAGTCATCGGCCGACATGGCGTCGACACCGCCGTGCTTGGCACGGTCGAGATCGTGCTGGTCACCGAGGATGCTACATCAAAATCTCGGTTAGAATCAATTGGTTTTTTCTCGAGTCTTGACGGGAGAGTAATCGTACCAGATGGCCATGTTGGGGCGGGGGATGGAAGGCAGCTTGATGGTGCCAGAGAAACGCTTGTCACGCTGGGGGTCATAGTTCTTGAGGCCGATCTGGAGCTCGACGGTCTCGAGGAAGTTGCGCTTCTTAGTCTCGTTGGAGTACTCGAGGAGTTCTCCGACCTGGGTCCGGACGTTGGCTGAGGAAACGAGTTAGCATCGTGATACCATGTATCATTCACTCTCCATGGCAGGGCAATACATACCGACTGTGATCTTAGACATCTTGGCAGTCTCCCAATAGAATCAAACGTATCTAATGGTGATCTGGACGTGGGGTGGTTGGTGAGATTTCGAGAACAGAGAGGCTCTGGGGGGGCCGTTGAATTTTATCGTAGTGCTTCTGTTTTGTGGAGCGGGATTTTGCGGTGGGGCTGGTGCGAGAAAGGGCAAAATATCCTCACGTGCACAGTCACGTGCATTGATCAAACTCATCCGTTAGTAGTACTTCTTGCTTGTAAAGATTTACAGTTTGGTTCAGCATGAAGAGTCATAAAAAGGAATGACCGAAAAGCGAAAAAGCTAACTCTATCGGTCAGGTTGGGATCTGCCATGTCGGACGTGGCGGCGTCTTTTTCTTCATCAACTTTTCGTTCAGCCGGTGTGACTCAGTGGGCAGATAATTCCGTCCAATATGCCGAGTTCAAGCATCCCTGAGCATGTCGACTTGCTCGGCAATCCCACTCCGGTGATGAAATGGCTTGAGGAGCAAGACGTGGGAAGCCAACAGAGGTGCGAAGCTCACCAGACTGTCCCCGCCTGTATTATGTAGTAGCTTGCTAAGAATTTGTATGTAGTCATGCCGTGAGCATCTTCGACACAATCCTGGGAGAAGCCGCCCAGCCCAGATCTGTCTCGGGGAACGCCTGTGTGCGGCTTTGTGGCTTTGTAGAGCGAGTGTCCAAGTCTGAGTCAGAGCCGCTTCAGTCGTGGGCGTTTTCTCGTGATGTGGCTTTGCGGCTTTACGACTTCTACATTGACTGGAACGAGTTTGATCATCACCGGTCAATGAGGCTTGTCCTGGACCTGATAGCGCAGCTTCTTCGGAGGAATCCCAACAACAAGGCGGCTTTGGAGACCCGGGATACGCTGCTGGATAACCTAGTCTCGATTGTAATCGGCCGCTCTACAAAGCCTGTAGCTAAATCGGCCCTCAAGACGCTTGACTACTTCCTCGCCAAGGGTGTTTTCAGCTTGGACGACGTCAAAGCTACTCATCTTTCATATCATCAGGAGCTGGCTCGCGCTGCCGACATCGAGATATGGAAGGTCTTCACCATAGAGCTGCTACAATGGACTCGATTGCACTTCATCTGCCCAGCGGCCGGGAAGTTCATCGTGAGCTTGTTTCGTGCCCTGAGGCAAAGGGGTCACGATGACTCTACGGGATTGAGCATTGAGACATGGCATAGATGGCTGCTTGATTTCCTGACAGAAGAGCCGGTTCTTCTGGAAAACTTCAAGAACTACATATTCATCCCGCTCTTCAAGGTTGATAGGCCAGAAGGCTTGAAGTTCTTGCAGAGGGTTGGCCAGCATGAGTCCAAATCGGCCTCAGCTGTTACACCCGCCGACGATGACTTTGACGCAAGTGCGCTTCTTACCTTGGCTGCTTTAGAAACCGGAAAGAAAGTTGGTCTTGTCGAGGAGCCATGTAAGAAAAACAGTCACCGCCGCCTTGCTGAGAACTGGCACTAATTCTGGATTAGACATTGGCAGCGACCAGGCAAATGAGGACAGCTCATCCATCACTCTCCGGGAGAATGCCCTTGAGAATGTACTGACGCATCCAACTCATGAAGTTCGGACATCGGCTCTTAGTCTCCTCATCAGTTCGCCATCAACGACGAGGCCATACTCTGCCACCACCTTGGACCTCCTCAAGAGACATCTAGCCACATACTTCGCAGATCCAGATGCCAAATTTCGAGTAGACGTGTGCGCTCGGGTAAGGGACATGTTCAAAAGGGTTCGAGGAGCGATCTCGATCCTGAAAAAAAGTATACCGCGAGCTAGAGCAAAGGCTCGAAAGAATGCCTTAAAGGACGCAACATCTGGCACCAGCCAGCAAGCATTATACCGAACCAACATAATCTCATGGCCAGAATCTGAGTTGGTGCACTGCTTGGAGTACCACGAGCAGTTTCTACACTGGTATCTGAGGTTCTTGTGCGGCGAACTTTCTCCTACGGCTTCTTACCAAAGACACATTACATCTCTGAAAAGCTTGATATCCATCCTTCGCATGGAAGGGGACAGCTCCAAGACTTGGGAGACGGAAGATGATCAGCATTTGTTCTTCAACTATTTCGACGGGAAGTGGACGCGAGCGCTTGCTGATCTAGTAATGGATCCATTCGACGACGTTCGGGATACCGCCTCGCTTGCATTGGCCCAGCTTTTTGCTGATAAGCGATATCGAAACTTCACTCTCAGTCCTCTAGACTCTCGTCAGAAGCCTTCAGAAGAGCTGGATGAACTCTTACATCGAGCTGAGAAGGTCTCGGTTCGGACAGCCAGAGCTGATCATTCAGATGGAGTTGCTAGAGCCTCGCAATTGCTGTACAAATTCTCGGACACGGAAGATGAGAGGCTGCGGCTTCTTTCCAAACTTGTCGAAACCTTGGATCAAAAGGTATCAAGGGCCGAAGCAGACTTGGGACAGGCCGTTTTGGAGCAGCCGCTGCATAGTACATTTGCATCGCTGTGCTTCACCTGGCAAGCTGTTTCTGAAAAGAAGCTGTCAAAATCCGAGGCGGAATCCGCGACTGCACTGCAGGATAAGATGATTGCTTGCTGCGAACGAGTGTGGAAAGCCGTACGCGATGTTCTCTGCGATGACTCTCCAGAGGGGCACTTGCCAGAGGAGATGGAGGATACCGAAGGTCTTGATACAAAGGGTCTCTTGAGCTACAGTTTCCGTGCCATACATGAGTCTAGGTAAGCTGCTTCATCCAGCTCAGGAGACTTTTTGAGCCCTTGGCTAACCGCAACGCAGCAATCTCATGCGAACAATAGCGCTCAGTATGAGAAACCGGTCCCGCGAGGGGCTTATAACTCCATCTCGAAAAGCCTTTGAAACTATTGGAAACCTGGCATTTGAACAGCTCGCCAATCTGAGGCATCGCGGTGCGTTCACAACGGTCGCTGCAACCTTTGCGACTTGTTGCCAGTTGACGAAGCATTTGGACCCTGTTGAGGGCAGAGAATCTCTACTCGACGTATGGTACAAGGTTAGTAGTCCCCATCCATGTGTCAGTTGCGTCTGTACATAGCCCTGTTGACACGATGTTTGTAAGGGCACCTTGGACGAAATCTTCACTCAAAGGTCAACTACTCGAAGATCTGCTGGTATCCCCTCAATGATGACCGGCATTCTCTCTGCAAATGCAACCAACCCGTCTTTTGAGGATGCAATGGCCAAGCTCATCGAGATCGCAAGCATCGAAGCCCGAGTAGTAGAAACAGACGGATCCAACTTACCCCAAGTTCACGCCTACAACTGTCTCAAAGACATCTTCAAGAACTCGCTGCTGACATCCATGGGCAACAAATCCGAGAAATATCTTCCCCAGTGCCTCGAGCTGGCGGCCAGTGGGCTCAGATCCGAGGTCTGGGCTATTCGCAACTGCGGCTTGATTTTCCTCCGCAGCCTCATCGACAGCCTCTTCGGATCGCAGGAGAGCAAGGCGATGATTGAGGCTGGCTGGGATGGAAAAGCCAACAGAATCCCCTACCACCGCTACCCCAACCTCCCGACGGTGCTGGCGGGCCTCCTGAAATCCGGCCACAAGATGGTGACATCGACAAACGCCACATCCTCGGCCGAGTCAGTCTTTCCGGCATTGGACATCATCCGCCGAGCTGGACCGCCCGATCTCCTTCGAGACGAGATCCAGGTCCATGTCGCTGCCTACCTATCGAGCCCTGTATGGCATGTCCGCGAAATTGCTGCCAGGACCCTCTGCTCTTGTTTGCTACACGACAAGTGGCTTGCCGTCATTCAAGGCTTGGTGCACAAATCTCTGAACGACAAAAGTATTAACGGCCAAAACCATGTACACGGAGTCCTCCTGTCACTCAAGTTCCTGATTGAGAGGTTCGGCGAAGTAGCGCCAGATCGTTTGTTTGGTATGTGAAACTCACAAGCCTCGGCTTAGTCGACGATCCAACATCACAGATAAACTAACAATTGCGCAGCTGATTTGCCCGAGTTGACGGCATTCCTTGAGACATGCCGCATTGACAGCACATACGTGCACTGTCCCGACATCATCGCCGCGTACCTAGAGGTCATCAACATGATATGGATGTCCCAGATATCCAAAGCCCAACCCTTGCAACCCCCCAAGGTTCTGATACCCACGAACAATGGATCTGCGCTGCTCAAAGCCCAAAGCATCATAAGCAGAACACTATCAGCGTCTCAGGAGGAAGATGCCGTGGGCAAAGTCAAGGCTTTCCTCTTTGGCAGCCGCCTCGGCGCCGACACCATGGTTGCTGCTCTCGAATCGGTGCAGAGATTGTGGCACCCAGCTTCCACTCCTGACCATATCCGAGTCGCCTTATGCGACCTGTACATTGACGTCTGTCTCAAGACCAGCTTTACGGAGCCTCAAGTCGTGGCCATTGAGAACCTCGTCGAGTTGATGAACCAGCTCATTGCGCAGGACAAGCTCGACTCCCTGCCTATAGACTCGCTCATGAGCATGTGGGCGGTCCTGCCCCAGCGCTCGCTCAACCCCTCCCTCTCCAACGCAATTGTGAGAGTCAGCGGGTGCTTGGTAGCCCTCAAGAGCCATGCTAAGCAGCTCTCGACATCCGCTCTTCGCAGCTGGGGTGCGATGATGGCCGATGCAGGGTCAGATGACAAGGTCAGTACCCCCTTAATCTCACCCCATCTATCTTCAACCAAAAATCTCAAAAGTCAAGTATCAAGATTCTAACTTCTGAGAAACAGAGCTTCGACACGCGCTTCGCAGCAGCCCAATCCCTCTCCTCCTTCTTCAGCGTCTCCAAAACGCACTGCACCAGCGAAGAACACCTCCCGGTCCTGTTAGCCCTCTACGACGCCCTCAACGACGACGACGACGAAGTCCGCGAAGCAGCATCCGCCGCCGCAAGGAACATCCTCGGCAAGAACCTCGCCCCCCTGGAAGCATCCAGCAGCCTCCTCCACTGGCTCGCCGAGCACTTTCCCAGCAGCGCCGCGCTCAAGGACATTGTCGCAAGCCGCGTCACAGGCCATGCTGCCGGACAACAACAACAACAACAACAACAACCATGGAAGTCGCCCGAAGCCCAGCTCCATGCCGCTCTCAGGGCGGACGACTCCCTGTTTGCCGTGGAAGAGCAGAATCTCTTCATAGACGAGGTCCGCGAGGCTCATCGCTGGAACGCACTCTTTGAAAACCTCGACTGGAAGAGCAGTGAGGAAGAAGCATCGTCATCGGAGCAAGATGGAAAGACGATACTCCGCAAGCTGGATGATTGGATCTGCGAGGGGCTGCATCAGATGCAGCAGTTGGTGAGGCAAGAGGACGACGGGCCTCTCGGCTGGGCGTCGAACCCTCACGTCTTTGCCATTGGAACGTACATTCTTCGCGGCGCGGCGACGTTGAACAAGCGTCACGGCTCGCCCAGGTTACGCAAGGCTGTGCTGGAGATGAAGGAACTGCTGAAGGAGCCGAGCCATCACCGTGTTTCGAAACTACTCATGGAACCCTTGGAGGAGGCATAGACAAGGGGAAAAAGGAAAAAATTCTAGACGATAGAGAGAAATCGCAAGAGGCAAAGCTTGTATAGTAAGAAGAAGCCAAACTGATGTATATCCATGTTCCATGTAAACCAAATAGCCCCCTTTGATCCGAACCACCCAGTTATACCTAACCTAACCTTTGGTTTCGCTGCTACTGTATACAAAAGACAAACTCCAGCGCCGTACTCAGAAGACAAAACGAAGAAAACCCAATACCATGCATGATACCTCTTCTAATGCGAAAGGATCACAATCCGTGCCTGCTTCCGTTTATAGCTCACCAACAGCCATTAGACAACGACAACACCCATCACGACTTGGTGCTCCCCACTGCCGACCCCGTGGACGACGCCGAAGCAGCCCTATCAAAACCACCCAACTTCCCCAGCTTGGCCGTCAACATGGTATTCTGCGACTGCAGCTGCCCGACCTGCGTCAGCAGAATCTCGATCCTCTTCAGCGCCACGTCCCTCTCGGCCCTCGTCTTCTCCAGCTCCATCGTCAGCCTCATCTTCTCCTCCCGCTCCAGGGCCTTTTGCTTGCGGGCTTCCGCCTTGCGTTCCTCGTGCACGCGCTTGTCTTCGAGCTTCTGCAGCTCCCGCTTGTACTTCGCTTCTTGCTTTGCAATCTCCTTTTCGTGCTTCTCGCGCAGCTTGGCTATTACCGCTTCGTCCTTCTCCTTGCCGCCGCGCCGCTTGTTCTCTAAGCGCTGCTGCATCTGGGCGGCCTTTTCGTCCAGTTTGCGGCGCTTGTCTTGGAGCTTCTTAAGCTCCTTCTCCAGCAACTGCTTTCCATGGGATTTGGACTCATCCGAGTTGCTCCCGGCAACACTCCGGGCGCGTGCCTCTTCGGTGAGGGATCTCTCGAGGGCGGATCTAAATGTGCGTATGGAAGATGTCTCGCTGATATCGGACATTTCGCCTTCTGTGTCATGCTCTTCGGCGGCTCCAGATTCCAGATCGTCCCTTGATTCTATGTCGTCCAGGCTTGTATTGCTCTCCGCCGGGCTTCCCAGCGTTCGCAATCCACTGGCAACAACAGAAGACGCTGCCTCAAACACTCCGCTAATGATGCCATATATGCCGTTGCTGCTGGGCATGCTTTGTACCGATTCCCTCCTCTCTGCTTCTCTTTCTGCTTTGGTCTTCTTGAAATCCTCACTGCGACTAGCCTTGTGATGCATGGGAAGCACGCGCGGGCTGCCTTCATTCTGGGGTGTCCGAGCCTCGGCCTGCTTGGATGGAGTCTCTGCCTTGGCAAGGCTTTCGGTGCTCTTGGAGTTGAGCGCTGCGAGGGCTGTCACCCACTTGACGAACTTTGCGGCGTCTCCCACGATTCCCGGCGGCGTGCCCTTTTCCACCATGAAGCGCGGCACGCTGCCTCCTGGATCGCTTCGGGTTATCATGATCCATTCGACGGCCATGGGCTGGCGCTCGCGTGACTCCGAACCGGAGCTTGGAATGTCCTCAGAGCTGATGTCTGTTGAGAGTAATGACGTCTTTGAGCTGAGTTGATCGCTCTCGACAGGAACCTCCCTGATCATCTCCACAGATTCGTAGGAGCCACGGATGATTCCCGATCGCGGTGGACATTCATCATGGAGGCACGGTTTTGATACGATGACGTGCTGCCGCAGGGGTCGTTCCTGGTCCGCGGGCTTGTATTCGAAGTCGGTAGTAAGCAGAAGTGTGATGAAGTCTCTCGGGGCGGTAGGACCAGGGAACTGCGCCGATAGCTGGAATACTGTTCAATAAGAGGTCAGCATCGTAGTCCGCATAGCATTAAGACGAAGCAACCACCCAACAGTGTATACTCACCACTCAAGTGCCCCGAACCCTCCACCTCCCGACTCTCGACATGTCTGTCCGCCCCAACACCCCGAATGTTTCCGCTCCCAGGCGACCCCTGCACCTTGAGCGTCTCGGGAAACTCCTTCTCGAGCCCCGTCTTCCAGTCGTCAAACGACAGCCCGTGATGCAGGCTCCGCCTCGCAAACCACGCCCCCTTGCCGTCCTTGGCCGCCAGCTTGTACACGCTGATGTTGTACGGGTTGTCCTTTGCATTCATCTTGACCTCCTTCCACTCCTTGCGCAGCTGCTGCGCGACCGCAAGCGACGACCCGGGCTGGCGATGCTGCGATAGGGCCCGTTCGACCTGCTCGAAGACGGCCCCCGCCGGAGCCGCGGCGGCGCCCGTTGCCGATGCCGTTGTCGTGGCGGGGACGGATTCGACGACTGTCTGGGCGTCGAGGAAGGCCTCGTTCATAAAGGGCTTGAGGTTGTCGACGGGGACGTTGTCCCATTCGATTGGGCCGAGGGCTCGCAGCGGCTCGTGATGGGCCATGGCCTGCTGTGGGTGCTTGGGACAGGGTTGAATGAGAGGAGAACAGCAGAAGCAAGATGAAAAAGAAAATAACCACGCTATTCAAATTGGCAAGTTTAACAGCTTTGCAAAAAAGGCAGAGATGAATAGAGGGGATGATGATAAGAGCAGGAAACTGGGAAGAGGCGCAACGTGAAGTCGGGACAAGCATGTCATCAATCCGCCTGGTGTAATTCGAGGCACCTCCATGGACTGTACATCGTATTACAGCACAGCACAAGCAACACCGCCTGTGGAACCCACTGAGGGTGCCTCGTTCCAGCGGGCCTCAGCGTGCTCCGACCCCTGTTTCCAGGGCTCTTCAGGCTCCCAGGCCAGCTCAGTGTCATTTCCATTGCGCGCGTTGACGTCACCGGGCGGTCACCCTGGCCAAAGCGCCCAAGCGCTCCTGTTTCCCAGCTTTTCGGTTCCAAATGCCCAATGTTTGCTTGATACCTGTGCTGCGTCATCTTTGCAGGGTAGATCGAAAGGGAATTGAAGATACTATCAGGGTCATACCTCATAGATTCCGTCCATCTGAGCTGCACCTGGAGATCTACCAACGCCATCGCGTAATCACTGGCTCATCCAAGCACAATTCCTAAATAAAAGGCCATTGATTAGCCACTTTCAGTTCTTTGGTCAAATCCTGTAAAAAAGTCAATCGCGATGATATCGTGTCGGTGCTTACAGTACATACCTGATGTCTTACAGCTCCTCCGCGGAATCCAGACTCGCGGACTTCGCAGCTCCGATTCCACCGACTCCTGGCCGGCAACTCCGGACTCGAGACGATTGGAATGCTGTATTCCGCATCTTGTACCTGTAGTTTGATAATCTGAATCTTGCATGATACACACTTCACACGAGCAGATGGGAGTCTGACCTCTGCACGTATAATGGATGCCCATGAATATATACCTTATGCTATCTATGTATAGGTAGGAAACCCCTAGAAGAAACAACGAACGAGAAAGAGGCGACAACACAACGTCAAATCTTGTCAGACAGAACAGTCCTTGCACGAGGTATCCTCAAGTCAAGAAACAATCGATCCATCAGTCCATCAATCAATCCTGCCCAATGAGTCAGGCCAGCCAGCCGGCCAAACAATCTTGCTCCCCAACACCAACACCGACACCCTCTAGGTATGCAATGCGAGCGCGCCTTCAACAGAATCACGGTAATCAGCACTATAGGTTGCTCAACCTCCTCGCCTGCATCGCAGACGCATGGTCGCTCCGGCAACTTCCACAATAGTCGTCCCGCCAGGCCTCAAGCGCTCGCCTCCGTTCCGGCGGAATCGAGCCCATGGCCTTCTGTGATAACGAAGGGTCCGCCGAGTCCTTGTCCCTGCCGCTGCCCCTGTTCTTATCCTCGTACAGCATCTCATCCAGATTATCGCAGAGCGAACTTTCATTCGCCAACCAGTTCTCCCACTCCGACTGCAGCACCTCCCGCTCAACGCTGTTGACTACCCTCATTGCCACGAGCAAATCATGCCGATACATACCCAGCCTCTGCCGCGTTTTCCGCAGCCGTCGCGCGGTTGCCCGACTCGACGGCAAGGACAGCGAGGCTCCGGCCTCCTCCCATGGCGAATCCATGCTGGTGGCGTCCAAAAGCTCCCTGAACGTGCCGAAACACGTGCTGTTCTGAGGGAACGGCGGCTCCTCATTGTCGGCCCCGGAAGCCTCGTGCAGGTCCGCAATGTAAATCGCCTTGCTCATCATGGGGTTCGGCGACACGCCAATCCGGCGCATAAAGTTCGCTGCCCGCCGCTCCTGCCACCAGGTCGACGATTCCGTGGACGATAGCATCAGGTTGGTGAATACGCTCAGTCCCAAGAGCAGCAGGAGGAGCCGATGCGCGGTCACGACGTCGAAAATCTTCTTCAGCGCCGCAATGATCCAGAGAATCACCGACGACACCATGCTTTCGCCAAGGGAACGCACCGTCTCGAACAGCATGGCCGTGAGTGTGCGAGGCTTGATGGCCTGTTTCTTCCTCGCGTCGGTCGGCGCCGGCGAAAACACCACCGTCTGCGTCTGCTGGCCAACTTGGCCGTAGACCTGAATGGCTCTGCTGGTGCGGCTTCTCGAGCCCAGCTTGTGGACCTGGTCCGTAGTCAGCTCCGCCAGCTCCTCGGCATCGCTTATCGCATCGTGGAGAGCCTGGCGATCCACCAGGCTCTTCAACATCGGCGATGATTTCGACCAGTCGATGCGGACGTAGAACGCCAGCTTACACCTCGACTTGGCCACGTATGTGATGACCACCTTGGTCACCAGCGTGAAATGTTGAGAATAGGGGAGGTGCCACGCCGTCCTATTATGCGTAACCACATATGTGACATGATCGTTGAACACGTCAATCGTTTGGAAATCCCGGATGTCTGCCGTCTGTGACCGGCCAAAGACGTCCACGTAGTCTATCTGGAAGTGAAACTCGCGCCGCATGGGCTCGCTGCCGCTTGCCGACCACGGCCCCTGAGCGATCTGCTTCGCACGATGCTCAAAATACAGCTTCGGAAATACAAAGCTCTTGTCGCCAAACAGCACGTGGAAGCATGCCTTTGCACTAAGCTCAAAGTGCCTCTCGGCCGCCAGCTCCTTCATATCGTCCGGCTCATAGATGACTTCGTGCTTTGGTAAATTCAACTTCGCCGGGAGTTTCTGGCCGGGAGTTGCTCCCGAGACTGTCAGGTGCGGGAGTTCGCCTGCGCTCCGCTCGAGCAGTGGCCCCGCGGTTGTGCCCTCGTCCATCGGCGTGGTGGATGATGCATCTTCCCAGCTCTCGGCGCTTGGGCTGGGTCTCTCGTATTCGTGCTTGTCGATGTTGATCAAGGCGTTGATGATTCCCAGAGTGTCCAGCGGCTCTTCCGCCTGCAGGTTGTCCACAAGTAGATTAAGGCGAGCGTGGAGTAGATGAAGGTCATCGAGGAACACCTTGATGGTTATCCTTGTGTACCCAGTGTCGTTGAGGTCCTTGCTGAGATGCAGGAATATGAAGTCGCAGTCTCTGCCAGAGGCTGCCGTCACCTCGGTGATAATGTCTAGGTGGATGCTGTAGGCTGTCACGAGGCCCATCTGCTGGCCATAGAAATACATGTTCTCCGCCGTCACATAGATTCTGCCATCGCCGGCAAGCAGCTCGCTTTCGGAGCCCCGCTCCAGTGAGCTCGACCATGCGGCTCGGAAGACGAGCACCAGCCTCTCCTCAGGTGGCGCATTGGGGAACAAGAGCCTGAACTGGGCATGCTGTATTCTCAGCTCAGGGGGGTAGCCGGCGGGCAGAGTATCGCTAGCCTTCTTCGCCTGCGCTGCTTCGCCGAGCGGTGTTTGCGAGCCTCCAGACACCACGACGCCGATGGGGTCGTCATCGCCAAACTGGGGAGCAGCGGCCGGCTCGGCATGCATTGCGCTCCAAACATTGCTTCCCCAGTAGTTGGCCACGACCGACGCCGGAAGTCTCTTGCCCTCCAAGACATGCCCGCGCTCTCCGGCGATGAGCACGGCGGTACGGCTCAGGCTTGTGATCGTTGGGGGCCGGGCCAGAGTAGGGGGCGCAAGCGTGCCCGGCTTGTTCTCCAGCAGCGGGAGGGCAACGCCCGTCAGCTTGGCCTGGCCCGAGGACGTCAGGGCCAGAGAGTTGCCCACGAGCTGAGAGCTTTGGTTTCCAGCAACCATGTTGGTCAGGCCCGCGGATGAGCTGGACGTCGTCAACGTGGGTTCCGGGCTGGAGCCGAACGTCGCTTTGCGGTGAAGGTCAAGCTTCTGGATGATCCTCGCCGCGTGCTCTCGACCGCTCTCGCCCTCCTCTCGAGCTAGGTCGCGTCCTAGGGCCGATATGGATCGACGAGATACGGTCCCGTTAGGATCATAGCTCTGCCGGCCGGATGCGCCACCGTCGGCGCCGGGGACAGCCAGAGTAGCTGTGCGCTCTATGCTCGGCACAGTGTCGTCGGACGAGCCCATTTGCGCGTCGATACTCTTGGCGGAAAACTCTGGGATGCTAGGAGCACAGATCGAAAACGCCGGGTCGATGCCGCCGCCGGCGAGGGGACTGTTGCCTCGGTCCATTGTCGCTTCAAATGCCTTCTTTTTAGTAACCTCAAACACCTCCAGCCAGTCCATGAGTTCTTTCTGCGTCTCGGCCTGCAGCAGCATGCTGCGGCTCTTCGTCTTGAGCTCGAAGCAGAATCGTCGCTCTTCTCCAGGAGCCGGCTTAACGTTGCAGAGCAGCACACCAATCTCGTCTCCCTGTAGAACGCCTTGTGGCCCAGGCGTGAGCCACCCAAATACTCCATCACGACAATAGTACCAGCGCCGAACCCAGTTATATCTGACAGGCTTGCCGGTCGCCACGCGCAAAAACAGCCAGCCCTGTATCTCGGTAATCGCAGCGCCGTCGTCGTTGGGCCGGACGCTGACGGGTCCGCGCGAGCCCAAGAAGGCCACAGTCGAGGCGCTATAATCCTCCAGTTCACGAGAAGGTCTGAAGCTCTCAAAGGTCACATCGCTAATGTTCTTCCTCGCGTTCTGCATCTCTCGCCTGAAGACGTTGTCCGACAGCTCCATCTCCTTGGCCCAACCCCGGACACGGTCAAGCTCTCGGCTCCACCGCGTAGCACTAGTAGCAGCGTCTCGGGCCCGGTTCATCTCCTTCCACATGTCGCAGCAGACCTTGACGAGGAGCTGGTCCAGCGAGTAGCGGAGCTGTGGCGCGAGCTGGCAGTAGTCCATGGCGGCCTGGATGTACGCCTTGCGGTTTTCGTACACGGAGAAGGCATCCTCCCGGAGGGCGGAAGGCTCCTTTGTCTTTGACTGGGATACATAACGGGCGAGGGTCGTGTCGTAAGTCCTCTGGGTCTGCTCCAAGCTTCTCCTTATCTCCTTGAAGTTCCGCAGCTCACCGGTGAGGAAGGACCGAATCGGCTCGACGACGGCGGTCTCCATCCGCTTCTGCGTGCTGAGCAGCTGCGTCCAGAGCTCTCGCGTTCCCTCGCTGGTGCGCTTGAGGGCCAGCAGGGTGTAGTCGTTGTCGATGACATTGTCGGGAAAGGGAGTCGTCTTGGAGAGGTAGTTGTTGATGGTGTCCTCGAGCGAGAGCAGCCCGCCCATGAGCTTCGACGTCGCCGTCACATAGCCGTTGAGCCACTTCTCGACGGCGTCGACCTGGTCGGCAAAGTGCGTGGCGGTTGCGCGGAAGGTTGGCGAGTCGAGGACGGCCTCGTTGAGCGTCACGGGCACGGCACGGTCTGCGGGCTTCGGCGCGGCCGCCGAGGTGCCAGTTGCTTCTGGCATGGTGGCGCTGTGATGATCGTTATGTGAAGTGCAACATTGAAAGCATTACGTGCGAAACAAAGTACAACGAGGAAAAGAAAACCGCTTGAAAGGCGCAAACTGATCGATGATGGCTGTTATGTTTGCTTGTTTGCTTGGTTTGGCCTGCACAAGTTAGGGGACTCAGCATATCAAAGGCCCCCCAATGGGCCAGTATTACTCGAGTGGGGCAGCGAAATGACAACCAAGCGCTGAGGCTCGCCAGCTTTCCCCAACGGTGACGCTATCGATAACACCGCCTCGGGGTACCCTGATGACGTAGGGTTCACAGGTCCTCCCTGCTCTTGCTTGCAACCAACACAAGCATTGGGGACACGGCCAAGACGGTTCAAGAACCATTCGATCATTCAATGAATGACATGGCAGTGAGTAGGCACAACCACTCGACCTCTGTGCATTGGGAGTGTTCTACTGCCGCCCGGTTGGGTTCGTGAAACACACAAGACTCGCAATAGCGTGGCGGCCTTCGCCTCCTTGGACATGGTTTGGTCTTGTATCGAAAAGGAGCGTCAAATTTCTATTCCTTGTCTCTTGTCCTGCAAACTAGCTTGATGACAGTTGATACTCGTCTGTGGGCAAAAAACGGAATGCCAACTTTTTCTTTACACCAAGGCCACGCGTTCACCTCTAGTATGTTGACGGCAAGGACACGTAAGCACGAATATTCCTCTTGTCTGAAGGCGCCTCCCAGCATCTACCCCTTTCCATCACGCCGGTCCCGGCTATGCGGACGACATCTTGAGAGGGCTCGAGTTAGCTTTAGGGAACTAAAGGAGGAGAGCACACCGGCGATGCTTACCATCTTTCCTTTGTTGATGAAACTCAAGTGGCCGCCATACTTGCGCGAAGCGGGCTTGGTCGCGTCGCCTGGTGGGCCTGATGGGAAGGCACTCGACCAGGACCTCGCATCAAGCGCCTCTGAGCGAGTGACAGCGGCGCGGCATCTCCTGACCCCGAGGGGTCGCGAGGCACGTCGCTGTCGTCGTGCGCTGACGGGTTGACTTGAGTAGGTCCCTCGTTCTCCACGAGGGAATCGGTTGGTCAATCTGCTCCCTCCGAGTTAGTCTTTCTGCCCAATGCGAATTGTAGTGGTGCTTTCACGTCTCCTTACCGTCGTAGTAGTCATCATCGTCATCCTCGAGATCTGCCAACTGTTCAAAGTTGACCTTGTAGCGCAGAATACCGCCAATACCACCGAATCCCTTGACAAACTGGTTGCCCTCGGTGGATCGGTCAGACACGAATTCAAGGGCGGTACCAAAGTCCTTGTAGTGCTCAGCAATCCACTCAAGGAACGACTCCTGTGAAACAATATCCATCTCTTGACCGGTAGCCTTGTCCAGGAACTTCTCTCGGTTGCTCTGCTCCTGCTGCTTGGTTGTGTGCAGGATAACCTCGTTGCCCTCGCTGTCCTTGAGGATCCAGCGAGTGATTTCGAGGTTCTCGAAGATGATGAGAGTCTCGACAGCACCAAGTTCCAGAGCCTTCAGAGTGTCCTCGATACCATAGCAGACCTTGCCAGTATCCTGGCTGATTTCCTCAAAGTACTTGCCGATCAGCTTCTTCTCCTGGATGAACTTGACGTTGCCGAGCGTCTCGGAAGACAGCTCAATCGCCTGGTTGAATCCGTTTTCGCCGCCGTAGGAGACGTCAACAACCTTGATGACCTTGACGGCCAGACGGTTGTCGAACATGTCGGAGGCGTTGAGGTCGTTCTTGAAATCGGCGGAACCAGCGAGAATGAGACCGGCAACGTTGACCTTGTCGTTGGTGATGAAGTTCTGCACAGCCAACTCGGCGACTTTGCGGACGTAGTTGTGGCGCTTTTCCTCACGCAGACGGGCAAAACGCAGAGCGGACTGACCACCACGTCCGTGCTTCTTGGGCAGATCGACGGAGAACTTGTGGACGATTTCACGGGTGTTTCCGCTGAGGGTGCCGAACAGCGCGCCGTTACCGTCCATGATGATGAAGCCGAACTTCTGGTCGGACTCGAGCAGCTCAGCCAGGGCCTCGGTGTGGAACTTGTTGTCGCAGAGGTAGAGCGAGGTGTTGATGGGCTTGAAGGGCTCAAAGTCGATGTTGACCTTGCGCTCTTTTCCTTCCGACGTCAAGATTTCACCGCAGTACACGACCAGGCCGTTCGGGGGGACCTTGTTGTAGAGCTTCAGACGCTGCTGGGTCGATGTGATGGCGGACAAGACCGACTGTCGGTTGACACGAGACTTGATGTTGGAGGCTGTACCCTGCGGGGTTGTCAGTAATCCCTTGGTCCAACGGTTCCTGGATCCATCAATGAGGGTTATTTCGTACGTATTCTTCAGCCAACATCTTGGCAACACGGGAGATCTGATCCTTGGGAGCTGCGTGACGGTTAGCATCATCGATCGGTGCTCGCAGGGGTCGGTGTCGAGGGCGGCTCGAAACGTACGGATGATGAGGGAAATCATGGAGGTTCCATTTCCTCGGGCGGCCTCGAGGCGCTTGATCAGTTTCTTGATCTTCCAGATCTCGATCTGTTTCCGGCATTGTCAGGCACTGCTGCTGTATAACTCTGCAATTCTCGATGCCGACGCGGGGCAGCATAGGCAAAAGGAGGGGCACCATCAGGGGTCAAAATAATTTTTTTCCCTCCGGTGTACGCCTCAATTTTTTTTTTTTTTAGACTTACGTTCTTCTCCGCCTCGCCGGCCTGAGGGTCGCTCATGATGAAGGAAATTGAGAGGAAAACCCTTGATAAAAAAAAGAAAGAAACAAAACCAAAAGAAAGAAGGAGAGTATCCCACCGCTTGACGGGTCCTTGATCGAGAGCGCCGGCGCGTGCGAGCGTGACACTGAGTCGAAGGAGGGCAGCGAGTGTTTGTTGGAGGAGAGTCGGAGTTGCTGCAGGCTTTGGTGGTGGTCGCACCTTGTTTTTACCCTACTTTGCAGCCCCCGGAAACTGAAGTGGCGGGCGCTACCAAAATGGACCGCCGCCCGTCCAAGGCATTATTTTCGCCTAAACGTTGGCTCGAGGGCGGGCATTATGTAAGCGCTCGACGTCACCGGATCTTTGGGCTCGTGAGCTGCTGCTGGCTGCATTGTCATTGCCCGGCCCCTCACCGCCCGGCAAAATGCACTGAGTTGAATGCTCCCAAGCATTGAGATTCCGAGGGTGGTTTTGATTCACGGCGATTTCATCCCTGCAGCATCCCCGGCAGTAACATCTGAAATTTGAGGCAGAACCGCGCACTGGTGCCTAAGAGGCGGTAAAGATAGCCTGAACCCAGAAGGGATTTGCCCGTCTTCGCAGAGCCCCCGACGCGCAATCGCCCTCCCGCCCACCATGGCCTCCTCCCTCCCCACCGAGCTCGGCAGCACCATCCAGGCCGGCCACATCAGAAGACATCCCGACCCGCGACAGGACATTGCGCCGTCCACCGCCGCAGACAGGCGCCGCCTGGTCGACGTCCACAGCTCCCGGCGCAGCGACCTCGACGCCTCCGAAGACGACGATGACATCCCGTACAGCGTCCTGCGGCCTCCCAAGAAGCACTACCATCTCCCTCCCCTTCCGGACCTGCGCTTCGAGCAGAGCTACCTCCACAGCATCGCCTCGGCAGATACCTGGTGGAAAGTACTGCTCATCACCGTGAGGGACCAGGTTAGTCTATGAAATCCCTCCCTCGCATAGGATTCCAATGGCTCAGAAGTGCTGATGCTGACTCCGGGGATAACAATAGGTGTTGATGCCCTTGGCCCAGGGCGTCTTGCTGAACTTGGCATTGGTTGGGTGGCACCACTGGAACAAGAACGCCAGAGTACATGGCGACTCAATAGGCGTTCGCCTGAGGAGGTGGTGGTATGGCGTGAACAACTGGAAACTGCCCAACAACCCCAACATCAAAGGACGCATGTAAAGAAGTATGGCGGTGCCTTGAAAAACAACATAAATACTCTGTTCATTAGCATGTATTATTATCATCTCGTCGACTATGCGAATCCGCAGTCCTTTTTCTTTTTTTGTCTATCATAATATAAGTGAGAGCGCCCTTTTGCCTCGATCCCACACTAATTTTCCACAACCTGACAAGAATAAGAACACACCGTGACTGTGTCTCTGATTGGCATCAAGAGCCCCCTCTGAGCTTTTGTGGGGGACATCTTATTCTTCCTGATTTTCAAGTCCCCAAGTCTAAATCCGTAACATTCAACTGATGGTACACTAAAGAAATTTGTATCGGACCGTCCGCCGCTTGATTTAACCATAACTCCCAAGATGAAACAAAAAAAGTGGTTAGGCCGAAATAGCACAACTTATTCCTGGCTTATGATCTTGACAGTCTCAGGTGCCAATTGCGCCGGTTGCTTTTCAGGGCTTCCTCTAAATGCCAAAGAAGTTGCCGGCGCGACAGAGGGCACAGTCGACTGGTCTCCGGCTTGTTGTTCAGTAGGTTGCGGCGTAGTAGGCCTCTCAGAAGTCTTCACGCTGGGCGGAGGTACAGTCGTCGCCGCGTCAAAGGGTTGCTGCTTGGGTGTAGGCGTATCTGGTGGGCCGGTCGGTGCATCCTTCGAGTTCTCTTCCTTGCTGGCGGGAAGCAGGTTCGCCGCTTGCTCACTCGGGGTAAGGACTCCCTTCAGCTTCGGGGGAGTCACCGAGAGCTTCACAACCAGTGTTTGAGGCGCCACCTCCAAGTCGTCCTCATCCATGGCTTCATCTTTGAACTCGTCTTCGTCCTCCGACTCTTCTGGGATCTGAGCCTCGACATCCTCCTCATCGTCCCCAAACTCGGCCTCGCTTTCCTCATCGTCTGTGTTCGGAGAGCCATTCGCTCCAGCATTCCCCGCTGCCGCTCTACGCGGCCGGCCAGAAGGGTTCTCTGTAGCAGCCTCACCGGTCTCTCCTTGGGTATCATTTGGGAGGTCTTCCCCTGTGGTTACATTGAGCCGGGGAGGAGCTCGAACAGTGCGACCGCTCGATGTAGTGACAGGCGCGGTCTCCGCTGGCGTGGTGGTTCCGGTATTGCGAGCTGAGCGCCTATAGCCAGTGGAATCCGAGAACATGTCTTCGTCGTCGGAGTACGTGTACTTCATCCGCTTGCCGCGAGTACGGCCTTCGTATAATGAGAATCCAGGCTCTGGGCGCTTGAATTGCTCTTTGCGCATCTGTCGATACTCTCGTCGCTTTCGTTTCTACGCTTTTTGTCAGCTCATTGTTCAAAGACGCGCACGCATTTGACAGGCAAGGGCTACCTCTTCTCCTGCTTCGAATCGCGGGATGGCTGAGAGAATCTTATGGCTGAGCTTCTTGGCCTTGGGGCCTCCGTCCTTGGTCTCGAGCTTCTCAGCCAAAGCCTTGAGCTCGTCAATGCTCCCGGCAACGCTCCACCACGTGCGGTTGGTGCCAGCAGGATTGCTCTCGCGATACACGCGAAAAGCAGTATCATCTTGCCCCTCGACCAAAAAGTACCGGCGCTTGTCTCCATCGGATCCCCATGGCTGAACTGCACGCGGTTGGTTAATGTCGTCTTCGTGGCGATTTTGTTTGTACGACTGGTTGATCAGGCCCTTGAGGGTTTCGGACGAGGACATGGCCCAGAGAACGAGGTAACGCAAAAGATTCAGCTGTAAAGGTAACACGTCAGCCGCTTGCCACTTGGTGTGATTTCTCCCATTGCAAAGAGAGAAAAGAGTCGCCGACAGAGAGAACACGCACTCTTTGGGTAGGGTTCAGGGAGCCAAAGGTTGCGCCACCAGACAGCGGGCTCTTGTCCTCCCATGAAGGGGGCCATTGGTTCTTGTGAGATGCGATAGCGTCTTCCAACGCCCTATTGTAGTGACCTGGTCTGTAGGCGAAAGCAAGAGGAAAAGAAGACACAATTAGCCCAAGCGCACGCGATTACGGGTATGGGATGAACGGGGCACATCATTACTTGACATCCTGCTTCCGGTTTAGGAGGAGCCCGAGGACGGCGCATAGGAAATGTTCGACTCGATCGCCGGGGATGGGCTCGACAACGTCTCGTTCCAGTTCTTGCGGGCCGAAGTGGGCGAGGGATTTGGGAAATGCGTCGCTGAAGCGGCTTCGAAACATGACCAGAAACTGCAATAAGCCTGTCAGTTGCGCCTAATGACGTCTGCACGCGAAATTTCGCGTCGCTCGACACTGTGAACGCGACCCGTCGCCACGCACAAGCGGCGGGCATTGGATGTCGACAGACAAGGGGATTGGAGAGAGAGGGAGACGCACTGCTATATCTGGGTTGTCGGCCAGGACATATTCGTGAGGTGGTGAGGGCGATCGCTTGCGCGGCGGCGGCGAGGGCTCCTTTGGCGGCTGCTCTGATAGCTTGGAGAAGAACTTTAGGATCCCCGACTTGGCTCCGGTCGGCGCGTCACTGAGGTCGTCCAGCTCGGCATCGGAGGGAACAGGCGACAGGGACGAGAGAGACGAGAGATCGGATGAATCATCGTCTGCGGCAGCCATGGCGCTGAGGCTCTCTGGTCGTTGCGATGGCGGTGCTGTGTGGGTGAAGGAGGGAGGTGGAAGAGGCACGTCGTTTGCCCAGCGAGAATGTGGATGCACTAAGGTGTAGCAGCTACATATCACTTCTGATAGGCCACGGCGGTTGTCAAGTGGTAGTCGCCAGTCACCTAACCAAACAATTGCAGTCTCAATGGCGGTGCTACGGACAAGAGGCAACTCTCAGCCCAATCTCCATTCTTTAAAGGTCTACCTTAGCTATGTTCATCTGTCTTTGACGCCCAGGCCGTATCTCGGCATAACCATTGCCCGCGCATGCCACAGATTCCCGTCTCATATCGACTCCTCACAGACCGCGGCCACTCGGCCAAGGTAGGCAGAGCCCAGCAGGCAGAGCTTGGGCCAGGCCGGGAGGGCCTAGCATCCAGTCTCACACGATGGCCCTTATCAGGCAGATCAAGCCAAGGTCGTTTATGCTGCAAACCCATCGCTCAGCGTCCCATCATTGCATCCAGCTTGGTTTTACGAGTCTCCCCGCATCCAAGGCTTGCACCACGTGTGTCAGGGCGGTAGAGCAAGCCGCTCAACAGACGCTTGTCGGTGAGGATGCCAGAAGAGCGCGTCCATTCATGAAAACAGCATTTCTTGAGCAACGGTTGAAAACTGGCGTCCAGCTTCGAATGCGCTCTTTCATACGGCGTGGATGCATGTTCGCAAGAGCATAGGTATGCAACAGGAGAGCAGGTCAATATAAGTCCAAGTTAGCAAGAGAACAGAGTTCGCATTGGATGCACACAGTGACAAATGCTTAGCAACAGGATGCTTCCGCGGCAGTTGACGCGCAGGGCGACGCGACCCATGGGTTCAGAGACGCTCAGTCTCACGGCACGTCAAGTGAGAGGTCTTTGCTCATGGATGAAGTACGGAGCAGAAAATGTGGGGGTTTTGATGCCCCTGTCCTTTAACGACTGTCGACAAAATAAGCGAAACGCGAAGAAGATGCTTGTGAGATGATATCAGGTACCCGTGCTCGTTAACAAAGAAGGATATATCAGTAAGCCTTGCAATATGGCATGACCTGGCTATAGTATTTGGTGAATGGTTCAGAAGGAGAGGACAGGATGATCTATTGACCAAGAATCAACGGAAGGGTTTCCTTGAATCCAGAAGCTTGAGCTTCTCTCTGCAGACAAGGGATATGAATCCGGTGCTTTGCCGCGTCAATTGAGAATGCCTTGCATGTCATTTGCCGTCCCGCTTATTTTGTCAGTCGCTCGAGAGCCTTGGAGAAAGTGGAGGCCCACCCGGGCTGCCCAACGCTGGCCAATGCGCGGCCACGAAAAGTTCAGTCACGTGGTCAGGGTTCCTCTTGTGTGGCAGAGGGTCCCGCACACAAAAAATTATCGAAAGCCGGCCAAGCGAGCGCCTCTTTGTCACAACACCAAGCGGCCGGACCTCAGGTAAAGCCTCCCAAACTTTCTCGCGCTGCCGGCGGCCCAGAACTGACATCAATCCCTCCTTCGCAGCTACCACGAATTCACAATGGGTCGTGTTATTCGCAACCAGAGAAAGGGCCGTGGCTCCATCTTCAGTGAGTAGCCGGCTCCCGAGATTTGCTCGTTTTGACGACATCGAATCGAGTTTTTGCGTCTCGAGAAAGACTTCGAGATCTTCTAACCATGTGTCACAACAGCGGCCAACACGCGCCTGAACAAGGCCCCGGCCAAGTTCCGCAACCTCGACTACGCCGAGCGCCATGGCTATGTCCGCGGTATCGTGAAGGACATCATCCACGACCCTGGTCAGTCCAACCCCCGAACGAAAGCTGGAGAGAACCGACGAGATGAGAGATGGGAATCATTGGGACAAAAAGAAAGGGTAGCTAACGAGGGAATCATTTGTTTGTGTGCGTATAGGTCGTGGTGCTCCTCTCGCCAAGGTCCAGTTCCGCCACCCCTACAAGTACAAGCAGGTCACCGAGACCTTCATCGCCAACGAGGGCATGTACACCGGCCAGTTCATCTACGCCGGAAAGCGCGCTGCTCTGACCGTCGGCAACGTCCTGCCCGTCGGTGAGATGCCCGAGGGTACCGTTGTCTCCAACGTCGAGGAGAAGATTGGCGACCGTGGCACTCTGGGCCGCAACTCTGGTGGCTACATCACCATTGTCGGCCACAACCCCGACGAGGGCAAGACCCGCATCAAGCTGCCCTCTGGCGCCAAGAAGGTCGTCCACTCCCGATCCCGAGGAATGATCGGCATCGTTGCCGGTGGTGGCCGAACTGACAAGCCTCTGTTGAGTACGTGAAACCCCGGAATATCCCTTGTCGGAGATCGAAAAGAAGGAAAAATGGAGGAAATTGGATTTGCTAACGAAT